CAGTTCGAATAAATTTATTTCTTAATTATTTACGCACAACAATACGTGGAAATTTTCTCATATCTGCTCTAAATACCAATTATCTTATTACAATTTCTAATACATTAATTGACCCAAGATTAGAGAGTACAGATACATATTATATCTTCAGAAATGATCTTGAAAAACACTTAATAGGTTGTAGTAGTTTAAATTCAATAAGTAAAGTTTCTTTTCAAAATCAATCTGATTTGACAATGTCGATGTATCATGACTTTATCGAATGGCATGAAAACGATTTAAATGATTCGATGGTTAATGGATTTTATACAAGTTGTTTACCTTTTGAAGGTCTTCTTCAAAGTACATTAGATTGTTTATATGAATATCTATGTATTGAATTCTTAATGAAAAAATTTCCAAATATTATAAAAGTAAACATTGAATTGTAAAATATTCTTTTCATATTTATTGTTTTTTCAGATGAATATCAATTTGAATAATTCATTGTTAATTTCAAATAAAGAAAAAAAATCAATTAATAATTATCTTAATGATTTATTTGTTGAAGAATGGTTAACAAAAAAGAATTATATTAAATATTTTCATAAATGTTCACCATTATTATGTTCATATACAATTTGGAATCAAACAAATTTTTCTTATTCAATTACTTTATTAATTAGTCTTTATGGTGGTTTAATTCTTATTTTACGATTATTTATACCATTTTTCGTTAAGATTTTCTTTAAATTAAAATATTTTATTATTAATCATAATAATTACAATTGTAAGAATTTTAATTCAAATAGAATTTTTTTTAAATATTCTTTTATTTAGTTAATTTAACTTTATTGAAAAATAATTTTCAATTCTTTATTGAATATATGAAAAAATTCAATTTATTCAAACGAATTAATCAACGAACAGAAATTCATTTAAAACAACAAAAGATCAACACACGTGTTTATTTGATTTTATTTCTCGGTAAAAATCTTTTTTCATATAAATAAAATCTCATAGAAAAGTATGTAAAATATATAAAAAGATTTGTTTTTTTTTTATTTGTTAAGGTTTAANATCAATTGCACAAGAATATGCAGAATATCTCGTTCCGATTGTTTTTATTGGAATTGGAATTTATATAATCATTACATCGGATTGTTTTCCTTGGTTAGATCGAGCGATTCGAACAAAAAATTTCAAAAATGGTTAAAACTAAAATGAGAAAAACTTTTGTTGATGAATGAAAAAAAGAAAAAAGAGAAAAAGATTTTTTTTTCTTCATGTCATTTGAATGAGAAATTTTTATCAATATCATTTGATCTTTATTATGATGATGATGATGAAATAGATGTGTTATCAAGATAAAAATATGATCACATCGTTTTTATGTCATTTATTTGAAAAATTTCTCAAATGTTAAATGAAATTTTCAAACTTTTTTCCAAAGTTATTATTACATTTCTTCTAACAAATATTCAAGATGTTGTCATTTTAATGAATTTCTTTTTGGAAACATCGAAAAAAGAAAGTTTATTACGAAGTGAACATGTAATTCTTGGACAATATCTCGGTTTTAGTACCTTGTTAATCTTAAGTTTACTTGGATATACAATTTCCTATATTTTACCTGTAAAAATATTTTGGTTTTCTTGGATTTGTTATTATTGCTTTTGGTTTAAATGGTCTTAAAACATTAATACAACAAAGACGAAGTGGAAATGAATTGAAATCGGTAAAGAAACACGAAAAGAAACATTTTGTCATTCATATTGATTTTATTTTTAGATTGAAAATATGATTTTAAATGAAAATGAAAGTTTTTATGAAGATTTAAAACGAATTGTAAAAGTAAGTTTAGTAACAATTGCTAATGGAAATGATAATATTTCAATTTATGTTCCAATATTTGTTCAATCAACTGATTGGCAAATTGTTGCATATGGATTAGGTTTTTTATTTATGGTTGGAATTTTATGTTTATTTTCTTATTGTTTTATTCATTTTCCACCAATATTTCAATTTGCACAAAAATACGCACAATTTATTAGTCCGTTTGTATTTATTGTTCTTGGAATTTATATTTTAATTAGTTCACAATGTTTTCCTTGGTTATTTAAACTTATTCAAACAGGAAAATGGATCGAATCTTAATCAAAACAAAAGAAAAAAGATATCTTTATCATTTATTCTCTTCAAAATTTATTAATACATGATTGAAATATGAATTCATAGACTTCTCTTCGTAGAAATATGTATTTCGATGTATCTTTATCTCATCAATTCGACAGTGAAAGCGATAAAAATAACTTTTCTTCAAATCCTGCAGTAAATAAAGATTTGTCTTGTTACTTATGAAAATATTTATGAAAAAAAAAACGTTTGGATTATAAATTCTTTCGAAACTCATTGAATGTCACATACTTTTCAGATTTGTGTTGACTAAAAACGAGATGATCTATTAACACCTTTTTTTTCTGATTGATTTCACCTATGTTAATCTGACATAATGGAATATTGTTCATTCTCACAGGTCATAAGATACTCCGCTCCGTATACGATATTCTTTGCATATACTCAACGATCTGTTTTATTCGATATGCGTAACAGATAACAAGCTATGCAAAGGGGGTTTCTTTGTCACATTGACATTCGATTATCGTTACTAAGTCATTTATTTTATTTGATTTTTTAAATTCATTTTATTGATTTGGTGTTTAGTTTTATGGTTTTTATTAATTATCTTTTCTTTGTTCATATTTTCCGGATTAGTGAATAGTAATTCTGCTATAATGTCAATGAATTTGTATGAAAGGTACATCGGTGTGCTATTTACTTGTTGTACTAATTTTGAAATATTATATTAATTGTTTAAGTATTTATTTCGATGAATATCATGAATTTTTCTTGATTGGAGCAATTCTAAAAGTTTCACTCTACTTGTTCATACGCTAAAGCCGAAATTAACTCGACGTTTTTTTTCTAAAACATTTTGAATACTTTCTGTTAAATAAAATATTTCATTGACATGAAAATATGAATACGTCAAGAATAACTCGTTGACGATCTTTGTTTTTGTCGAGATGTCAGGATTTATTTCTCAATTCTCGGGATCGATTGTGTCTTTGACGAACTTTTCTTATTTTTCTAGTAAAAGCACAAAATGAAACTGAATGAAAAGAGTATATTATAGAAATATTCACTATCAAAAGAGTAGGCATATGAGTTCAATTCTTCTATGTGTTCTCAAAACAAAATATCGTAAATAGAGTGAATTCGCAATTGTCTATGTCTAAAGAAGAAGATTGACTCGTTTGTCTATTCACTATATGCATTCAAATCCTGTAGTAACCTACGATCATATTATAGAGTTATTTTCGGAATGGGAAAAGAAGTGAAAATTGTCCAAGTCTGTTACATAGGGTCGAATACATTTTCAAGGATATTGCTCTTTCAATAGTGTGTGAAATTTTCTAGATGAAATTTATATCGAGTCATCATAAAATACTCTTCATTATTATATTATTTAAACATCTACAACTGTATTTTTATTCTTTTATAATGACTCTGAACAATTGTTTTATATTATATGGAATAATCACTTTTGATAACAAATAATTGTTAATAAAGTTGTTAGTGATTATTAACCCAATGCAAACGTTGCGGCAATTTCGTCGCTTGTTCGTGCGAATGGATAAAACCATAATTCATCAATACAACCATTAAAACTTAAATTAGCACTTGGAGAATAAAGAGCAACATTGCCAATTTCTAATGGATATGGTCCTCCTCTAACAGGTCCATGAGAAGTTCCTGATGTATCAAGAACTCCATTAATATATAAAGATACTCTTGTTTCTGTTAGATTATAAACAGAAGCGATATGAAACCAAGTATTATTTGATAATATTCGACTACCTATTTGTGTGTCTGCATAGAAAAGTGTACCCAAAATGGCATTACCACTGATCGATGTTCGCATACAATAACGAGTAGCTAAACTTGAACATTGACCAAAAATGACATGTTCAATTCCATCACGAATTCGTATTGGATAAATCCATGCTTCTATTGAATATGAAATAGAACGTAAGTCAATCAACGGTGTCTGATTTATTACAACAGATTGTTGAAGTGCATATGATAAATTTACACACTTTCCACATCCATTTCGACCCAAACTGTATGACAATGAACCACTTCGAGCAGTTCCATTGTAAATACCAAATTTATCATTGAGATCATTTTGAAAATACCAACCTATTGTTGGTGCTAGAACAAAATTACTTATAAATATCAAAAGAAACAAAATAGAAAAAGTAATAACTTTACATCGTCCCGTCGGAAATTTTTCTGCATTAGTACATGAACTAGACGTCATGGGTAATGTCGATTGTACAGTTGTCATTGATATAATACTGGACTGTTGTGAAGTCACTGCTGCACTTGTTGATGTTAAGATCAATTCATTCGAAGTGATGGAAATAGGAATATCAGTAGTTGTTTTAGTGGATTCTGTCAATACAGATAAACAGAGTAAATGACAAATTCTCCTTGAGAAGATCTTTACAAATGTCCTTAACTCGTTGGGGACGAGTGACATATCTATATACGTCCAGGTTGAAATCTACTCATAATTTATTTTGTGCATGTTTCATTTACAATATTTCAATGATCTGTGCTGCTATATATATCGCTAATGTATTATACTATCATTCGTATTGTGATCTCTTTCACTTTGTTTTTGTAGCTATATTCATTACTTCTATTTTTCAATTTATTTTCGCACACATTGTCTCTTGCATCCACCAGAGTATCTAAAATCTTATTTGCTCTCTTAAAAATAACCCCGTCCTCAAGAGATTAAATTGTTCATCGCATAAGAAATTCTTTTACTTAATGTAATTTGTTGATTTATTGGGCATTGTAACAAATCAAAGTCATTTAAGAAAAGAAGTTAAACAATGTTCAGACTTTAGTGTTAATATGTAAAAAACTAAACTTTTCAAATCTCGAAATTTTGACAAATTATGCACCGCATGTTATTCCTTTCTAAACTATAATTTTTTATTCATTGATTATTTCATTTGATAAATTTCAATCTTTTCTTTACTTACTATTAACGGCAAGTGAATTATCAATAATAATCATAGTGACAACATCAATTTGTGCAATGAGATTACCATATTCATATGGAGTATTATTAAATAAATGACATTGATCAATTGATTGATAAAAACTCATTGTACGACATGTTTTTGTTAAACATATAGATTGACAATGAAGTAAATTTCTTACGTTTATGACATTCGACGATGAACAATATGGACTAATACATTGAAATTTCACATTATCAATTCGAAACATATATTGGGAATGAATATTTTGTGAAATTAATTGACCATCCATACAAAAGATGAATAATAACATTTGATACAACATCATTGTTGCTCACTGAAAGCCAAGAAAATAAGAACTAAAAGCATTTCTTTTTTTTTTTAAACATTTTCTCGACAAAAGTCATATTTTCTATTATTATAAATGCGATGAATGGAAGATGGATTTTACAGGATGAACTTTATATGGTTATATATAGTTCACGGAAAAATATTTTGAAAAGAAATTGATTTCATTATGAATCTTATTTACAGTTGTACGGAGTAAAACGAATTCTGATTCGATTTGTTATCTTTGTTGTTCTCGGAGGAAAATGTCAACAATATTCAATAATTAATCCATGGGAATGAAAAGGTTTTACACATCAGTAAATGACTTTCAATTTAATATGGAAAGAATAAACAGTAAAACTAATGGTAAAAGGTTCAACCCTCGTTTCTATTTCCATAAAAATATAATTATTTAGATTTGATCTGTTTTTCCAAACTTCAGTTAATGTCTGTCAGAGAAAAAAATCAATTCTTTTTTCACATTATTCTCTTCGAAATGGAATTACATACTTTATCATCCTAATAAACGAGAAAACAATATCATCAATATTCGATTTACTCGATGGAATCATTGCAATTGAAATGAATAATTATTGTATTGCGATCCATTTTTGAAAGAGATTAGATGTCGCTGATTGTCAACTATTGACATAATTATTTACAAAGTAAAATTTGATTTCTTTTCTTGAAAAACAAAACATCGAAATGACTTCATCAATCGAAACATTATCAATTGAATTAATTTATCGAATTTTGTCTTATATTGATGATGTGACAATTGTTTTATCTTGTCGAAATGTTTGTCAAAGATTAAATTCAATTATTGAAACATATGAAAGATATCAAGTAAAGTTTTCTCTTTAGAAATTCTTCGATTTTATTTTTATATTTTGATAAAATAGAAAATGAATTTAATTCATTTAAGATCGAATCGAATTTCATCAAATTGTCTTCTTTGTTTGGGAAATATTTTACGAAGAAATCAAGTGAAATTGACTTCTTTTTATGTTTCATTAAATTTCTTTTTATGAAAAGGTTTTAAAAATATTGAAAATTGATTGTGTTCAATTGAATACACAAGCTGACCAAGATTTATCCGAGGAATTATTAAAAAATCAAGTAAGAGATTTGTAAAGTTGATGAAAATCGCATCGAATTGTCATATTTAGACTTTAACAACACTTTATCTTTGTTGGAATCGAATAAGTTCTCAAGGAATTCAAAGTTTAGCTAATGTTATCTTACATAATCAAGTAAATATGATTTCGTTTTCAAACTTTTCATAAAAATTTCCGTGAAATTAGACACTGATCGAACTTCATATCGAAGGAAATCATCTCGATTCTGAAGGAATTAAACATTTAAGTTATTCTCTTCAATTTAATCAAGTAAATCAATCAACTAATTCAATATTGNCGCTGAGAATTGTGAATAATCACAAGGATCTGAAATATTTATTAAATTGTTGTTCGAATTATTTTTTGTTGATGTCCATAACATTCCAGCAATACCAGCCATTTGTAAATGAAATGTTTTCGCTGGATCTGCTACACTATAACCAATACAAAAACCAATATCAATTTTTGGATCATATAATGCAAAGAACCACCATTCTCGATATAAAACTGAAATTAATGGATCTTTTTTATGAAGATATCGATAACCATCACTTTCCATATTAAATGTTTCATTATCTGGACAATTAATTGATGCATTTGAAATAAATATCAATGAAAAAAAGAATATTAAAAGATGAACAAACATACTTAAAATTCTTATTTAATATAAAAACAAAAAAAAGTAATTTCACTGTTTATATACAAACAGAGATAACAAAAATAAATATTTTCAAATTATCATATTTATATCGACAATGAAAACGAAGATTACATTTACTATTAAGTTCTTCTCTTCATGTTAAATTTCATATTCATTACTTGTGTAATAATTAATTGAAAAACTTATTATTACACAAAACTTTCCAAATGAATAAAAGAAATCTTTTTTATTTAATTATCAGGTAAAGATTATCGATGTTCTCTATTAGAAAAAAATTGTCTTAATAGAACAAACTGACGTCATTTTGATATAAATTTATATTGAAAGAGAAAAACCAAGACCTTTGTTTGACAACATCTTCACAAAAGAACAGATAAAGTCATTTCAAATGATCGAAATTTTATATTTAAATAAAAAAAAGATGAATTATATCGAACTTTATACGAATGATTAAATATTTATTTGAATATTATTCAAAATGAAATCATTTGTATCGATTGAAACGAATATTTCCCTTTGATCTTCACATATATCGAAGAATATTCGAGGATTTTCTACATTTCATAATTGAAATTTGAATTTAACAAATAGATTCTTTTGCACAATCCCAACTAACTATAATCGTAAAAATTTGTTTTCTGGCAAGCAAAACGATTGAATATAAATTCTTTTCACACTCTTTTCTAAGATTATTTTCATGTAAAAGAAACAAAAAAAGAAATCGAGGTAAAGTTTTTGTTCGAAATCTCTTTTTTCATTCTTTTATCTTCTACTAGAGGGAGTACCCGCTGCAAATAAAAAATATCTATGTCGAACAGCTCACGTGTTGAAGAGCTATAACAGGTAGAAAATCAATACAATTAAAATTTCTACGCTTCCAGTCGTTATTTTCCCGCCGTGCATTGCATAAAATGACAGTTTCGGCTATATCTTTTGAGATCCTATAACGCTATTGGTGAATTTCGCAGATTATCTGTAGCATTCACCGAACTATCATAGGCGTACAGAACACGTGGATTGTTATCTTTGAGCGCTCAGACGGCCTTCGCTATTAATTTTCTCAATTTTGGAAATCTCGCATTCCTATTGGTCCGTTTCATATATTGCCTGTAGCAAACGTCTGGTTCATTTGTTCTCGGAACAAAGTAGATGTCGACCTTCCTCTGGGTCTCAGGAAGCTTTGTGGAAAGTTTCACGCCGATAGCTACTACAGGGACTGAATGCATAGGGAACAAACAAACAGACAAACTTTCTTCTTTATATATATAGATAGTCTAATTGGAAAAAAGTTTAAATCAACAATTCTACTAAAACAGATCGAAAACATAATTCCCAAAGTGTTTAATTACTAGTAAAAATTCTTTGTCATCGAGTTGTTGTTCAATAGAGAAAAATTCTATCTTTTATTTAAATTGTCTTGATGCAAATCAATCATTGAAAGTCTATTTAATACAACATTGTCATTGATCTAATCAAATACAAAGAAAATCAAGAGAAATCTTTTTCAAGAAAATATTTAATTCTTCAGATTGATTTTCTTCTATTGGGATAAAACAATTTCCGATGAATACCATCATTTCTGTTGTTGAATACTTTGTCTATATGTCAGACTAATGTGGATAATTCACAGAAATCATGTTACAGGGAAAATACCGATAGGAGCTTCTCAGAGTTGTACTCAACAGAACGAAAGAAAATAGATGGAATATAAAAGAAACACATATGATTATATTCAGAGGGAAGAAGCAGGGAAAATACTCATATCAGATTAGATAAATTTCTCACAAACGATAAGGAATTAAGAGAAATTAATGAAAAACCAAGGATTTTCCCCTACATGATATGTTGGAATATCTTATAGATGATACATAATAATATACGGTTTTGTTTGAGTATTTGTATCTTCTTAGTCGAGTGTTAAGTAAAAAAATTCTGAATGTCAAAGACTTCTGCTAAGAAATCAATAAATTCAAAACCAGTAACATGTACAGATGGTGTATTTTCAACGACAAAAAATTCGATAAGGTATGAATACAGTACATGTCAAGGTATTGATGAATGTGATATTCAAAAATTATCGTGTCGCATCAACGATCAAGATTTGAAGAAACTGTTCAAATCAACATTATTTATTGGTTCTGATGGTTCATCAGTTGTTGATTGCAAATTAGCGAGAAAAACTGGATTGAAAAAAGTCTTTTTGATTTACAAAAAACAAAAAGGCAAATATTATATTGTTTATGGTCGAGCAACACAAACAAAAGGAGCTCATTGGGGAAAAGTTGGTATTTTCACAGGAATTGGTGCTTTTACTGGAGGAGCAATCAGTGGAACACTTCTCTTCATTCCAGGTATTAACGTAGCAGTAGCTCCGTTTATTTTAGGAGGAGTTCTTATTGGTTTAGGTGTTGGCGGTGTTAGTGCTCGTGCAGCGACTAAAACTAAACAAAAAATTAATTTCAATGATGTTATGCGACATATCAAAGACGAAATATCAAATGGAAAACCTTCACAATTGATTAATCTTTAAATAATCACATAATCATATCACATTGAGTTATAAGAACTTTGTTTCTTATTCAAGAGAACCGTAGTTTTTTACCTGTATTTTTGCATTTCTATTAGTTGTGTTTCTTATCATCACATACTGTTTGTACTAATCAAGTAAAGAGTAAAGCGGTAAAACAGGTAGATACGTAGCAACAAATTCTGACATGTGACCACTTGGAATAAAAGTATATTCTGAAAGTATAAAGCCTTGTGTGTATGCGGTGATAAGATATTTTTTTATCATGGCTACTACTGTGGGACGCGTAAAAGGTCCAAATGAAGACGTTGAGTCAAGTTTAACAAATGATGATCCCGCTTTGGTGGATGCTTTTCCAGAAGAACTACCCAGTTGGCACGGGTGGGTAAATACTTTTCCAAATGCAGGATCAATATAGATATCGAGAGTTATGTGTATACATAAAGACCACATTTGTACTGAAAATTCTGAATTCAATAGAAACAGAAATATTTTCTAAACTGTTTTTACCGGGGTGTTATAAATTGTCGTTTTTCAATTACAGGTATATCGAATGGCAAAATTATCCTGAACGTCGAAAGAAAGCACATGACATTTTGGCGGCTTACAAGGACAAGTTTACACCGATTCCTGAATTCCAAGTAATATTTGTGATCAGGTTCTCGGATTTAGTGGGAAAAATTCTTTTGTAGCTCAAACCATTGCCTGAAACGAATCCAATTCTAGTTGGGCATCGATGGAAAGAGTAAGTTTGTGTATATTTATGAAAAGCAGATTTTCTCAGTAAGGATTAAAATTCAAAAGGCATTGAGGATAGTTGTCTATGACGCTACTAGATTGGGAAATAACTTTTCAAAATAATAGATATCATGCTGTACTCGGTCCAACACTCAAAGATATACCGGCTGAATCATGGGCACTCGTACAAAAAGAAAAGGCAGCTGACATGGTTCATGTGCTCGATTTCCCATACAATGGAGAACCGCCACGGGATAAACTAATGCAGGGTAAAATAACACCAAACAAAGTATATTGTACTTTGATCATGTAGATATCATGTTGATCTATTGACTATTCTAGTACCATTTCGTGCGTAATCATGGAGGCATTCCAACCATTGACAAAGCCGCTTTCAAACTAAATATCGGAGGGTTAGTAAACAAGCCGCAAACATTGACATTAGCTGATCTTCAAGATCCAAACAAATTCGAACCCGTTGAAGTAACGGTCACTCTGCAAGTATGTTAAACTGCGAACTCGTCATACAACATCTACAGAATTTCATGTTAATATTCTTTTTCTGATCGTAGTGTTCGGGTACGCGTCGTATCGAACAGATTCATGAATATCCTGGAGATGGCGACGAATTGATTAACGCACCATGGGGCGAAGGAGCTATCGGTACAGCTCGCTATCGTGGAGTGTCTCTTAAGAAAGTCCTGAAATATTGTGGTGGCATGAAAGATAATGCTCGCCATATAGAATTCCTAGGTGCCGATACGTACTTCAAGAAACTAGAAGTATACAACTATGCTGTTAGTGTGCCTCGCCGAAAAGTAGAAGCAGTTGATGAAGTTCTACTCGCATGGGAAATGAATGGTGAACCATTACCGGCTATTCATGGAGCTCCACTTCGCATGGTTGTCACAGGTTTCATCGGAGCAAGATCATGTAAGTGGGTTTATCAAATCAATGTTCTTGATGAACCATCGCATGGTCCTGTACAACGAAAAGAATATCTCTACTACGGACCACAAACAGGAAAGCAGAATGTTCAGTTTTCCAACGGATTTTCTATTCAAGAAATGCCTGTCTCTTCGGCCATCATGACTCCAAAGGACAGGGAAGTCGTCGTGCATCAAGGTGAGATTGAGATCACTGGATGGGCATATTCAGGTGGTGGAAGATGGATAGAAAGAGTTGATGTATCAGCTGACGGTGGACATATCTGGTAGGATAAGATTCTCTTTGTAGATTGAATCATATTGGTTTTTTCTTAGGTATCAATGCAAACCTGATGACATGACAGAAAAGTAAGTAAATGTTGTCTTAATGTACCCTAATACGTTCATCGATCTTGTTCTGTCAGACACTATCATGCTTGGCGATTGTGGAAAATTACTTTACCCTTGCACGCCGAAGGTTGGCTCGAATTATGTGTTCGAGCTTTTGACAATGCCTGTAATACGCAACCCACATTTGTACGCAGTACCTGGAATTGGGATTTGCATGTGACAAGTTCGGCTCATCGCATCAAAATTTATTCGGTGAATGCATCACATGAAGATACTGCTCGACGACTACGTGAATTGAAAGAAAACGGCGATTCTCTCGAACCAATCACTCGTCCACTTATGTTTCATATCGAAAGCGATGAACACTACAATGAAATAGTTAAAAAACATCCACGTGAACCTGAAGAATAAGACTGATCGATAAATAAGCAAAAACTGTTCTTTGAAGTTTAAAATGAAGTTAAAGTAGAATCTGATAGTTGATTTTCTTTTATATATTCTTTATATATCTGTAGAACCTAACTGATTTTCTTTCATTGATTATACTTTTATCTATAGCGAAAAGGAAGTGAATAAAAAAGACTGGCGGTCACTCGTATGATATCTTTATTGCGCTTACTTGTATCGTGTTTTTAGTTATACATAATAGGAGACAGAATTCTTGTATTCGCGCATCATAACCATCGTAAGATTCTCATCAAACTGATAATGCGATAAATGATTGCTTTTTTCCGAAATAGCGCGAAGGTGTGACTCGTCAATATCAGCCCTCACCCTCACCCACACCCTCATCGGGACTTCTTTTTAATGCAAGTAATAATTTCATTCAAGATACTTGTCCTTTGCAACCAGTAGGTTTAATATATACGCATGAAGGAATGTTATAAAATCCACTTGGATACGCTCTAACTGTCGATGCGATCACACATGAAGGATATGCCGATGTGAATAGAATGCGAAGACAGAATCCTGCTATCTGTCTGTTACTAACTACACCTGGTTTAACTGTCGAGGATGTACTAATAGCTGAAACTACAATTATTACTTTTGCACTCAATATTATCACCTATTTTCCAAAGCAATTTAATGAACCATCTATTAAAGAATATGCTTTATCTAATGCTAATTGACATTTATATTTTCATTCCATGTCAGTTCTTTCATTGTTGTATTCTTTTACTTTATTAAATATACAAAGACACACAAAATAAACTAAGATCTTCTTAGTGGTGTATTTAAAATAACCGTTAAATTTGTAAGGGATCCATCTACGGTGACACCTCCCGTTTGAGTTAATATTTCGTTCACAGGTATAGCTCACAATACGAGTCACCACCCTGAAGCGGTTATTTCCCATACCCTGTTTTCGTTGAGGTAATGTAATTATAAGATATGGGAAGACTCTACCTTTGAGATCTCTCCGAACAAAATCGAAACGACTTATTTTCCAACTGAGTCTTGAAATTTTGTCTAGATGAAGTTGTCAAGGTAAGTTGTTCATTATAAGAATTCTCGTTTTGCTGGATACTCCTAGTTATAAATGAAAGTACCATTATGCTATCCTTTATATGCGTTTACACGATAACTCTCGCGGTAGAAGAATCAAATAGAATTGAAATTGTCTACATGGCGTCATCTCATCAATATCTCAGTCTAATCTAAAGATGAGTTCAGTCAGTTGTGATATTGCTGACTTGAGAGTGAAATCTTTTCCAGTCTTTACATATATAATTGCATGTTTGCACGCTTGTTCACGATAAGGATCTGTTGAATTATCTGGGTGTATTTCACCCAGATGACCTGTCTGTTAGCCATAACTCTTTGCTGTAATATAGGTACAGTTGTCAAACTTGGTAAGATGAGTTTCGGTTCAGTGAAAGGTGAAGGGAGATCACGAGGATAAGTGTGACCCGATAATCATCACTGTGTTCGTTAGCGCCAAGGAAATCATTCTAGATGTGTTGGATGCTGTAAAATGCAGATATCCATTCAATAACAATTCTTATCTTAATTATATTTGAACTTTAATTTAACATAAAGAAAATACTAATAAATATTACTGAGAACCGATTTGAAACATCTCATTGTTATTAAATACTAATAAAAATGATCACGCTTCTGGAGTCGGCCAATGTCCTTCATCTGTTTATTCATACGATAACTCTAGAATGACTAATGCGATTGAGATAAGGTTTGGGATGATATATTATTACACGAAAATCTCGCTGGTAAAGTTCAATGATGAGACTGATCGAACGATTGACTTATAAATTATCAAAAAAAGAAATAACATATTTTTGTAAGTGATTATGTCTATTTCATATGATACACTTCTCCCAGTACACATAACTCTCGGATAAAATCTGAAGCTTCCGCATTCATTATTTTACAAAATGACAAGTTTTCTGAATTAGAATAACAGAATTCAAGGCGAATAAAGCAAAGACATTCATGAAAAACATTAATTTTTCGTTTGATGATTATGAATATCCAACTTCTAACATCCAAACATCTATTTGCTATTTATTGCCATCCAGATTTGTCCTCCAGCATCTAATCCGATTCGGTATTTTCAAGTCGATCACTCATATCACATTTTCAACTTTTTTCTAGTCGAATGAAATCAAGATTTGTTTTAATAAAAACAATATCACCAAAATGAAGAGGAGCCCAACCAATACCTTGTTTCATCGGTTCACGTTTAACAAATGTTCGAAACGCTTTGGCATCTTCATCTGTCTTCCATATCTTTTTTCCTAAGAAATGAAAGAATTTATGTTCAAAAACTAAATTTGGTAATTTCTGTCCTTGATATTCATCTTGAATTTTTGTTAAAAAGATTTTGACATTGTTCATCACTAATTAATGGTCAATGTCTCATGGATAAAGCATCACTTGGATGTGTGGGAGAGACAATGAAAAAAATTAATGAATGTACGACGACGAGCAATCGACGTCGCATTTCTCATCGAACAAAACCGATGTGGTAACTTATTCTTAAAAACAACGACTGTATCCGTTTTTGGCATCAGGTAACAATTGATCTCAATATGATAAATGTACGCTACGCATAAGTTTTGTCTGGCGTTATCCTTGGACGAAATTTAAGTGCACCACCTTCAAGTTTATCATCAATCTGTAAATAATAAACACCAACTGCTTGAATATTTTCTGTACGACCTTCTATTATGTTAAATAATGATTGAATGACATGATTTACCCGCTGGAAGATTGTAGCTTTGTACTTTGACAATAATTTGTAATCAAGTATCGTTATTTGTTTTGTCGAAATCGAGAATTTCTTCAAACATTGATACCAGTTTAACAAAGACTTTCTCTAAATTTCTGTATGTATTTGCATATTGTTCATTCATGGGTAACTGATTGATAAGTGTTTCAATATGTACTTGGCAATATTCACCGTAAACAACAATGGTAAACAATATCCATCAGGTTTATATGGTAGAAGATCTGGATCATATCTTCTACAGGAGATGGATATTCATGAAAATCTTTTCATTCATCGTTTAATTCATAAAAAGTTGTTAATGACTTTTCTATGAATATACATTTGTGCCTTTTAGAAAATTTTTCCAAATAATTCTTTGATTATATTTTCATGGATATACAAACATTTGAACTTGTGTATACAATCAAGAAAATTTATATAAAAATAATCCAAATACGATAAGAGGGATAAAGATCAATATATTCAGAATTCTTTATTCTCTTTATGAAAATATATCAAGAGTCGCCTTGGAAAGTAAAAAGAAAAGTCTTGGTGGAGGAAGTGCACTTCCATATTTTTTTTTACAGAAGATGGAATGGGTGGATGTTATTTTATCTTTACTTTATAAAACAATAATAAAAGAGAGTAATTGTATTTGAGAGAAAATGGCTTATCGAAAGATGGATTAATGACAAAACAGAGAATCAAATATTATTATTTCCATGTTTTTCAAACCTATGGTTGAGGTTTTGTGGGAAAGATGAAGGTTTTGATGAAGCGATTTACACTCAACACATCTGATTGGATGATTGAGCTCAGTTACTAAGATTATTATATCTCATTCAGATAAAAACTCCGTGTTTGTCAGGTTAACACGTTCTGATCTCCTCGTGACGATTAGTTATTTCCTTTGATGTCCTCAGATATAGTTTCAACGCACGAACATACGCTGAAAGGTATGATTGAGGAATCAAATATTGTCTAATTTTACTATTACTTCTATCGGTCAGAGACGTTTTTTTATCATCTTAGTTGGATTAAATAAATTAATGATTCAATATAAAATGAGAAACTAAAAGCAGAAGAATGAATAGGAAATGGAGAAAAACAAGTGTTTATAAATGACTGTGCCGTGTTTGAAATTTCATCATCACTTTCCACATCTTCCTTTCATTTGTAAACAAGACGATGTCGTGTTGATTTCGTCATTACGGACTATACTTGATGAAAAGAAAATATCAAGCAAATATATATTGTGTCAAAATGAAGTTCTCGATTTCTGTAAATTAGAATATGAGAAACAATTGATCACCCATAATTAAGTAATTATCGAAATAGGAAATCTATACGAGCGACTAGACAATTGTTGATGAAAAACATTCGGAGAAGTGTGATTCCAGATTCTCACGACTTGCAAAACAAAGTAAATATTAAACAATGGCGAATAACAATATTTGATCCTTCTGATGACGACTGAAATCGTTTAATATACATCATCACATTCTTCTCATAATCGCATTTGCAACTTTAAGATGAAATACTTAGTCACAATATGTATTCTCATGCCTATTATGTGGATTGATCTTCTTATAATTCCAACAAGTAAGATTTGTTTTTCTTTTTACAATAGAAGTCATATTGATACGGTATACAATGACACAAAAATGAGTGAAATCATGACAAATTGTGTATTGTTCGTTTCCAACATAACATCATATTGAGAGAATGTTAAGTTTGAACCAAAATATGAGAGATCTTGTCAAAAGCTGAAATTTATGCAGAGATAGCAGCGATCCACTCGTATGAACAAACAAGAAAATATTAAAAAAAAAGAAAACTTTATATTCTTTGAGAGATTTGTTGTATTCCTCATTATAGTTATTGATATTCACAGAGAGTGTTGGAAACATAACAGTCTATTGACTGATTATTTTAGAAAGCGCTGAATCATGTCATGGTGCAGTTGCTCAACGCGAAAGAGAGTTTATCGTTGATGCAGAAAATAACACATGGGAGATTCACCCAAACGGAAAATTTTATAAATTGAATGGTGCCATGTGTGACTCCGAAATCACCAAATTAGTGTACTGGAACCACATTGTCTACCGTCGTAGTGGATTCGCAGATTGGCAAAAATGGATCAAAGGTATATGGGAAACAGAATCAAATTATACTTTTTTGGAATCAATCAATTCGTCACAAGGATGTGAGTCTCCGCTAGAATCAGGTAATTCTTTCAATTTTTTAGAACTCATTTCTGTTCAGTAGTTGATATTGCCAATTTTTCAGCTATATCATCTAATGGGTAAGCTATGTTTCGTACTACCCATTTTCAACATTTGACATTCTCGAACTCTTCTATGAAATCGGTGAGAATGAGTTTTCGTTTCAATCATGCTGACATATTGTCAGATGTTTGGGATAGATGGTTTAAAACGTAGTTCACTCGCTAGAAATACTGTGAATTGAACAGCTATTCGACGGATTGCGATACCTTATAGAAGAAAAGCCGATTTGCAGATTGCTTTGTTTTATTTTAGAATATTTTGTGTGAAATTGACCTGTTTTACAATATAAATAGATCCTTAGAAGAGGCAAAAAAAAGATTTATTTTAGATGCATATTCTCATTAGTTTTGTATAATAGTACATAGAATTTATAAGTTACTGAACAAATTAAAAAAGAAAATAACAGAGAATCGTTTATTCCTACTGATATGAGAAGTGACAAAAACGTTTTCGAAAAATATTTTTTATTTCACGAATTGAGAATTTTCATTGTTTTTCTTAATTTTTTCTATTAAATTATCTTTCACATTGCATATACGTCTATTTAGAAAAGACGACAATAACTACAAAATCCATGACAACAACATTTAAAATAATATCCTCAACAGCATTATCACTCACAACAGCGAAACCTTCAACAACCACAGCATCCACAATGTCACATGTATCAACAATTGAACAATCGTTAACTACGATGAATACACCATCAGCATCTCTTTCTGGTAATTACATTTCATTGATTATCTAATTACACTAAGATTTCCACTAGAAGAAAATCCTCATACATTTAAATTAAGATAGATTTGCATTTTTGTTCTTACGAATGAATGTTTGACGCATAAATATTCCTAAAATGGATAATCATCAGTATAACAAACGAGAAAAACTTTTCTACTTTATATTTCTATTTTTATGATTAGTAAATAAATCTTCATTGAATTATTTTCTTCCTGAAAATTGTAATAATTCAAAACACATTGGTGATTATTGTAATATTTCAACAAATCCTTGTGATATTAATCCATGTCAAAATATGGGCAATTGTACAATTTATCCACAATTTTCACATGTTTCGCAATGTAAATGTTTACCAGGTTTCAACGGTACTCTTTGTGAAAGAAATATTCGTCCGTGCAACTTGAACATATGTTTATATCAAGGTTTGAATTCATTTCAATTTGTTCACATATGTTAATAAAATTCTATTTCAGGTATTTGCATTGAATTAAATGAAACAAATTTTAAATGTAATTGTACTGAAGGACATACAGGAATTCATTGTGAACATACGATCAATTTCTGCGAAAATGTGACATGTTTGAACAAAGGTGTTTGTCGATCAATATTTCTTAATTATAAATGCGAATGTTTATATGGCACATCGGGAAAACATTGTGAAAATACGGAATTTAGTATTGTTCTTCGTCAGAATATTACGAAGAGTCTTGCATACATTGCTATCATCGCTATTTCGATCGTTATTATTTTTATTCTTAGCCTTGATATATTGAAATATGTATTTGGGATAGATGTCACTCAAAAAGAACGTGAAGAAATTCGACGTGAAAACATTTTGAAGAAAAAAGGTATTCGAATAAGAAACAAGAAGATATTTCATCCTAAACAACGTATGAACAAAGTAATTCCTCTACGTCAATTTCCATAGCTGCAGAAATGGCGTCATAAAACATGTCTTTTTAATAGAAAGTTTGTGTTTGCCCTACATTCTCTGATGTTTCGTCGATTTAGTTTTTGCAATAAAATATTGATCTTGTTCTCCCATCGTTGTTGTACATAAAAGAGAGTATTATTTCAAAAATTGACCGAAATTTATTTTATTTGCATAATGATTACATAGGAATTATAAAATCAGATGAAAACAATCTCAGTTTCTTCTGATATTGTAGTTCTATTAGAAGAATATCATGTTTCAAATGGTAAATATAATCTGTAAATAATTACTCATTGAATTTGATTCTATTCTTTTTTACGTATATACGCAATCTTTATGTAAATGATTATTTTACATGCGTATGATGACCTTGATGAAGAACGAATGAAAACAAAATGTAGATATAAAGAAAGCAAATGTGTGAAGAAATAGGGAGACACTGTTTTCGTTTTCAGTGTTTCTCGTATACGGAAGCGAGTTGTGCAATTTTATATTTCTTACTTCTTATAGAATAACAAAATATTGCTATAAAAATATGAATAAATACGATCAAAATCATCAAGAAATTTCTTCTGAGTCTCTTGAATCTAAGTTAAATCAACTGAATTTATCTTCAACATCATTTGATATGAATTGTAACGATTATGATGAAGAACAGATTCCAGTATCGATTGATTCTCCAACAATCCCTCAACCATTAAATGTATCACATCAAACCGAGTACGATTCATTTGCTGAGTAAAAAGTAAATATTTGTTTTTAATTTTGTAGTTGTAAATCGACTTCATCATCAGAATTTGGAGTTGATTGGAGCAATCGTGCATGTCCCACATCACATTGTTGGTTTCCTGTTGATTCTAGTAATTCATCGAGCAACATATCTGAGTCTAATTCAAATTTAAAATCAAAACTTTTATGCTGTGAAACATGTGGTTTGATTGTACATTCACATCGATTAACAAATTCAAAAATAATAACAACTGATTTTCCTTCACCTTGTCGTCCATCATTTGTCGATGTTAATTCGAATTCATCGGATTATGACAAACATTTCTGGTGTCAAGAAAACACTCTTCCTACGCCATGTCTCGTTTGTCAAAGAACATCGGTTACAGCGACATTATTCGCACATGGAATCGATCAGTTATCATCAATGTCTGCTTCAGATATTGCTAATGAATTTACATCGATTTTCAGTTCAAAACCGGGAACTTTTATGCAAAAATTATCTGAATCATCTGGTGGAATTGTTTGTCTTTGGTGTTCACAGAGTTATCATCAATCATGTTGGGAACATGTTACTAATAAAGATGATGAAGTTCATTGTGATTATGGAATATTTCGGTAAACTTTTCATAAAAATATCTTTAAATTTCTTGTAAATATTCTATTTTGAAGAAATATTATTGTTCGTCCACAATGGTTGACTCGTTCCCTTCAATCTCCACTTGGTTTTCGAGCTCGATTACCTGATAATCTATCATCAGATTCGTTCCCATACACACCTGTTCTTTTCTTTATCAATAAACGTTCAGGTGGACAAGTTGGTGAGAAAATTTATCGAGAACTTCTACGAAAACTGAATCCACGTCAAATATTTCTTCTCGAAAACAATGATACCATTACTCAAGCACTCGACATGTATTCTGCATTACCAAATACTCGTATTTGTGTTTTTGGTGGTGATGGTACAGTCGGATGGATTCTCAATTGTCTAGCCGAAATTTATCCTGAGAGAAAAAATCCACCTGTAGGCATTTGTCCTTTAGGAACAGGTAATGATCTTTCACGTGTCTTAAATTGGGGTGGTGAATATGAAGCAAAACAACTCGTACAAACATTAATCAATCTTCCTCAATCGAAAGTAGTGACACTTGATCGATGGAAAGTCGAATTAGAACAATTCGATATGTCAAGACAAAATTTATCGACAAATAACGATCGTGGAAATGATTCTCCTATTACTCGCGTATTTCAAACTTTATTTAAACAACCACCGAGATTTGCACTTGAAATTCATCGAGATTCTTATGAACAATATCATGCATTACCAAATACACGTTTCATTAATTATATGAGTTTTGGTTTTGATGCTGCCATTGCTCTGAATTTTCATGATCAACGTACGCGCAATCCGGAAAAGTTTTCTTCACCATTGAAAAATAAATTTATGTATTTAAACGAAAGTTGTAAATATTTGGATGAATTTTCTCGAGCGAATTTGTGGAATCTTAGTTCATATATTCGTTTGATATGTGATGGTCAAAATTTGACAAATGCGATGCGTGATTGTCATACATTAGTCATACTCAATATTCCTGGATATGCAGCAGGTGCAAATCCATGGGGAAATACAGGATCAATTATGTCAAATGATTTATTTGATCGACAAGATTTTGGTGATCGGAAAATCGAAATTGTTGGATTGACTACTGCACATATGGCTGCTATACATATGGGTTTTCGAGGTAGTCGAATCGCCCAATGTAATCAAGTACGTATTGAACTTTATTATCCAATGACAGCACAAATGGATGGTGAACCATTTTATCTTCCTGCTTCGACAGCTGTTAATATTAATCATGCTGGTCAAGTACTTGTATTAAATAATGACAACAAATAGATTATTGAAATATAATTACCTACGTGTAGGTTTTACTTATATTATTCTTTGTAAGCACACTTCATTGAACATATGACTTTATTTTTTTATTCGAATTCTTTCTCTAAGACAATAAAATATCGAGTTTATTTTGCACTTGCTTGTTTTTTCATAATTTACTATCAAAAAGAAAAACCTATCGAAGGAGTAGATATGCTTGAGAAAAACAAACAAATTAATTCAATGATATTCCTAGGTACATCAAACGATGGATGATAAACAATTAGCAACAGTGAGTAAATATTCTGATGAATAAAAACCAGCATAATCAGTGGAAAGACAATGCTCAGTTGATCATTGTTTTTTTACATAGATGGATACTGAGATTGGGATTTGCACAAAGAAACAGAAATGGATTAAATTTATTTATAAAAATGACGACAGTTTTATTATCTAATGTTCACGAAAAATCACAGCTTATGAGAATTCATACGTTCATTTGTAATAACTCAAACAAGAAAAAAGAAATGTTCCGTTTTTTTCTTTTTTTTTTAAATTTAAAACGTGAAGCGACTGAATAAAAATCTTCTGTTTAATATTTTAATATCTCAACGATTGATTTATTTCCTCGACAAAAACATTTCAACACAAATAAATAACATTTCATTTCATTATAACTTAATCTCTAAAAGAATAATAGTGTAACGAAATATTTTCTTAACAATGTCTCATGTAATCACTCCTTAACATTACTCATAGATGATCTTTTCCATTCACCGTATTCTTACTTGACAGTTCTTCAGTCATTTGCATATTATAACACACTTGAAAATGCTTTTAATTTATTGATTTAGTAAAGTAACGTTCGTATTTAATATAATAATGATAACAAATAAATATTGGAGTTTGTTGTCTGTTATTAATCGTATAATTATCATTCTGATATTTTTTATCCTTTTAGGAGAATTTTTGAGATACGAATAAATAATTCTATGAATCAGATTGTTATTCTCGACATGAATTTCTTCTTCTCATTGAATATTCAAATTACTCAATTAAATATACTTCGGAAAAAAAAGATTATGATCGATACAAATTATTTGAAGAAGAGATACTAAATCAATTTAAAGATAATCATAACATATTTATAATAGTTGTTTCTCTCGTTGATGATGATTTGTCTTCAAAACAGATCTTATTTTCACATAGAATGAAAACAAAACAGATTCGTCACTAAATTCAAATTTATAATAAATAGCAGAACAGTTGACTAAAATACGTTTGTGGAAGGAAAAAAGGATTTTTTTTTGTATTTTTTTGAATAATGGAATTTTAGGAATGAAAAAAAGATAAACAGCATTTGAAAGTTCATCACCCAATAATTAGAAAGAGGAAAAGTAAATTTTCCATCGAGAAAGTGTCACATTGAATATCGATGGAATTCGAATGTTTTTCTTGCAAAAAAAAATCGATATTATTATCCACTGCATGAAGTTGGAAGAACATTCTGAGGAAATTGACCAGCAACATTTCCCGCAGAAATATAATTAGCAACAGCAATACATGTTGTACCAGCTGATGTACAACAAACACCAATACCAAATGAAGTTGTTGATTTCCAAACTAATTGAGTAAAATGTCCTGTCGCTGACGAGAAACCAGGCGAAGCAAAATTGTAAGAACTTATTTCACTATACCATGCAGCAACTGGATCGGCACCTAAAATAAAAAAATGACATTTCTATTTTGAATTATTTATTTATTTACCATTTAAAGAACTTGTAGTCATTGGACTTGACGAACTAATTTGCCATAAGTTTTCTCCTAATGCTTGTCCTTGATACGTATTTCCACTATGAGCAAAAGTATTTGTATCGCATAATTTCTGAGCATAAGTTTGTGCGATTTTTTTCAAATTTTGATCATAGGTCAAAGCAGGAGCACAATGAGATGTACGATATTGATTTGTTGCATCTAATGCTTGTTGTTCGAATGTAGTAAGTGACGTACTACTACTACTACTACTTTTTCCACCTGTGATGAGAACAAGAAATTGATTAATAATAATCTCAATATTGAATAGGATAAACAATAAAACATATATTTTTATTTGAAAATGTCAATCAGAATCAGTTGATTATAAAAAGAAATAATCCATTACTGACTCGTATCTTATACGTGTTAATTCTCTCTCATGACGTCATATTTACATACATGAATTTGTCCGTTCTCCTATATCATATGTTCATGACATTACACTTAGGTTCAAAAACTGTTGTCAGAGAAAGGATTCAGAGAGATTCATATGACATCATAAGAGAGAACCAACAGGTACAACCAGTTGTTTCACCAACATCTTAACAGTAATTTATTTCTGATTTGATGACTTTGTTTTTAATAATAAAAAAATGTCTAATTAGACCGTGATACAATTTGTAACATTCTGTCGTCCGGACGTTTTTCCATTTTGTTATGATGACCAAAAATAATTACATAGTTGTTTTCATTGGCAATAGAGTGATTGTCACGGTTAGTTTTTGGTGATTGATTTAGGAAGAAAAAACTAGTTATTGTGATCGTTCTTTTCCTATGTTTATTTTCTTTGAGAAAATCTCAAACCTTTCATCTATTATTTATATGTTCACTGAAAAGTAGATTTCTGCATTTCCAACTAGTATCACTGACTAATAGTTTTGTTTACAAATGTTTGAAAAAGAGAACCACAGAGAGCACATGATTGGATCATAAAGCATAATATCGGTACTAAAACCGATAAAAAATGTAGATAACATTTCAAATTTAAATACTAAAAGTACTCATTTCATCGGTGTATTTATGAAAAGAAAGAGTAACTATCATTTCTATAGAATTAGGATTCAATTAGAAGTAAATGATGACCTACCATCTACTGCATTGTTGCTCAAATAGAGAGGAACCAAAGAAACGACGAGTACAATTGGAATTGATACTAAAGCCAAGCAGAGGAATACTCCAATGCCTATCATAGCTTCTCTTGTCCCAAATATCCTGAAAAAGAGGAAAAAACGCGAAATATAGCATAGAATTTTATGATTATGGAGAAGTCATCAGAATGTTAGTTGTAGTGAATATACGAAAGCGATTGCCAATCTTACGAGGGTAGTTGCATTGTATCACGCTGTCCATTAAGTTTGGCCATATTTTATCGTTTGCAACTCCTATAATACAGTTTTTCTTGTCGGACAAGAGGAAAATGAATGAAGAAATCTAATTTTTGACGGTTCTTCCGAGACCCTTTATTTTCTAAAGATAAAATCAAAAGTTTTGCTCTATTATATATGACTGACAAATTTTAATTAACACATAATAGTTGTGTTCCACGAATTTCTATTTCAACAAAAATGTTTACTTCTACAGTTATTATTGATATTCTCGGTTTTTATTGTATAACAGGCGTCTACGAAATAATAAAGAATTATATCATTTTACTCATTGAGACAAATGAATCTTTGAAGGTGAATTAGCAGTGAGAGACTTTTTTTAACGGTCCTACCCGTCACTAACTCATCTGGCATATTTTTTCAAAGAAATTTTTATAAATAGAATCCTATTGATTTGATGAATCTCGTTTCTTTTTATCACATCTGCAAACAGTTCCATGATTAATCAACTCAAGTCGAATTATCCAACTGATAAATATTGAATAGATAAATGATATTCATTATTTAATTGTTTATTAATCTTTGAAATAAAATATCTCTGTTTTCTATATCGATTTCGAGCGAATGTCATTGTTATTTTCACCGGAATAAGTATTATTGTTTAGATCTTCTCTTTCTGAACTTGAAATTTTTTCGTTTATAAATAAATTCAACAGTCCAACACAATGTTGAACTTCAGTTGCTGTTCATTTGAATATAAGCTACATATTATCACGTCTAAAACAAATACTTTCTCTCTTTGGAGAACTCAAAAAGGTGAAAATTGAAAAAATATTCAACTACAGCGATTATCAAAATTTTTTTATCAGACGTCGTGAAAAGAGTTCAAACTTTTAGCCATACACGTTTTCTTTGCTTATCATTTCTCGCTGTTCTATTCGAAAATTTTATTGTTGACAATGTTACACACAACGACATCAAACGTTAACACGTCAGAGCGGGATCTTTTTATCATTTTTCTTCAGACTTCTGTACACCGATAGTCAACAATCTCGAAATGGCGACATCAACAAGCAAAGTACAATGTGTCACTTGTGCAAAAGACAAAGGTACAGTTCAATGTCATGGATGTTCACAATCATTCTGTTTCAAACATTTAACCGATCATCGACAACAACTCAATCAACAATTCGATGAAATTGAAATGACACGAGATCTTTTTCGTCAAACACTCACAGAATATTCCAACAACTTACAAAAACATCTACTCATCAAAGAAATCGACCGATGGGAACAAGACTCTATCAATCTCATTAGAAAAACAGCCGAAGAAGCGAGACAACACATGCACAAACATACAACTGAGCATTTATCGAAGATGGAGAAGAAACTAAATGACTTAACAAAACAGCTGAAAGAAGGTCGAGAAGATGATGACTTTGTGGAAATAGATCTTCAACAATGGAATCAACAACTGACTCAAATGAATGAAGAATTGATGAAACCAACAAACATCAAAGTGAAACAAAGTTCAACGCCATTGATAAGAATGATTAATGTTGAAATATTTGATAAGGGTGAGAGTAAAATCCTTCTTTTTCATTGTTAAATGACTCTCTTACAGATCTGAGTTCATATAATAATATTGATTTACTTTTTGTAGAGATGACAAATATCAGTGCAAATACCAAGTGGATGCAGAATGGTGTGACAGTGGCTGGAGGTCATGGAAAAGGCAATGGACTTAATCAATTAAATAACCCAATTAGCATGTGCATCGATGAGAATCAGACCATCTATGTTGCTGATTATAATAATCATCGTATAGTGGAATGGAAGAAAGGTGCGACGATTGGTCGGATAGTTGCTGATGGAAATGGACAAGGCGATCGAAATGATCAGTTGCATCGTCCAATATCTGTTGTAGTGGATGAGAAGACAGATTCGTTGATTATAAGTGATTACGATAATAGAAGAATAATGCGATGGTCTCGTCAGAATGGCACAAGTGGACAAGTGATTATTTCTGGTGTCAGATCTTATGGAATAGCAATGGATAGTGAAGGGTATCTCTATGTTTCAGACTGTGAGAAGAGCGAAGTTCGACGATGGAAGGTTGGTGATAAAAGTGGAGAAGTCGTCGCAGGTGGAAATGGAGGAGGAAATCAATTTGATCAACTGAATGGGCCTTATGGTGTGTTTGTGGACAAGAATCATTCTGTATATGTGGTAGACACTGGTAATCACCGAGTGATGAAGTGGGTGAAAGGTGCGAGAGAAGGTATTGTTGTTGCAGGTGGACAAGGTCAAGGAAACAGTTTGTCACAACTGAACTGTCCTTATGGAGTTGTAGTCGATCAGTTAGGAAGTGTTTATGTTGCTGATCAATGTAATCATCGAATCATGCGATGGTGTGTGGATTCACGAGAAGGAAATGTGATAGTTGGTGGAAATGGCGGAGGACAGGGAACAAATCAGCTGCATTGGCCATTGAGTTTGTTATTTGATGAAGAAAATAATTTATATGTGGTTGATCGTTCTAATCATCGAATTCAAAAGTTTAATATTGATGTGAAATGAATGATAAGTGATAGTGAGAATCACATACATAGACAATATATGTATAGTTCTGATAATTTCTTCTTTTATCTCATTGACACATATGATTCGAGAAAAGTTTTTTATTTTATCCAATAAATATAATCTTAATCACCTTTTTTAATCGAATAATCAATGTTCTCTCACCTTTGTAAGTCACAGTGGTTCAACGAGAACACAATAGAAATGAAAACTGATTAATTTGAAAGAAAAGTAAGGATGAAATGACTACAGAAAATATTTGATTGAGTAAATGAAAAAGAAAAGTTATTTTAATGATTTCAATCAATATCGAAATAAATAGAAAATAGTGATAAAAAGACTTAATATATTTTTAGAAATTCAATTCCCTATATATAAAATTACTTTAAAGTAGAAAAACTGTATTTGATTTAATTAAAAATCTAATGAAATAACTTTGTACTTAATGAATGATATTTTGTTAAAATAAGAGATCTACTCTTATCAAAGGTCCATGTATATTAAACTCGTTGAATCAGAGACGAATAACTTCATAATTGGAGTTGTCCATCTTTAAGTTGAATGAAAATAAAAAATTTAAATTGATGTTAAAGATGAACTCATAATTGGAATAATTTGTAGTTTGTTTTTTTGATAAATATAATTATAAAAAAAGAATTGAATTTAAATTGATTATGAAAATAAAAGAATAAAGCAGAAGTTTGAAAAAGATTTAATAAAATTATAAACTGAAATGAAATATATAACTCAATAAGGAACGATGTTTGATTAAAAAATCTTTGTATTGAAAAAGTTGAAAGAAATTAATAAATAAATGAAGAATAACAACATTTATTCTTATTTGATTTTCTTGAGAATATGAAATTGATTTTTTTATGACATTTTTCGTAACTTATTTTATCATAAATTTCAAATGAATTAAATGAAGATTTCTTCAATGATATTTTCTGATAAATAATAATTTTATCGAAATATTCAAATACTTTTTTTTTAGAAATAAGTTCATAGAATTGTCAAATAAAACAAAATGATCTGCATAATTCTTAATCGAATTATTATCAAAAAGAAAAGTATTTGTATTAGTATGAAATCTATTTTTCTTCGTTTATAAATAAAAATCAAATGATATATAATTAAAACGATTTCATTTCTTTCTCATCCTCATCTTATTAAATCATTTCATATTTAATTTCTGATATAAAAATATAAAATTTATCAGAGAATCTTATCTTTATTTTAATAACAATCAGTTAATGTGGAAGTTCATAATTATACATTGAAATGAATGTAAATATATAGTTTTAGTTGAAAATACATATGATTAAAAAGAAATCTATTCAGAACAATTCTCATTTTCTAAAAGAAATAAAGAAATATATTTAATTTTGATATATGTTCAAGTTTGATTTGTAGTTTTTCTTATGAAATAATGATAAACAAAAGAATTTGGATTTCTATTGAAAATTTGATTAAAAAACATATGGATTTTATTGAGAAAATGTGAAATTAATAAATAATTCCCATTATAAAACGATGTACATATTTAACATATTCTTATCGATATAATTCAAATCTTTGATATTTATTCGTTGTGTATTGATAAGAAAATGTCTTGAATACAATAGAACACTTTTCGTCTTTTTTTTTCTTTTTCTGACATGCTATCACGTACACAAAGAAATTATCTTACGGATAATTTCATATATAACAAATTTCTTTTTCGATTCTATTTTTATTTATTCATTCATTTATTTTTCGATTAATTAATGTACAAAAAACATTTCTAAAAGTATTTATTTGTGTATCAACTTGAAATAAAACCAAAAAAGCAAATGTACTTTTGATCTATTAACATTTGATAAACCATTTTATGTTTTACTTTACAAAAAGGAAGTTGATCCAAAATAAAGAGACGAGTAATTGTCAAGTCAACTTCCTCTATTTTGTAGATATTTACTTAATATTGATGTTGAAGAATACAAAATTCGACATGAAAATACAACATATGATAAAACCATGAGAAATATTATTATAATATAATTTATAGACGAATAAACATTATAAGAAGAATCATATGATCACAGTAGGGGATAACAACATGTTTGGATCTTTATTATAATAATATTCAGTTACACAAAGATATAGACAAATCAAAAACAAGATCTCAAATTACAAAATAGAACCAAGAAAAATATTGAGCAAATTGAATATAAAAAATAATGTTTTCAAATCCGAACTATAGTTGTAAATGACAGATATGTACGTAAAAATGTGTTATTGATTCAATACAATAAAAGGAAAAACAAAAGTGATCGAATACAAAAAAAATGAAGATGACATTGATTGATAGGAAAGAGTAAATCTTCATGTCATTGACAAAGACGAAACAATACGTAGACAAAAAAAATAGAATAATGATGAAGAGTTTTTTTGTCAATGTAGAATTCCAATGGGAAAAAATATTTTGAAAAAAAAGCTCTAAGAATGTGTTCGTATAGCGAAAGAACTTACACAAATACTAATACGATAAAAGTAATAAACAAATTCATCGATGCATCGTCTATGAAGTTGATTCACTTGTGTTGTTCATTGAAGAAAATCATCAACTCTGAAAAAAAAACCAAATCTTCTTTACATATTTCTAAATCTCGAAACAACATTCAATGAGAATCAATATGATCGATATTGTGAATGTGTAAGAGAAAAACAGAACGATTAATCAGCTTTCTTAGACGATCGGATGAGATGTGCTTTTACATATCTGAATAGACACTTTTCTCGATCATTCGATTCATTCAAATAAAGAAATATTGATGTTTGACGTCGAAATAAGTTGTTTACTTAGCATTTTATAGTAACTATTGTATGATAAGTGATAAAGTATTAAAAAATTGACGTCCTATTCAAATATCTTAGACTAAAAATACGATTTATTTTTTAAAAAGATTATTATTTGAAATCCAAATCAAACAGTATCGTCATTCTGTTTAACAATGTGATAAGGTTTCTTTTCAGGTAATTGAACATCACCATCTTGATGATCATGCGATTCTTCATGTTTTGCTAAATATAAATACCAATATAAAAATCCAACAAAAAATCCACCACCGATTATATTTCCCAATGTCACCGGTAATAAAACACGTAAAATATATTTTCCAATCGAAAGATTTGCACCGAGTATCATTCCCATTTGCACTGTGAACATATTCGCAATTGAATGTTCAAAACCAACGGCAATGAAAAGACTAATTGGTAAATAAATTGCAAGAATTTTTGAACTAACTTCTCGTGCACTTGTTGCTAAACATACAGCAAGACAAACAAGCCAATTTCCTCCAATACCTCGTATAAACATTTCATGCCATTCAGTATTACCCTTCACTTCGGCATAATGTGTGGCATATGAACGATATGGATCATATTTGAGAAGACCGGCATAATACACAAAGACAAATTGAAAGATTATACAACCAAGAAGATTTCCACAATATGAAACGATCCAAGATTTTAAAAGTTGAAGCCATGTAGTTTTTTTATTTAATGTTGAAACGATAAAAATCATTGTATTACCAGTAAATAATTCTACACCAGTAAGAAGAACTAAAACTAAACCCACCGGGAATACTAAAGCTTGAATTGTTTTATGAATACTTGTACCAAATAGATCACGTAGCGGAAGACTTCCACCGCCAATAGTTAATAAAAATAAACCGGCAAATGAAAGTAACATACCAGCCAGAATTGACTTGATTATTGTATGGTCGATTCTCTGTTTGGCTTTTTTTATTCCAGTATTGGATAAATTCTCAAATGTTTCATAAATATTATAACAATCCGACATTANCCAAACAGAGAATCGACCATACAATAATCAAGTCAATTCTAGCTGGTATGTTACTTTCATTTGCCGGTTTATTTTTATTAACTATTGGATAAATTCTCAAATGTTTCATAAATATTATAACAATCCGACATTATTTTATGAAATTTTGTATTCAAATGTGTAGAGAAGAGTCCCAACGACAATCGTTTATTTATCTATATGTGTAAAGAGCAATGTTTATCTGTTTTCCTATGTATAGAATTACATGCGTACGCTATCTCTCGGAGGTCAAGGCAAGAACGTTTGTAGACGGGCGTCTCTTTTCTTTTTCTTCTTCTTCTTCTTCTTCTTCTTTTTTTTTGCGGATCTATATATGACGACAAAACACATACAACGTATTTTTCTCTCTTTCTTTCTCTGTCCTTTGTCTCTCGTTTTTCATTTTTTTCCCGAATATACCCGTCTAAATCGATTTGCAATATAACGGCCGTTCTAGAACAAAGCCCATACTCATACATATAGAAATAGACAAGAATAGATTTGATCCTAGTTCTATAGATCGACGTCTTAATATGAGATTAGGAAAAGAGAATAAGATGTCGTTCTATTTAGTATGAGTAGATGCTCGAGCCGATTTTATATGTAAATGACGATTTCATTACCAATGTTAACGATAGATTATCTTTCAAACAATCTTTCTGTGAAAGATAATTAATAAATTATCAGTTAATGATTAATTAACAAAAAGATAATAATCAATTGAAATGGACTAACGATACGATCTGATCATCTTAGTAGAACTTCTGTTCGTAGGCGTAGAAAAAAAATAAGACATCGTTGATTCAAAAATGCCATATTATCATTACACATCCTCAATCAAATCCTCGTGATATGAAACTCGCTCAAGTGCTCGCCGTTTTTTTTTCCTGTTCATCTACACACAATTCTTGACTCATATATAATCAAACACATCGTGTGTTTGATTCATAGCACACATCACACTATCTTTTTTTTCTGCTGTTTTGTTTTCAATGTAAATATTAACATAGAGCAAAGAATGAAACAAGGTCGTTTTCCATCGTCTTTTTCTCCCGTTCTTTCGGTTACCATTCAGGACAGCTGCAAGTCTATCGTTTCTATTTAGAATAAGAAGCGTTTGGAGATTACTAACTATTGAAAATACAATTGTTCTTCTGAAAATAAATGAAGAAAATATATTAATACCAAAAAAAAGGAACAAAGACTAGTAAATTTGAATTTGTAGCCGATATATGCGAAGTTGAGTAATTGAACTCTATTCCCTTTAATTAAATAGTATATGAAAATTTTCTTCTACATGATCTCTGATGAGAAATGCCCCAGGAGGATTCTGAAAATAGAAGTCATTTCTGTATAAGTCATTAAAAATTGGTAGAGACGGATATTCTAAGGTCTTTTCTTATCTTTCTGACAGAACTTCTACACTTTCTTTCGGATATATTAACACATCTCTCATTTTATATTTTCAACTCAATTCAATTCAAATAAAATTATGCGGACTGTATTGAATTGTTCAGCTCTATACACACGATTCTTATGGTTAATTATTCAATACTTTTTACAGAAATATGTGTTTAAATATGTATTCATATTCACTGAAATCATATCGTTAACAATTTCTCATTATTTCTGATAAAATATCACACTTGTGAAAAGATTGATAAAATATGACGTGTGCATTTTCAAGAATATGAGAAGATTTTATGAAATTCTCCTCTTATATGAAGTAATAGAGAACAGGAAACTTTATTATGATTCATTATACGATCACACTTCAACTGAATTATAACAGTCATAAAGTAATGAAGTGAATGTGAATTGTTATCGACAGTGATCAAGGTCGTATAAATAATTTGTCACAACTGTCTATTCTTTGGGAAAAAAAGTGTTTATGTGGTAGATCAAGGAAATCAACAAGTAGAGTTGGTCGTGAAAATGGAAAAACGATAAGGAGTAAATCGATTTTCTCCTCTTTTGAATTTGTCGTTTCTTAAAGAAAATAAAGAGTTTTTTAACTGAAAAAAATTTTCTTCGTTTTATCGGCTGAGAAATATAAGTAGAGAAAAAACCCTTTTTGTTCTATATAATAAAAATAACTCTGAAGAATATTTTGAAGATCATGATGCTAATATTAATCTTTGTCTCATCAATGTCATTATTCAATAATTCATCAACAATTAATCTTTTTCTATTTATTAAAACTTCGAAAAAATGGAAAATATCCTTATTCTCTTCATTTTCATTATCATCAACACATTTCCTAAACTATTTAACACAATTGTCGATTCTTCCAGACACTTTTATGAATAACAACTGATCATTAAGCTTAAAAACATGTGGAAAGACTTTTCAGTAGCTTAATGAAAATCTCATTTCGCTGAATGAGCATAACTAATGACGTGAAAATTCTTCGTTCATCTTCTACGACTAATCATTTCCTTTCGATTTGATTGATGAGATCAGCAAAAACTATATGACATTCTCGACGTTATATTCAATTGAACAATTGACACATTGATTGATTTTTAGCGAAAATGATCGGAATTTTCAAATTTATTATTTGATTACAAAATGAATCTTTAACAATTCATATTTCTTCGAAAGACGATCACAAGTCTTTTCCCATTTATTGGAGAATTTCTCAAAAAAATGTTTCCATCAGAATAATATTTTCATGTTCATTATAGAACAAATACATCACTATCCAAATAAAACGAATGACAGGAGTAATTTTGTTCAAATCGTAGCGTTTTAGGAATAATTCAAACGATTAGAAATTATGAAAAAGATATATGAATGTATTTTTATATGAATCTGTGGATCAAATAATATTCAAACATTTCTTCTGTAGAAAAGATGATCAGAAAATAAATCTTTTGTTTGTTTATTTCGCATCACATCGTCGGTTTAAACACATTTCAAGAATTCTTTCATCTTATTTTCTTCAATTTTCATTAAACTTCATCAAAACAATTTCATGGGAATGTTCCAACTTCAGTTATATTTTGTCTTTGCCCATTCTGCACCTTTAAAAATGGTCCTATGGATATTGATTCACCTTTTCTGTGTCTTGCGTCTACATAAACCAGTGCAATCTTATCATCATTTTTGTTTTTCTTTTGACTTCTACATAACGACGATCAACAATTTCACAATGGCAACATNTGAGAAGATTTTATGAAATTCTCCTCTTATATGAAGTAATAGAGAACAGGAAACTTTATTATGATTCATTATACGATCACACTTCAACTGAATTATAACAGTCATAAAGTAATGAAGTGAATGTGAATCGTTATCGACAGTGATCAAGGTCGTATAAATAATTTGTCACAACTGTCTATTCTTTGGGAAAAAAAGTGTTTATGTGGTAGTAGATCAAGGAAATCAACAAGTATAATTGTTAGGGAAAATGGAAAAACGATAAAGAATAAATCGATTTTCTTCTCTTTTGAATTTGTCGTTTGATAAAGGAAATAAAATGTTTTTTTTTAACTAAAAAAAATTTTCTTCGTTTTATTGACTGAAAAATATAAGTAGAAAGAAAAACCTTCTTTTATTTTATGTAATAAAAATAATTCTGACGAATAGTTTGAAGATCATAATGAAGATGGTATTAATCTTTGTCTCATCAATGTCATTATTGAATAATTCATCATTAATTTATCTTTTTCCATTTATTAAAACTTCGAGAAAATGGAAAATAATCTTGTTCTATTCATTTTCATTATCATCAACACATTTCCTAAACTATTTAACACAATTGTCGACTCTTCTATAGATATTGTGAATAACAATTCATCATTAGACCTTAAAAGCATGTGGAAAGATGTTTCAGTAGCTTAATAAAAATCTCATTTCGCTGAATGAACATAACTAATGACGTGAAAATTCTTCGTTCATCTTCTACGACTAATCATTTCCTTTCGATTTGATTGATTAGATCAGCAAAAACTATGTGACATTTTCGACGTTATATCCAATTGAACAATTAACACATTGATTGACTTTTAGCGAAAATGATCGGAATTTTCAAATTTATTATTCGATTACAAGATGATCAACAAATTCTTTCATTTAATATCGATTTCAATTCGTTATTGAACAAATCCTTAACTATTCATATTTCTTCAAAAGATGATCACAAGTCTTTTCTCATTTATAAGTGAATTTTTCAAAAAAATATTTCCATCGAAATAATATTTTCATGCCTATTATAGAAAAAATACATCATTATCCAAATAAAACAAATAATAGGAGTAATTGTGTTCAAATCGTAGTGTTTTAGGAAAAATTTAAGCGATCAGATTTTATAAAAAAAGATATATGAAAGTGTTTTTATATGAATATGTGGATGAAATAATATTCAAACATTTCTTCTGTATAAAAGATGATCAGAAGATAAATCATTTGTTTGTTTATTTCGCTTCACATCGTCGATTTAAACAAATTTCAAGAATTCTTTCGCCTTATTTTCTTCAATTTTTTATCAAACTTCATCACAAAAATTCCACGGGAATCTTTCAACTTCAGTCGTATTCTGTCTTTGCCCGTTCTGCACCTTTAAAAATGGGCTTATGGATATTGACTCACCTTTTCTGTACCTTGTGTCTACATAAACCAGTGAAATCTTATCATCATTTTTGGTTTTTCCTCTGACTATCACAATTCATCAAGCAACAATTTCGAAATGGCAACATCAACAAGCAAAGTACAATGTGTTACTTGTGCAAAAGACAAAGGTACAGTTCAATGTCACGGATGTTCACAATCATTCTGTTTCAAACATTTACTGGATCATCGACAACAACTCAATCAACAATTCGATGAAATTGAAATGACACGAGATCTTTTTCGTCAAACACTCACAGAATATTCCAACAACTTACAAAAACATCTACTCATCCACGAAATCGATCGATGGGAACAAGACTCTATCAATCTCATTAGAAAAACAGCCGAAGAAGCGAGACAACACATGCACAAACATACAACTAAGCACTTATCGAAGATGGAGAAGAAACTAAATGACTTAACAAAACAGCTGAAAGAAGGTCGAAAAGATGATGACTTTGTGGAAATAGATCTTCAACAATGGAATCAACGACTGACTCAAATGAATGAAGAATTGATGAAACCAACAAACATCAAAGTGAAACAAAGTTCAACACCATTGATAAGAATGATTAATGTTGAAATAGTTGATAAGGGTGAGGGTAAAATCTTTCTTTTTCATTGTTAAATGACTCTCTTACAGATCTGAGTTCACATAATAATATTGATTTACTTTTTGTAGAGATGATAAATATCAGTGCAAAGACGAAATGGATGAAGAATAGTGTGACAGTGGCTGGAGGTCATGGACAAGGCAATGGACTTAATCAATTACATCTACCATACGGCATGTGTATTGATGAGAATCAGATCATCTATGTTGCTGATACTTATAATCATCGTATAGTAGAATGGAAGAAAGGTGCGACGACTGGTCGGATAGTTGCTGGTAGAAATGGGCAAGGCGATCGAAATGATCAGTTGTATTGTCCAACATCTGTTGTCGTGGATGAGAAGACAGATTCGTTGATTATAAGTGATTACGGTAATAGAAGAATAATGCGATGGTCTCGTCAGAATGGCACAAGTGGAGAGGTGATCATTTCTGATGTCACATCTTATGGAATAGCAATGAATAGTGAAGGGTATCTCTATGTTTCAGACTGGGATAAGAGCGAAGTTCGACGATGGAAGGTTGGTGATAAAAGTGGAGAAGTCGTCGCAGGTGGAAATGGCAAAGGAAATCGACTTGATCAACTGAATGGACCTTTTGGTGTGTTTGTGGACAAGAATCAGTCTGTATATGTTGTAGACAGTGGTAATCACCGAGTGATGAAGTGGATGAGAGATGCGAGAGAAGGTATTGTTGTTGCAGGTGGACAAGGTCAAGGAAGTAGTTTATCGCAACTGAATCATCCTCATGGAGTTGTAGTCGATCAGTTAGGAAGTGTTTATGTTGCAGATCAATGTAATCATCGAATCATGAGATGGTGTGTGGATTCACGAGAAGGAAATGTGATAGTTGGTGGAAATGGCGGAGGACAGGGAACAAATCAGCTGTATTGGCCATTGAGTTTGTTATTTGATGAAGAAAATAATTTATATGTGACTGATCTTTCTAATAATCGAATTCAGAGATTTAATGTTGATGTGAAATGAAGCGATACCGATGAAAAAAATGAGACTAGAACCAACTGTATGACGTAGTTTGTGCTTTCTTTTTCTCGATTGACAAATAAAACCGATGAGCGTAAATTTGATGATGAGTTTTATGTGATGATCAATGTTTCTGCTTTCATTGAAGATTAGAGGAATAATTTTTACGCTCGTTATTTGATTAAATCGCTATTTTCGTCACTACGACATCGAATAGTTGCTAGTTCTTTTCTCTACACTACAATCCGTATATTTTGTTGTGATTGAGGATAGTTAACGTGACTGGTTGATATTTCATATTAACGAATAGAAAAACATAATGTGATTGAATGTACATCTAATGTAGTAGTCTGTATTTCGTTGATTATGACACCATGGGTGATTGGATTTAGGTGGACACATAAATTCTTAAGTGAAATACTAAAACTGATGAACAACCCAATAATATGATACTAATTTTGTGTTATTTTGACTTTAAACAAGGCGAAAATTCCTAAAACAAGAATATTGACACATTGATCTCGATTGCTTTCCAATTCCACTGAACCATAAAAGCAGATAATCTTAAGAGTAAAAAAAATACACATTTTACTTATAGACATATATATTTGTGACGACATTATTTCGAGAATGATAGATAAGGAAAATAAGTTTAGACATATAATATTAAGATATCATCAAGTAACTTAGACTCGTAATTTGGAAATACAACATCAAATCTTCAACTCGTGTATTTCTCAAAAATGATTTTGATTGGATTTCTCTACAAAAAATATCACTTTGAAACCGAAATTCATTTTGAAAACAATGTATAAAAAAAAACTAGAAAATTTTGTAATACTTCATGAATCCATTCTCACTACATTTACTTCACTTTTAATGCTTTATTTTATATGAATTTTTGTACTGTTGAACTAATAGAGAAGAATAAAACACGAGTTAAATATTACAACAATTTGTTTTATTCGATTGTCATCGAACTTGAATTCTCTTGATCTGTAATATTATGAAATACGTACAATGAAAACTTTCTCAATATTATTGTAAAATAGTATGTTGATTATCGTTTTTATCATATGAATCTTGTTCTGATTAAAAAAAACATTTCACGGATATGATAAACGAGCCGATAAATCAAATATTTGTTGTTGTTTAATATAATAAAGATTTGTAAACAAATTCTAATTTTCTTTAAAAAAGATTTGATATGATTGATGAAGAATTCGAATATAATAAGTTAATAATAAACTTATTTGAATATCATCAACATAAATATCATTTCAATATTATATAAAAATATTTTTAATCCATCTGTTATGGTTTTTGAATAAAAATGTTTTGTTTTGGTTATAAACGATTCAAATATTGACAAGAAACATTAAATTAACTGTTATTTTACTCTTAACAGTTGACAAAAAACAATTCGTTGATTTCAAATTCGTTTTTTTTTCGAAATAATCTAAATCTCTATCGTCATTATTTTGTGAATAATAAAATTTTCCTACGCTGATAGTAAAACATATTGATTTGTTAGGGTGATCATTTTGAAAATATTCTTTCATATTTGTTTGAGAATTTATTTTAAAAAAAAGTAAATAATTCATCGATCTTTCTCATTTCAAACTTAAGAAGTGATTTGACACAATATAATATCATCTACATTAAATATTCACCTTCGATTCTAAGAAAATTCTAAGAAAATGTTGGATTTTTGTCATTTGAAAGATTTTCAAAATAGAAATTTTTTCTTTATCTTTACAATTTCTCATCACATATTCCATTGAGAAAATTTCAATACCTATAAATCTTCAATCATATGAACAAATGAATTTATTTCAATCAACTTTACTTTATTCTTTCTCTTCAATTTAATTCAGAAAATTCTTTCAAAATTTGTTCTTCGATATTTGTAACTTTCAAATGTATTGATTAAAATAATCTTTCGAATTATTGTTCATTAATGCATAACAATTCAAATGTCGCGTCTAAATCTTAAAACATATTAACAAAAAGTGTTGTTTTCTATTAAATTCTTCTATGTTATATTTCAGTTCGAAACGAAGATATTATTTATCTTTTTTTTGATTTATTGATAAACATTTGTAGAAAATCTTTCGAATGACTTTTCAATAAAACTTCTTTAAAGAAGATCAATTTCTCCAAATTTTGATGATTTAATCATAATAGAATTTGAGTCATTTGCGTTTAATTTATGAATCATATTTGTTGGAAATATATTTAACATAATAATGAATTTCGAATTATTGATTTGTACTCTTCAGATCTTTTCAAATACTTTTGAATGAGAAAAAGACTCTAAATATCGATCAAACATAATTTTCAAATTGAATTGTCTCATTGACACTCCTAGAACTACTCACTTCCAATTTGAAAACACCTTAAAAGTTGATGTTCTTCATCAAAGTATGATGAGATGAAACACACTGTAACAACTGAAAAATATCTAAACATCTCTTTTTAAATGTGTAGTTTTACAAACGCAATTGGTTAATCAAACATTTCGATCGTCAGATCATTAGAAATAACATCAATGTGGAGCTACCATCATACTGGGTTTCTTCCCTTACCATTTTACATCGTGAAAATTTTATTGTTGACATTGACTCACGTCTTCTACAACAAATTTTTACACAAAGGAGAAAGAAATCGTTAATACTCTTTATTTTTCGTCTTTTCTTCCAAACATCACAATTCGTCAAGCAACAATTTCGAAATGGCAACATCAACAAGCAAAGTACAATGTGTCACTTGTGCAAAAGACAAAGGTACAGTTCAATGTCATGGATGTTCACAATCATTCTGTTTCAAACATTTAACTGATCATCGACAACAACTCAGTCAACAATTCGATGAAATTGAAATGACACGAGATCTTTTTCGTCAAACACTCACAGAATATTCCAACAACTCACAAAAACATCCACTCATCAACGAAATCGATCGATGGGAACAAGACTCTATCAATCTCATTAGAAAAACAGCAGAAGAAGCGAGACAACACATGCACAAACATACAACTAAGCACTTATCGAAGATGGAGAAGAAACTAAATGACTTAACAAAACAGCTGAAAGAAGGTCGAAAAGATGATGACTTTGTGGAAATAGATCTTCAACAATGGAATCAACGACTGACTCAAATGAATGAAGAATTGATGAAACCAACAAATATCAAAGTGAAACAAAGTTCAACACCATTGATAAGAATGATTAATGTTGAAATAGTTGATAAGGGTGAGGGTAAAATCTTTCTTTTTCATTGTTAAATGACTCTCTTACAGATCTGAGTTCACATAATAATATTGATTTACTTTTTGTAGACATGCCAAATATCCCAAACATCAATGCAAATACCAAGTGGATGCAGAATGGAGTGACAGTGGCTGGAGGTCATGGACAAGGCAATGGACTTAATCAACTAAATCAACCATTTGGCATATCCATTGATGAGAATCGGACCATCTATGTTGCTGATTATAATAATCATCGTATAGTAGAATGGAAGAAAGGTGCGACGACTGGTCGGATAGTTGCTGGTGGAAATGGGCAAGGCGGTCGAAATGATCAGTTGTGTCTTCCAAGATCTGTTCTCGTGGATGAAAAGACAGATTCATTGATTATAAGTGATTGCAGTAGAAGAATAATGCGATGGTCTCGTCAGAATGGCACAAGTGGACAAGTGATCATTTCTGGTGAAAATTCTTATGAACAACTGGCAATGGATAGTGAAGGGCATCTCTATGTTTCCGACTCTGGGAATACCGAAGTTCGACGATGGGAAGTTGATGATAAAAGTGGAGAAGTCGTCGCAGGTGGAAATGGACCAGGAAATCGACTTGATCAACTTTGTGAACCTCGTGGTGTGTTTGTGGACAAGAATCAGTCTGTATATGTGGCAGATGGTGATAATAATCGAGTGATGAAGTGGGTGAAAGGTGCGAGAGAAGGTATTGTTGTTGCAGGTGGACAAGGTGAAGGAAGCAGTTTGTCACAACTGAACGGTCCTTGGGGAGTTGTAGTCGATCAGTTAGGAAGTATTTATGTTGCAGATCAATGTAATAATCGAATCATGCGATGGTGTGTAGATTCACGAGAAGGAAATGTGATAGTTGGTGGAAATGGACAAGGACAGGGAACAAATCAACTGCATTGTCCTATGAGTTTATCATTTGATGAAGAAAATAACTTATATGTGAGTGATTATGGAAATCATCGAATTCAGAGATTTAATGTTGATGTGAAATGAAGCGATATCGATGAAAAAATGGGACTATAAAAATCATTTGTATCATGTTGTTTATGCTTTCTTTTTGTTGATTGCCAAATAAAAAGTGAAAACGTTTTTTCTCAGCAATGAGTATAGAACCTGGTGATCAATGTTCTTTCGATTCTGCATTGTTCTATTACAACGGAAGATGAGAATAATCAAGTTGAGCTCCCATTATGTAAATCGATATTGTTCTTCATAGAATTTGATTATGATTGAATCTAATGAACATTGATGAATGAGACTTCTCCAAATATCAAAATGAAACATCATTGACTTATGAGAATGATTGAAAAGTGAAAACAATGGTGCTTCTTTATTGTTTCACTTTCAACAATGTTAAAACTCGTAAAAAATGTTGACATAAAGTATTCATTTCTCTTTGAAATTTATGAAACTAAATCAATTATTTCCGAAATACAATAACATTGCGTTACATGCGATGATTGTGAACATCTAATTACTATATAGTTTATTTATTCGAAAGTCAAAATACTTCCTACAGAAACAAATTTATACAATTCTTCTATAAAATCGAATAAAAATGGATCTTTATCTGAGCAGAAACTTTTAACATCTTTCCAAATCTTTTTCGATTGACTCAACCGAACAGCGAGACGTGTTGTTGAAATATTAAAACACGAATGTGGTGGTGGCATGTCGAATGGTTGTTTCGAAAATTGATTGATAATTGATAATTCTTTGTAGAATTGTTCACATTCATTCAATTCTTTGTCAATTATTTCATTTGGAACATAAACATTTGCGTATTTTCGAATCTTCTTTCGTAATTCAAAACATTTTTCTCGTGAAAAATGATTTTTTAGTTTTGAATATGAATATTGCTGATATGGCTTATCGAGTGATGTTGCATCGATTTCCAATCGATCTAAAACGAAAATTATTTTCATTTGAAAATATTTGAAAGGAGATGATTATAACCTTTTGTTTCATCATACGTATCCAAAAGTGAATATTTGAGAAAAGAGACAATCAATGCAATAAGAGTGGCTTCTAATATATTGGATTTCGTTGTTTGTGTTTTCAGCCAAAGTTTGATAAGTGAACACCAAATTTTATAATCGCGATGAACTTTATGCCAATTGAGAGATGATCCAAGAGCAAAATCGACACAACTGAGTAAAAAAGTTCTTCTTTTTTTTTCTTCATAACAAATAAAATCATCTAATGAAACAAGATCATCATTTTGAATATATTCTAATAGATTATAAGTTTTGCCATGAAAGGTAACAATCCACGAATGAATATTATGATCTTTGAGGAATGAATTATCCCATTTGAGGAGCATATAACACATTGGTATGAGTAAATTTAAATGTGTTGAATGATTTCCTCGCCAACCACGAAGAATTTCTCGATGAGAAAGAATACGAACAATGGCATAGTCGAGTTGACCATTTATATAAAGTTCTTCTAAAAATTGAGGAAATTCATTGGAATTGTATGTTACCAATGGTGTTGGTGGTGGCGATTCTGTGTAACTTTTCATAATTTGTTCAAATTCCAGTTGATCTTGCGGTAAAACCAATGAAATGATTTTTTTAAATGCTACACTTTCATCGACATCTTGAATATATCGAAGTAAACCGAATTGACAAGTCAATCGTTGACGTTTTTCGTCATCTGACTGTGAATCATCTAGCCAACGACGAAATTTTTTCGCATCAGGCAGATCGTTGTTGATTGAGAAATATTTCTAAAAGAAAACAAATCAAACCTTTTGATTCAATCCCAACGAAATTTCTCACTTCAAGGTCATCAAGACTGATAAAATCATAAGCAATGGTTGTTGCCCATAAAGCAACACATCGTTGAGTTAATTTTTGAAAAACATCTTTCATTTGATAATATTTTCCTTGAAGTGTTGAGAAATCCAAAGTTGGAAGTGGAATATAACCTGTTGGAAGTTCATAAAGATGATAATCCGAATCACGAGCAAGTATATACGCATGATGTTCTCGTGCCATACGAACAATCATTGGATCTGCTTCACCAGGTGCAACAAAAACGTCGATATCTAAACTTTTCAATACTGAACGAAGTTCTTCACGAAGAAGAGTTGGAATTCCATTGGAACTATGATTGAATTTCACACTACTTTCTCGTTCAGGTTCAGATCTACGACGTTCATGTCGATGAAAAACACCATCAAGAACAACAAGAACTTCTTCACAATGTTCTTTCAATCGTTTTAAACGATCTTGAAACTTTTCCCATAAACCATCGTACGAAAATTGACTGATTGTTTTTCGTTCGACCATACATTTATCTTGATCTTCAATTTGAGCTTCATAATACATATAATAGAAGAATGAATAGCCATCAACAATAATCTTTTGACCTTTTAAATTAATCCATTTCGATGTATCATTATTGACGAAAATATAATCATTTACGAGTGTAGGAAAGAATGAAAAGCACATTGTAATACGAATTTATGTGTTAACAACATCGTTCTCGTGTGGTTTTTATAATCGTTCAGAACTGGGGATTTTACTGTGTAAAAACTTTCGAAATTTGCAAAATGATGAAGGCAACAGCTGTGTACATGACTGGAGGAAACAAAAGAATCTTTCTCTCCAGCCACATAATAATACTAATGAAAGGTTTTTTCCAACAATTATACATTAAGAAACTTGGAAGAAAAAAAAATTTGCTCTTTTAAAAAAAGCGACATAAAATACGATTGGGTTAAATAAAAGTATGAATTTCACGTTGACAACAATAAAAATACTTGACTGATTCATTAAGCAAACATGAAAAACCTCAGTTGTCTTCTTCTTTCTTGTAATTCACGTGGTAAAATATTGGAGAATTTTATGTGTTTCTTTTTTTAACAAATTTTAAAAAACATTTTCAATATTTTTGTTATTCGTTTAAGAATTGAACGTATGAAATCCAAATTCGAACACACGATGGAAAATATTCATCAGGTGAAATTGCAAAACTTGTTGGTAAATGTTGTTTTAACCATAGAATAAGTTCATCAATGAAAATCGATGTATAATATGGATTTGTTTGATCAATTGAATCTTTCGAATGAACATAAAGTGCTCGAAGATTTTTCATATGATTAATAAGAAAGAGAATCTCCGATCGATTTTCTACATGAATTAACAAAACTTCACATTGGTTTACTAAAGATGTTTTACATAATTGTTGACAAATATTTTCATTTGCATAAAGATAAATCGATCGTAAATCAAGACGACGAATTGATTGACTTGTGATTTTATCAAAGAAAAAATGACGAGAAAATTGTTTGGAATATAATCTCAATGAATAAAGATTTGTTGCACGATCAAATAAACTTTGTAATTGAGATTGAATGGAGAAATCATCGGGAATTTGAATAGAAATTGATCTTAGTTGAGAAATATCAAAAGTATTCATCCAAAATAGATTAATACATGGAAATAACACATCAATATGATGAATTTTCAACAATTGAGTTGAATTTGAACATGTGGATTGAAATGGTTTATCCAAATATTGAAAACTTTTCGCGAAAGTACAAGGTAAAGTATAAAGACAAAGTGATTTATTATAATAATGACATCGAACAAACCATTGATGTTCAATCAGCCAAAATGAAGTGCGGAATGATTCAAGAATTACATCAACTTGATTTTCTTTGTTGAGATTCGATGGTGTATCAAATTTCATCATTAATTCAAAGATTTTCAATTTTGATAGATCATTTCTAATGATCTTCTCCCATCGATATCCATTTATTTCGATATACTCTGTTTGAATTTTCAATTGTTTCAAATTTGGAAAACGTTCCAAAAGTTCATCGAGAAAATCAAATGAAGAAGAATAAACTAAATGAAGACTTTTCAGCGATGAGCCTATGAATGAAAANAAACTGTTTTATCGAGTAAGATATATTACCTTTTACGATTATACAAGATTTCTAACCATAACCAACCAAGAACAAGCATGATCATACCGATTGGTAAACCATACAGAAGAAAGTTAGCAAAAGAAATTTGCAGTCTGATATTTCCACTGGCATAGTATCTAATGAGAAAAAAACAGGAAAATATAAAATAAATAAACATTGTTTCACCTTACTGATCACTGAATCCTTTGACGAAAATATTTGGACCTGTTCCTACCAATGTCATCATACCACCAATAGCCGCACTGAAGACCACAGCAATTAAAAAGCCTATAAATACGAGTATTAGAGTATGTTTGTTCTTCTTTCATTATCGAACAACGATTCTTTTCAATCAAAATATTTAGTCAAAATTCTAACTTTCTGACAATAGATCATATACAGATGAGTAAAAAATATTTTACGTGATATGACTCTACTCTGTATATACTATACCTGTTTCAAGACGTTTGTAGTCGGTGTCGTTTGAGAAATCTTTAGATTGATTGGGATCAGATGTTGGACTAAAAACATCACTACGTCATATATATAATTATTGGAAACTGTAAAAACTCTAGCTTCCGAGAAATCTTATATATTATACTGAACAACCTAGAGTGTATGTAAGAAGTTAGAAAGTTTTCTTAATTAGATTCTCGCATTCTGACATCCTTCGTAAGGGCTGCGAAACAATTTTGGTTAACTTGGATTTTTCAAAATACCACACTTACTTTTCTATAGAAGAATTTGATTCTACAACGATACTTTGTAGTGTGAATGTTTGGTCAGTTGTATTATCATCTGTAGATGACTCGTTTTTGGATTCAGCTAAAAATAGAAAATATATACTGAATATGTAGCTGTATGAATAGGAGAGTATCCTTTATATTTGAAATCATTTAACATAATAGTACTGGAGTTTTGTTCGTTTTTATTCTTACTAGTTGCAACTGCTTGTTTGGTTGCCTGTTCATAGCTTTTAAGTTCATTGACAATGGCTATTGCAGTTGGTATCATTATATTCGCAGAAGCTGAATTATTTATCCACATGCTCAGAAAAGCGGTTACTCCCATCAGTCCGGCTAAACTCCTATAGATAACGTATGAATAAATGTTTTGTTTCCTTTCGAAAAAATAGTAAGACAAACACATACCATGTGACTGATGCACCAACATATTTCAGTACTAATAAGGCTAATCGTCTATGTAAACGAACATGTTCCATAGCATAAGCCAGAATCATAATACCGACAAACATTGTTGTAATATCCTATAGAGAGCAAAGAATAAAACCAATACCATTGAAACAATGGATCAAAAATTAACAATAAAATTTTTACTTTGAAATAGTTTAAACCGACTTTGTCACCAGGCAAAACGCCACCCATTGGAAAGAAAACCAATGGTAGTAAGGAAGTTACTGCATATGGCATTACTTCAGATATCCAATAAATAGTAAGAAGAATTACAATGTATGCACATTTTGCTTGCTGAAAAATATTTAAAATAAACACAATATTTATTTCATAGTATATTAAGAGTATTGCTGAATACTTACAACGGTTTTAATAACAACAGGTAATGGAAGAAGGATTAATGGAGCGAGTAAAATAAGTAACAACCGCCACCAGCGTTTGAGTAAGGTCCCACCACGCAATAAAATTAACATGATCAATTTATAACGAAAATTCTTTTTTTTCTCTTTCTACGATCGTGTTCATCTATTGTTATGTTAGTTAAATCCTTCATATTTATAGGTTGCTACTTTATAGTAGTATATGGAGGCGTTTATCCACATCTCTACCATTAGTAATGAATACCATTTAATATGCACTTTTTCTCCCATGTAAACGGACCAAGAAGTTCTTGTATACAATACTCCTTTGTACGCATTCACTCATCGATTTTCGACTGAAGTATATGCTTTAATGAAATGTCATGCTTGTACTTTGCCTCGAAAGTCCAGAAGAACTAACTGTTTCATATGATTAAACTTCGAAGGCGGCACTTTCATCTTGCCCTCTTTCATTTTCTAGAACAGAAAGCAAAAGCTTCGTGCCATTAATCAAGCTTTATATTAACGTAAAATCTCATTCACATAATGGTGCTTTTCTTTCGACTAATGATTCTATTATTTTTGCTCAAGACAAGACAGTTTATTGTGGTGTTAACAAACTTGCAAAAAAATTGGAAAATAGAAAACATTATAGTTCTACGGATGTAGACTTTAAATGTTATGATTCCTTACAAAAAGAAAGATGGCAAGTTTATGCATGATACAATAGATATATGATATGTAATCAATTTGAAGGCTTCGGTATTTTGTTCGCATCCGAATGTTGTTTGCCGTTTCGTATTTCCTTGATCGTCTGCTCTTGCATTAATTCTATTGATATATTAGGTGTGTACTGTTCTTTGATAATAGCTTCTTCCCATTCGGAACAAATTAAATTGTTCTCGTATTGTTCTTCTGTTGACGTCTTATATTTGCTGTATTTTGTACTGTAGTTGTTTTGACTAGCTATAGAAAAACGAATATTTTTCCAAATAACATGAGCAATACAACGCTGCATTATGTCCACTTGCTTTTTTAGTATTGTTTTTGACTTCCATTCCTCTCTCTCTCTCCCTTTATATAAGCCTATGATTTAGAACGATAGAAGGAACCTAGCTACGGTCTAAGTGACCTTCGTTTTTACTACCTTGGGAGGTATAGTCATGAAACCGTGTCAAAAACATATATACTAATCAAAATAATTTTACAAAACCATGTATATATGGTCCTTTTTTCTTTCTCTTTTTATGCAGATCGTAATTTAATGTTTGATGAAAATGGATATTTGAATGAGAAAAACAAGAATATATAGATGTATAGCTATAGTCAACTTTTCATGTCAATTATTCATTTTAATCGAGGACATTCTTGACTTCATGATCTGCAGAACTTTTGTAGTACAAACATTTGGATGACATTAAACGTTGAAGCTAAGCGTAATATAGTTGTTATTTTTTTTCTTTCTCTTGAATGATAAGAGAAAGCCAATAAAATGCCTAAGAACGAATGAATCATTATTCTATTGATGATTGACTCTTAAAGGCAAAGCTACTTAATTATTGTTTTCACACGTAGAAGAAATCCAAGTATTTTATTGTTTATATTATGTTGTAAATTGAGATTTCTAGATTGATAATAATTTTATCAAAAAGAAGTATATTCGAAAGTCAAATAAAGGATTTGTTTCATTGAAGTCTATTAATACTACTTCTTCATTGTTAAACTTTGTGCATAGAAAAAATGACAGAAAAACCTATGGGCCTTCATCAAAAGCTCTTTTTTCGGAATTGTCTAGTACTCATAAATATCAAACAAGTCTAGAAACATGTTTTCTGGTAGAAATCAGACTAATCTCATTGAATTTCATATGTGGTGAGTCATTTTCAATGTATATGATAATAGTCCTATTGCGCGAATGTGAATTAGATTCAATTAATTTGAAGAAAGCCTGATTTATTTTCGTTGTAAAGTTATAAGGAAGTTGATGTCATTAAATATTGTCACAAAATTAATCCTAAGTGATGAAGATAGCTATTCATTATGAATACTCGATATCGTCATCACGTATGGTTTTGATAAAAATTCAGTCTATGGAGAAACATAAAAAGGAAGTTTTAATTGGTGTGAAGCTAGCACGAACGAAAGATATGTTAGCTAGAAACTTTTTTACTAAGTATGCCCCGTCCACGAAAACTATACCATTCGACTCAGAATTTGCTAGCTTCACACTGATCGACAATATCGAGATTTTCCCTGACTCACTAATCGGTTTCACTTAACGGTTGCAAGCATCAACCACATGAAAACTATTGTTTTAAACAAGTATCTGTATATATCAATGCTGAAACTCATATAAAATACGGGCCATAAGATCGTATATCAGCTTAGTAACAATACCACTGTCGTGGCAATCAGGATTCCAACAACAACGAAATATCGTAGTAGTCTGACCCTTTGAACTGTTTTTAGCTCAACTATTCAAATGATATCCTTTCGAAATCAGACTGTTCATCTCGTACAGTTATTGCATTATATTAGCATTCCCATCGATGTGATCAAAATACGGTCCTCATAAAATATATGTATTTGGTTTATAAAGATTACACAGATCATAGACTTATGTAAAGTCTCAGTAATTCTTGTGGTCATTGTGGTCAATAAAATTAAATGCATATAACTTATGAAGACCTTATTGAATAAATCCTTAACTATTCATATTTCTTCGAAAGACGATCACAAGTCTTTTCCCATTTATTGGAGAATTTCTCAAAAAAATGTTTCCATCGGAATAATATTTTCATGTCTATTATAGAAAAAATACATCACTATCCAAATAAAACGAATGACAGGAGTAATTCTGTTCGAATCGTAGCGTTTTAGGAATAATTCAAACGATCAGAAATTATGAAAAAGATATATGAATGTATTTTTATATGAATCTGTGGATCAAATAGTATTCAAACATTTCTTCTGTAGAAAAGATGATCAGAAAATAAATCGTTTGTTTGTTTATTTCGCATCACATCGTCGGTTTAAACAAATTTCAAGAATTCTTTCGTCTTATTTTCTTCAATTTTTATCAAACTTCATCACAAAAATTTCACGAGAATCTTCCAACTTCAGTTATATTTTGTCTTTGCCCCTTCTGCACCTTTAAAAATGGTCTTATGGATATTGATTCACCTTTTCTGCATCTTGTGTCTACATAAACCAGTGCAATCTTATCATCATTTTTGTTTTTCTTTTGACTTCTACATAACGACGATCAACATTTTCACAATGGCAACATCAACAAGCAAAGTACAATGTGTTACTTGTGCAAAAGACAAAGGTACAGTTCAATGTCACGGATGTTCACAATCATTCTGTTTCAAACATTTAACTGATCATCGACAACAACTCAGTCAACAATTCGATGAAATTCAAATGACACGAGATCTTCTTCGTCAAACACTCACAGAATATTCCAACAATTCACAAAAACATCCACTCATCAACGAAATCGACCGATGGGAACAACACTCGATCAATCTCATTAGAAAAACAGCCGAAGAAGCGAGACAAAAGATGCAGAAACATACAACTGAGCACTTATCGAAGATGGAGAAGAAACTAAATGACTTAACAAAACAACTGAGAGAAGGTCGAGAAGATGATGACTTTGTGGAAATAGATCTTCAACAATGGAATCAACAACTGACTCAAATCAATGAAGAATTGCTGAAACCAACAAACATCAAAGTGAAACAAAGTTCAACACCGCTGATAACAATGATCAATGTTGAAATAGTTGATGAGGGTGAGGATAAAATACTTCTTTTTCATCGTTCGATGATTCTCTTACAAATCTGAGTTCACATAAAATCATTATTTCGCTTTTTGTAGACATGTCAAATATCCCAAATATCAGCGCAAAGACGAAGTGGATGCAGAATGGGGTGACAGTGGCTGGAGTCCATGGAAAAGGCAACGAACTTAATCAATTAAATAGCCCATACGGCATGTGCATTGATGGGAATCAGACCATCTATGTTGCTGATTATGGTAATCATCGTGTAGTGGAATGGAAGAAAGGTGCGACGACTGGTCAGATAGTGGCTGGTGGAAATGGAGAAGGAAATCAAAATGATCAGTTGCTTGTTCCAACATCTGTTGTCGTGGATGAAAAGACAGATTCGTTGATTATAAGTGATGGCAATAATAGAAGAATAATGCAATGGTCTCGTCAGAATGGCACAAGTGGACAAGCGATTATTTCCAATGTCACATCTTATGGAATAGCAATGGACGGTGAAGGGTATCTCTATGTTTCCGACTTGAATAAGAACGAAGTTCGACGATGGAAGATTGGTGATAAAAGTGCAGGAGAAGTCGTCGCTGGTGGAAATGGCAAAGGAAATCGACTTGATCAACTGAATGTACCTTGTGGTGTGTTTGTAGACAAGAATCAGTCTGTATATGTGGTAGACAATGGTAATCACCGAGTGGTGAAGTGGGCGAGAGACGCGAGAGAAGGTATTGTTGTTGCAGGTGGACAAGGTGAAGGAAGTAGTTTGTCACAACTGCATCATCCTTATGGAGTTGTGGTTGATCAGTTAGGAAGTGTTTATGTTGCAGATCAATATAATCATCGAATCATGCGATGGTGTGTGGGTTCACGAGAAGGAAATGTAATAGTTGGTGGAAATGGACAAGGACAGGGAATAGATCAACTGTGGCATCCATTGAGTGTGTCATTTGACGAAGGAAATAACTTATATGTGACTGATCTTTCTAATAATCGAATCCAGAAGTTTGATGTTGACGTGAAATGAAGGGATGTCGATGAAAAAATGGGACTATAAGAATCATCTGTATCATGTTGTTTATGGTTTCTTTTTGTTGGTTGACAAATAAAAAGTGAAAAACGTTTTTTCTCAGCAATGAGCATAGAATCTGCTGATCAATGTTCTTTCGATTCTGCATTGTTCTATTACAACGGAAGATGAGAATAATTAAGTTGAGCTCGCACAATGTAAATCAATAATGTTCTTCATAGAATTTTGTTATGATTGAATCTAATGAACATTGATGAATGGGACTTCTGCAAACATCAAAATGAAACATCATTGACTTGAGAATGATTGAAAAGTGAAAACAATGGTGTTTCTTTATTGTTTCACTTTCAACAATGTTAAAACTTATGGAAAATGTTGACATAAAGTATTGATTTCGTTTTCAAATTTGTAAAACTAAATCAATTATTTCCGAAATACAATAATATTCCGTTACATGCGATGTTTGTGAACATGTAATTAGGAGTTTATTCATTTGAAAGTCAAAATACTTCCTACAGAAACAAATCTATACAATTCTTCTATAAAATCGAATAAAAATGGATCTTTATCTGAGCAGAAACTTTGAACATCTTTCCAAATCTTTTTCGATTGACTCAACCGAACAGCAAGACGTGCTGTTGAAATATTAAAACACGACCGTGGTGGTGGCATGTCGAATGGTTGTTTCGAAAATTGATTGATGATCGATAATTCTTTGTAGAATTGTTCACATTCATTCAGTTCCTTGTCAATTATTTCATTTGGAACATAAACATTTGCGTATTTTCGAATCTTCTTTCGTAATTCGAAACATTTTTCTCGTGAAAAATGATTTTTCAGCTTTGAATATGAATATTGCCGATATGGCTTATCGAGTGCCGTTGCATCGATTTCCGATCGATCTAAAAGGAAAAGTATTTTTATTTGAAAATATTTGAATCGAGATGATTGTAACCTTCTGTTTCGCCATACGTATCCAAAAGTGAATATTTGAGAAAAGAGACAATCAATGCAATAAGAGTGCCTTCTAATACATTGGATTTCGTTGTTTGTGTTTTCAGCCAAAGTTTGACAAGTGAACACCAAATTTTATAATCGCGATGAACTTTACGCCAATCGATAGATGATTCAAGAGCAAAATCAACACAACTGAGTAAAAAAGTTCTTCTTTTTTTTCCTTCATAGCAAATAAATTCATCTAATGAAACAAGATCATCATTTTGAATATATTCTAATAGATCATAAGTTTTTCCGTGGAAGGTGACAATCCACGAATGAATATTATGATCTTTGACGAAGGAATTATCCCATTTGAGGAGCATATAACACATTGGTATGAGTAAATTCAAATGTGTTGGATGATTTCCCTGCCAACCACGAAGAATTTCTCGATGAGATAGAAAACGAACGATGGCATAGTCGAGTTGACCATTTACATAAAGATCTTCTAAAAATTGAGGAAATTCATTGGAATTGTATGTTACCAATGGTGTTGGTGATGGCGATTCTGTGTAACTTTTCATAATTTGTTCAAATTCCAGTTGATCTTGCGGTAAAATCAATGAAATGATTTTTTTAAATGCTTCACTTTCATCGACATCTTGAATATATCGAAGTAAACCGAATTGACAAGTCAGTCGTTGACGCTTTTCGTCATCTGACTGCGAATCATCTAGCCAACGACGAAATTTTTTCGCATCAGGTAGATCGTTGTTGATTGGGAAATGTTTCTAAAAGAGAACAAATCAAACCTTCTGATTCAATCCCAACGAAATTTCTCACTTCAAGGTCATCAAGACTGATAAAATCATAAGCAATGGTTGTTGCCCACAAAGCAACACATCGTTGAGTCAATTTTTCGAAAACATCTTTCATTTGATAATATTTTCCTTTGAGTGTTGAGAAATCCAAAGTTGGAAGTGGAATATAACCTGTTGGAAGTTCATAAAGATGATAATCCGAATCACGAGCAAGGATATACGCGTGATGTTCTCGTGCCATGCGAACAATCATTGGATCTGCTTCACCTGGCGCAACAAAAACGTCGATATCTAAACTTTTCAGTACTGAACGAAGTTCTTCACGAAGAAGAGTTGGAATTCCATTGGAACTATGGTTGAATTTCACACTACTTTCTCGTTCAGGTTCAGATCTACGACGTTCATGGCGATGAAAAACACCATCAAGGACAACAAGAACGTCTCCACAATGCTCTTTCAATCGTTTTAAACGATCTTGAAACTTTTCCCATAAACCATCGTACGAGAATTGACTGATTGTTTTTCGTTCGACCATACATTTACCTTGATCTTCAGTTTGAGCTTCATAATACATATAATAGAAGAATGAATAGCCATCGACAATGATCTTTTGACCTTTTAAGTTAATCCATTTCGATGTGCCATTATTGACGAAAATATAATCATTTACGAGAGTAGGAAAGAATGAAAAGCACATTGTAATACGAATTTATGTATTAACAGCATCGTTCTCGTGCGGTTTTTATAGTCGGTTCAGAACTGGGGATTTTACTGTGTAAAAACTTTCGAAATTTGCAAATGACGAAGGCAACAGCTGTACATGACTGGAGGAAACAAAAGAAGCTTTTTCTCCGAGCACATAATCATACTGATAAAAGATTTCTTTAATAATTACATGAAGAAACTTGGAAGAAAAAAAAATGTTCTTTAAAAAAACCAGCGACATAAAATACGATTGGGTTAAATAAAAGTATGAATTTCACGTTAGCAACGATAAGAATACTTCACTGATTCATTAAGCAAACATGAAAAACCTCAGTTGTCTTCTTCTTCTTGTAATTCACGTGGTAAAATATTGGAGAATTTTATGTGTTTCTTTTTTTGACAAATTTTAAAAAACATTTTCAATGTTTTTGTTATTCGTTTGAGAATTGAACGTATGAAATCCAAATTCGAACACACGATGGAAAATATTCATCAGGTGAAATTGCAAAACTTGTTGGTAACTGTTGTTTTAACCATTGAATAAGTTCATCAATGAAAATCGATGGATAATATGGATTTGTTTGATCAACTGAAACTTTCGAATGAACATAAAGTGCTCGAAGGTTTTTCATATGATTAATAAGAAAGAGAATCTCCGATCGATTTTCTACGTGAATTAATAAAACTTCACATTGGTTTACTAAAGATGTTTTACATAACTGTTGACAAATATTTTCATTTGCATAGAGATAAATCGATCGTAAATCAAGACGACGAATTGATTCACTTGTGATTTTATCAAGGAAAAACTGACGAGAAAAGTGTTTGGAATATAATCTCAATGAATAAAGATTTGTTGCGCGATCGAATAAACTTTGTAATTGAGATTGAATGGATAAATCGTCGGAAATTTGAATAGAAATCGATCTCAGTTGAGAAATATCAACAGTATTCATCCAAAATGGATTAATAGATGGAAATAAGACATCAATATGATGAATTTTCAACAAGTGAGTTGAATGTGAACATGTAGATTGAAATGGTTTATCCAAATATTGAAAACTCTTCGGGAAAGTACAAGGTAAAGTATAAAGACAAAGTGATTTGTTATAATAATGACATCGAACAAACCATTGATGTTCAATGAGCCAAAATGAAGTGCGGAATGATTCAAGAATTACATCAACTTGATTTTCTTTGTTAAGATTCCATGGTGTATCGAATTCCATCATTAATTCAAAGATTTTCAATTTTGATAGATCATTTCTAATGATCTTCTCCCATCGATATCCATTTATTTCGATATACTCTGTTTGAATTTTCAATTGTTTTAAATTTGGAAAACGTTCCAAAAGTTCATCGAGAAAATCAAATGAAGAAGAATAAACTAAATGAAGACTTTTCAGCGATGAGCCTATGAATGAAAATGGAGAAAAGTTCATATTGAAAGTTAAAACTACGGAAAGATGTCGAAGATGAGGTGTAGAGGTTAATAAACGATCAAGTGAATGAAATTGAGTCAGATTTGAGTGAAGAATTAAATTTTGTATTGAAGATGAAATGTTATTGACGGTGAAATCGATTGAAGCAAGTTTTTCTAATTTGAAATGAGTAAGTTGACGTTGACACCAAATGATATGAAAATAACTCAAACGAAAGTTACAATCGATGATTTCGAGATGTTTCAGATCAGGAAGAAATTTCAATTGTCGTAAAAGATCGTTCATTATATTCATCGACCGAATGTGAATCAAAGAAAGTCGTTTTAATCGATGAAAATCAGGAATTTTCAAATTATAAGAAAGAAACGAAGTTAATTGATAAGGCGTTTCGTCATCATCTGATAAATGCAACGAAATTACTCGATCAGTCATTTCTGGTAAATATTTGCGACAAATTTCATCGAAATCCTGTTTTGTTATCGAACGCAAATCGATATGATGTGATCGATAATGTTGGAAGAGAAGATTATTGAATCGAATGTTCAATTCAGAAAATGAACGAAATAATTCAATACTGTTGAAATAATCGAATAAATCGAGTAATAATTCATTTGCCAATGATTCCAAATTCATTATAAAATCAAACACGTATTTTGGAATGAATAATGAAAAACAAAATATTTTCTTCGTTTTTGTTGACGCGTCACAACGAATACGAATTTCCGTTCGTCGCGTCTATATCTGTTCTTCTATCACAGTCAGGTTTCGACATCTATCGAAGTGTTCTATATGAATTTTTTTGTCACATTTGTGTTCTCTTATCAAAATCTTCTTATCATTTGTATATAACTTGAGATATTTTAACACAGATTTACGAAAAAGATGGGTTGGGTAACACTGTTTACAATACTTGTTTTGATTTTAACACAAATATTCGCTGTGCCATTGAAATCATCGAATAACTGTGGTTATGATGTAACAAAATTCAATATTCATATTGAATATAGTTTTGATGAGTCACATTTTAGTCGTGTAACTTAGGTCAACCTGGCAAATTGAATGTTCATATCGTTGCTCATACACATGATGATGTTGGTTGGTTAAAAACAGTCGATCAATATTATTACGGATGTAAAAATCGACGATAATATTCATTTATTTACTGGCAAATTTCTTTTTCAGCTCGGAGAGAGATTTCGCCAAAAGCTGTTCAATATATTCTTGATTCAGTTATTGAAGCATTGGTCGACAATCCCGATCGTCGATATATTTATGTTGAAATGGCCTTTTTTTGGCGATGGTGGACTGAACAATCAGAAAAAGTGCGAAATATTGTCAAACAACTTGTTAACGAAAGTTCGTAAACAGAACTTATTTGCTTTTGGAATAAATTCATTCGATGCTGTGAAAAGGTCGTTTGGAATTCATTTCCGGTGGTTGGTGTATGAACGATGAAGCAACAACACATTACAATTCAATCATTGATCAACATAGTTTAGGTGCAGAATTTTTACAAGAGACTTTTGGCGAATGTGCGAGACCGAAAATCGCGTGGCAGATCGATCCATTCGGACATTCTAGAGAAGTTGGCTCCCTCTTTGCACAGGTGATTTTCAATTTCGAAGAGTTTTTCTAGGAAAGGAATGTTCGTTTAGATGGGTTTCGATGGAATGTTTCTCGGACGTGCTGATTATCAAGATCAAATACATCGAGGATTTGAAAAGAAGTTAGAAATGATCTGGAAAGCAAGTGCCAATCTAGGTTTGTCTCTTTTGTAATTGTCAACAATGGATTAGCGGTAATTTTACATAGATCGTCAAAGTTGGCTGTTTGCGGGGATTCTTCCATATGGTTATGGATCACCATTTACATTTTGTTACGATTCTCAATGTTCTGATCCACCGATAATGGTTTGTTGGATTATCGTTTCATCAGAATTCAGTCTGATGAATTTAATCGTTTCAGGATGATAAAAATTTAAAGGATTACAATGTACCAGAACGAGTTTTAGCATTCATTGCCGAAGCTTATGCTCTAGTTGGTCATTGAAAAATTCTTTTTCTCCAAACTTCGTTTTTTTCCTCATTCTAGTCGAAAATCTATGCGACGAATCATTTGATAATGACCATGGGCGGTGATTTTCAAGATAAAAATGCTCATGAGAAATTTAAAAACTTAGATAAATTGATTCATTACGTTAATCTTGAACAAAACAATGGCAGTGACATCAATGTGTTCTATTCCACACCGTCATGTTATTTATACGCGTTGAATAAAGCAGGAAAAACTTGGACAACGAAAAGTGATGATTTCTTTCCCTATGCGATGGTTCCCGCGTCATATTGGACTGGTTATTATACATCAAGACCTGCTTTGAAGTTTTATGAACGTTATGCGAATAATATTCTTCAAGTAACTCGTCAACTGAATGGATTTGCACAGACAAATTCACGCGAAACTATCTTTGTTTTGAGTAAGACGAATGAAAAGTGATTTTGTCGAATTTATTCATTGAGAAGAATAGGTGAAGCATTGGGATTGGCTCAACATCATGATGCAGTTAGTGGAACGGAAAAACAACATGTCGCCAATGACTATGCTCAACGATTAGCAGATGGAATCGATCGAGTTATGGTACATTTAACAAAGTTTCAACAATTTATTTGAGATCAATTTTATTTAGGATGTGATTAACAATGCTTATGAAAGATTATTACCGAAAAACAATCGAACAGCATCAACATCTCAACAGTTTCTTTGTTCATATTTGAATATAAGTGCATGTCTTCCGATTGAAGGACAAGATCATGTATGTACAAAGAGGAAGACTTTCGAAATAATCTGAATTGTGTTTGTACAGTTCACATTGACTTTGTGGAATCCAACAATTCATCCGGTCATTGTTTATCCTCGTGTACCTGTAACTCGACAATATTCGATTCGCGATCCACGAGGAAATCTTGTTGTCGCTGAAGTAAAACAATGGCGATTACACATTGAAAAGTCAATTTCATTTTTGTCTGATAGTATTTTCCAATTCCGGAAACGATTCAAAATCTTCCTGGTCGAATGAGCTCTGCGCAAAATCAATATTTATTTCAAGTGTCACTGCCAGCACTTGGTTTTAATACGTATTATTTTGAAGCTAAAGCACAGAATACAAAGACTGACGAGAGAATGGAACATGAAAAAGTAAAAACAACCGTGAACGAAGCATGTGTCCTACAAAACGAAGTAAGATCGCACTTTTTAATTCCAATTCCAATGAATCACTTGGCTGTTTCAGCATTTACGTGTGGAATTCAATAGTTTTGGGGAACTGAAGGAAATCGCCAATTTAGATAAGAATTTAGTTGTTTCTTTCAGTGAACAAGGTTTCTATTGGTATGCAAGTGAGTTCTCTTATAAGAAATGATTCGTTATCTCATGTGTTATCTGCCAGGCTACACAGGAAATAAAACAGCTCCAGTAATACCCTCTTCGGGTGCCTATATCTTTCATCCATTATTGCCAGAACCTGCACCTGTCAGTCTTATCCGAAGAATGTAAGTCATCAGATTGAAATGAATGAATATTTCAATTGAAAAATGTTCATAGAAATTGTACGAAGACAAGTACAGTTCAAAAAGCATCGATCATTTTCAACGATTGGGTCAGTGAAGAATTCAATCTTTATAATGGTTCATCATCACTTGAAGTTGAATGGATCGTTGGACCAATTCCAATTGATGATAATATTGGAAAAGAAATCATTGTTCGTTACAATACAAATATAAAAAGTACAAAGAAATATTATACCGATGCGAATGGACGAGAAGTTTTGGAACGTATTCGTGATTATCGACCAACATGGCATCATATTGTTGACGAACCGATTAGTAGCAATTATTATCCAATCAACAGTCGAATTTGGATTAAAGATGATGATCGACAATTTACGATTTTGACTGGTAAAATCGAGTTTTTGATTTTTTGAAAAGCGATTTTCCGCTTAATTATTTTTCTTAGATCGATCGGAAGGCGGTGGAAGCATGTGGGATGGTTCAGTTGAAATTATGATTCATCGTCGAATACTGCAGGATGATTCTCTGGGCGTTGGTGAAGCTCTAAATGAAACTGCATACGGCAAAGGTCTTGCTATCACGGGAAAACATATTCTCTCTGTTGATCGTCCATCCGATAGTGCTCAATTTCATCGAATCATCGCTCAACAATTCTACATGCGTCCTTTAGCAACCTTTTCTGTGCCAAATACAACAACTTACACAAACTATTCGAATATCTACCGTCAAACTTGGTCAGCGCTCTCTGATTCGATGCCAATGAATGTTCATTTGTTGACATTTGATCAATTAAATCCAAAACAATATCTCGTCCGCGTTGAACATTATTTTGAATTGAATGAAGATGAAATTTATTCGAAAGCAGTGACAATTGATATTCAAACATTGTTTCAAAGCATTGGAACGATTAGTGACATGATTGAGTTGATTTTAACTGCAAATTTACCAGTATCGGATCTACATCGACTCGAATGGATGACCAATGATCAGCAGTCGTCAAAAGTTCATGTTTCACAACAATATTTGTCGAATGTGACAACAATTACACTCAATCCCATGCAAATTCGAACATTTCAAATTACTATCGCTTGAAAATATCGATTATGACAAGAAGACCACTTTTTAAAACGTTGTGTAATATGTGTTTTTAATCAGAGCGAACCAGGTATCATAGAGTAATAAAAAGTGTATTTGAAAAAAAGAACAGATGCGTAATTCTCATTGTGGGCCGAATATAGACACCGACAGTTTTCGTCTTTCCCACTATCAGCACTGTGTTTCTATATATACAATTGATCGAATGATAGAAGTAATAAAAGATGTCTATGTACGTTAGCCTAATCGTTTTTGTGACCATCATAGTTCTGGGCAAAAATGTTCATGCTGCCGAGAAGATGCCGTATACTATCGAACGCGTTCCTCCAATCGATGAAAGAAATGATGTGGGTCCGGAGATTTGTCGAGAATGTATCAAGGAATCGGTTAGTGCGATTAATGTTTTACTCAATCTGATACTCGATGAAGGTATTATTGGAAGTTGTGGTGATCTCTGTGGTGCTTTGGCCAATAAAACAAGCTCGAAAGGACTCGGTGATGTTTGCCTAGTCGTATGCAACGTTGTGGGTATTGGTGAATTCATTAGATTGCTTGAACATACCGATCTAGATCCGATTTGGTACTGTCAAATTGCAGATCTATGTCCAAGTAAGTCAAACCGATGTGCTCTACACTGATAATTTGAATTTTCTAGTCAATGATCATGGTGATGCTAAATTTGTCTATTTTCACATGATTCCACCAACAGGTCGCGTAGGAACAGAATTCATCATTGATTGTTCATTTACATCAAAGAATGGCACAGGACCGGGCATGCTTAGTATTACTATTGTTACACCTCAAAATCAATCAGCAAGCAATGATTTTCTACTGGATGCTAAGAAACCTGGTATTTATGATCAAAGAATTGCTGTGAAAACTTTCGACAGAGATTGTAATTCTCCAACTGGTAAGTATTCTTTAATATTTTATTTTCTTCGATTTCTGTTTTCTTAAATAGATTCATGCAATGGTTTTCCCACTGGTACTTACAATGTAACAGCGTATCTTTGTGACGGAGAATGTGGCTCGCATCATCCTCATTCATCTATCTACGATGTTGGACACACTTCTTTCGTAGTTACTCCATAGTCTTTTTCATTTTATTAATAAACCATTTGTAATTCTGGCAAAAGCTGTTACAACAACGTCTGTTAAAGTTTCAACACAATATAAAAACGAGTCAGCACTTTCCGTCTTATTGTTCAGATCCGTTGAACAACATCCGGCATAGACGGAGCTGATTGTCACATTTTTCGCTGAATAAGTTTTATTTCAATCGCGTGCTTTCAAACGAGCGAGAATGGTAACACCTAACTTGATGCGGAATAATAAATTAAGTAAAGATCTTGAAATTCAATCGGACCGAAATCAACTGTTTCGGAAATTTTTCCTTCTTCGACTACTTTTAGTAAACTAAAAAAACAAACAGACATGCTCACTTATTGTCTTTTTGTGCTGACTTACGGTAAAAATAATATTACTGCTGGTACGTTTGGATCTAGAAATTTGCTTTTTAGTTCTTGAAAACAATGCGTTATTGAAAACCGTGCAGTTTCATTCACTACTAACATTAACAATTCGTCCACCATATTTCTTGTCAATTCGTTGCTTTATCTGATTGATACTTGCTTTCGATGATGCGTTGACTCGAAGTACTTTCGCATTCAAAGATGAGCCAAGTTGAGCTACAGCCTCTTCGCCACGCTTTTGATCATGACTACCAAGCAAAATGAAATCGTCTGAATGATTTATTGCCGCGAGCTTTGCGCAACTTTGAATCCAATGCCTTCGTTAGCTCCACTAACTAAAAACACTCATTTAGAAACCATCTGTGCTTTTCTTTCCGCTGAACAACGCGATTAAATGAAAGGATACGCGTACTTACGCGCCTTTATATACAACCGAGAAAAAGAAAGGGAAAGAATAACTGCCGGTACTTTTATCATGAATGCTATGTTTCTTTACCTCGACAGATTCTTTTTTTTCAAACAAAGCTACTCAGGTCGACCATTCCAGCGAATGGATCGTTGAAATCTGAGTCGGTTCCGGTACAGCTCTTCTCGATTCCAGCAAGTTCCGGCAGGTTCCTTGCCGCCAGATTCTGGCCGGAATTGCACAGGAAATATCCGATCAGTTCCTGACCGTTTCCAGCTCGAAGTTTGCAGGGAAATGACTGAAACCTAGGTTCGAACTTCCGGCGGCAAGGAAATGGTTGGAAAACGAACCTAACCGGCCGTGCCATAATAACCTGGGTATTTTACCTACCACTCTAAGTTCCAAACATAAAAAAGAAGAGATTATAACAGATCAATGCATTAATTAGATCAATAGCTTAAAAGGAAGATGCGTATTTTAAGAACGAAGATAAATGTAGATATTTCGTCGTCTGTGATATACTTCTTAAACCCGAATGACAATGTTGGCAAAACCGCATCAAGGATCAATCGAATTGCTTTGCTTAGAACTATTTGTTGTCCAGATTAATACATAAATTATCAAAGATGGTCTGATGACGTAAGGAATGCAGAACACGATACTGTCTAACATATTCTGAACAAATAGAACTATGACTTATTTAATCAATTTTACCACGATTCGTTATTCTAATTGAAACTTTGTATTTACCATTGATCGACTCCCCCTCCTGTCTATGGATAATCAATCTAACACAAAGCCACGCAATACAGAAAGATTCAGTCGTTGCCGGCTCTGCGACCTTCACCCGCGGTGATCAAATCTTCATACAAGCAATATGTGATAAGACATCCAATAAGCTCACGAGAATGATCATTTCAAGTTGTATATACTCCAAGCATACTATGGGTATTGCTTTCGTAACAAAATTATTTTACTGAAATGAGATAGGTTTTCGAAACAGAATCATCCACCCATTTGTAAATGCTTTAGAAGATGAAGCAAATAATAATAATGGGACCCATTCAAATTATACCAGTCCTCATTATTCATTGTAAAGATATATTTAGCCCTTCGTTTACATGGCCATAATTGGTGAAGTTTTAGTGATAAGCTTGTGCGCTCTACCACGTAGCAAACATACATCTAATAAAATTATCATTTCTGTAATGGAATCCAGTGGATTTTTCCTCAGAAGATGGTATGGTGTTTATCTCTTGTGCCATTATCTGATGAGTGAAACGTTTCGTAAATTCTTGTCTTTCCATTTGTCTGTTCTTTTTTGTCATTTTTGTATTCTCTGTGTAAATTGTAAGAAGGCTTAGGTTATTAAAATGTGAAAGAAAAAATCTAGTTGAATTCTGTTTTTTTTTTATTATGAAGGGTCGACACCAATCTAGTAAATTTATCTTATTCTGTTTGTTGGCGTCAAAGTGGATCTATAGTTTATACGCAACGATATAATTATAGTAAGGATTAGGGTGTGAGAGGGTGAGAGTGATTTAAATGGGGATAATCGACCGGGTCTCGCAATCGCAAACTTCGATACGAATAGTTTCAGTATTCTTATTAATATGTGTTCTTAATATTGTATGTTTTCATGTTCTTTTCTTAAAAATTTTCAAACCCTTTGTTTAACTGTTTTTGCTGTTGTCAAATCAAAGCGAGCACTACGGCAACAGGCTACTTTTACAAAAAAGAATGACGCACAACGATGCGTATCAGCACCATTGAGTTACGACGACGCAAGATTTTTACTATATTGAAATACGTTTGCAGATCAAAATATTAATTAATAGCTTAAACGAATATTCTCACGGCGCCATTAAGATAATTGTGCGGTGTACTGTATATATCTAATTATCATTTAACAAACTAGTGGCAGATCGAGATTTTAAATTATTCAACTAGATCATATAATTTATTGACACGTAAAAACTTTTTAAGTCCTAGTTACTCGAACATTCGAACAAAAAAAGATCAAATAGAATTAACGTTCAATATTGAAGTTATCCCTTCGATGATAGACATTTTCTTATATGAACGTATAGAAAATCTATACGATCGAAAGGAAATATTCAAAATTGTGACATTATACATTTACAATAGGAAAATCTTTGAAAAGTATGAAAGTCATTTTCTTCTGATGTATTTCGAAAAAACTGATGCTATTAACGATGGATTTAGTTCTCGTTTCAGCAACTAAGTATACAATTTTACTAAGATATAGCTCGAATTGGAGGCATATGCTGAATATTCGTATAAGTGATGTATTATGGCACCGGTAAAATACTTTTTTGTGTACGATCTGGCAAAATACCAAGTTTGTCTCTTAGCAATTGGCGTTCGTGTTCGACGACTTAATTCTGCACAACAAAATGTGGCCTCCACAGCATTGATTTCTTCAAATTTGAGAGGTTGATTGTATACGGTAATAGAATATCCTAATGTGAGAACAAGTGTCTTATTGTACTCCGAATCAATCCAAATGTATCGCTTTAAGTAAGAAAAATTAGTACTTCGATAAGCTTGATAAAATCGAGCTACGATATCTTCTTTATCTTCACTGACCCATGCAGGTACTGGTGACCACCAAGAGAACATATGGTGAAGAGTAACTAAACCCTGAATTCCACTTTCAAAGTAGCCTGTCGCATCTCCACGTATGTCCATTTGATGAAACCTTGTATTCCGTAACAATTGTACTCTGGTTACTTCAGTTACACATTTTCCAAGCATCATATCACCCCCAAACAATGATCTATATTTGTTACAATCAGATATATTACGAACTAGATTCTGCACAAGAGGCTGGCTAAATGCAATACCACCTCCACCATAGGCAAAATATCGACCAAATGTTTTGACTGCGGCAAGATTATCACTATGATCACCTAGATAGATTGGTTTTTTGTAGTTGTAATTATTTAAAACTTGAAGTAGATGTGGAATAAACCATAAAGTATCGTCATCGCCTATTAACAGCCATTTAACTTTCTTCTCTGTATAATTGCCGCTTTCATTAGGTACCAGGCTCCATGTTCGATTTACTAAATCGAAAAATCGTTCTTCATATCTTTCTGTGAAAGTTATATCGATGAAACAAGGAATTCGTTCCATTTCAAAAAGTTTTTGTACGGTTTCAAGCTTGTTTCTTTCTGTTTGATGAAACATAACTAAACACTGGATACCTGCGTCACGAGTCCAAAATCGTAAACTGCGAATGAGATGAACTAGGCGATCGACAGTGGTGGTAATGCCAAAAATTAAATCGTCCGTAGTGTAGCTATAGAATTGACGTTTAGTGGACAGTAGTGGAATATCTAACTTTGAGATATCCGCGACTAAAGTATAGTTTTTCGTGAAAGAAGCATTTCGAACGATAGTGTGCTTATATAGAAAGATGTCCTTTGTCGATAACTTCAGCATTTTCACGGTACGCCAATTCCTCTGCTGCATATTCGGCAGGTTTCGGGTAAGTAGTCTGTTCGTTATGTTCTTTTCGGTATCTGGTAGCTCGTTGTCAGGTTGCATCAGTTTTATGCCAGTTTTTGAGCAGATCGAAAACAAAAGAGCGCCACTTATGAGAAGTAAACTGATCAGTCTTATATGCCTTCTTAAATATCTAATATTAATCCGAACTCTCCAAGAAGCGCCGGAGCGAACTTTTACATTAGGTATGTGACTGTGTGAATAATACATGAGCACTTGAAGTTTCCAATAAAATAATTTGTACAGCTAAAATGAAAGAAATAGATGTAACGTTGAAACTGATAGCAAGGATATCGAACGCGATACTATCGATAAAGAACAGCATATTACAACAATAACTTCGATAGATCGTTTGTGGGAAGCGAAACTATGAATGGCAAATGTTTTCATGACATAAAAATATGAAATATCTATATCAATAGGTATCCATTATACAGTTGATGACTATTACGTACAAAGTCTTAGATTTTAGAATTTCGTCTTTTCATTCCATAAAATTTTGGATCTAGTTCTATTTAAAAAAAATCTTTCGACTAAAATACTTATAATTACAAAGTCTACTAGCATTGAAAATTTCATCAATGAACGATGCCGTAGAGCCGCAATGTACATATCCGCCTGCCTGTTCTTCAGAAGATACTTAAGTCTATAAACTAAACATATGAATAGATTTTTCTTTTATTATCCCGAACCGTTTGCAAACAAAACATGTCGAACCAAAAGCTCATAATCGAAAAATTAAACTTTTCACAAAAATGAAAAGATCTCTATAGATGCGTTCATAAGTTCAACTTTCTAAGAGAAAGCATTCTTTTCTTTCATTAAAAGATTATTTATATTCATGACCGACTGGAAAGTCCAAAATGGGTACAAATTGCAACTTTGCACGGAACAAACCTCTGCTGGTTTCATCGAAATTATTATTGCAATTTTCGATTTTTAAATGATTTGAAGATCTTTTTGTAACAGCGAAAATTTGTTGATAAGTTTAATAGAGTACTGATTGCTTTCAGTGTTTTGGCATGTTGAAGTTGTGATAAAAGTCAAATCATACTAATTTGACTGTCTTCTTGAATAGTATTACTCAAAAAATGTACACATATATTCGAAGAAAAGATCTCTATAAATACGTTGTTTCAATGAACTTTTATTTGGCTCTGCCTGTATTTTACCGAGCAAGTCTACAATTCTTAGATTCGTTTCCCGCCTTTGTATGTGGCATGATTGTGTCTTCTTGGCAATATTATCTTAAGACAGAAGAATGTCCGTTGTGAGTCAACTTTTGCATGGATATAATCATCTTTTAACTCATATGTAACTAAAATAGCATGACAAAGGTTTTTCTTCTATTCCTCTTCTAACATCTTATCATAAATGATATGTTTAGTAAAAAAAAAGGGAGTATAAATCAGCAAGGCTCATAATGGTTCTAAGTGTTTTTCTCGTTAAGTATTTGTAAAAATTGGTATAACTCTTTGGCTCATTTTCGTGGTTTCTGGATAGTAATCTGCAAGAATTTTGCTTCATGAGTTTACTCTTGAAGTACGTCGACGTACCTGTGTTGGATGCAATTTATAAGATATGTCCACATGACTATAGGCTTTAAAAAATCCCTTATTGGAAAACTTTGAACTCTTCTAATAGGCGATGTTAATCAATCATCTTACAACACCTAACAATATACAGTTTACCTTAAATTCTCAGCATTCCTATGCAACTTTTCATAATTGTGACATGCCACTAATGAAGCAACCCCAATGATCGTTCAATAGTTCTCATTCATTTTGAATTAACCTTGCAGATGAAAAACTAGCTGGACTTTTCAAATCACCATTTGTAGTAAGTGCACAAAAAATACAGAAGATTCTTCATGTTTTTTGGCATACTCCTAGTTTCAATGGAATCTTCTATCGATACTTTATAACTTTGGTCAATAACAAACCCTAGTGAACATTCGTTACAAGTAAATTAGATCAAATTAGCGTATGTTAATGGACTTTTCTGTGTTACTTTCTATGGCAGAGTTAGACAACGATGTTGCCTCTAATTCTGAATCGGAACAGAGATCAAAAAAGGTTGAAAGCATTATGATGCCAGATGGCGTTACAACTGATTTAGCTTTTGATAGATGAGATCCTTTGCAGCGGTCTTAGGGTAATTGAGGGCAGGTTCCTAACATTTTTATTTGTCAAACGACTCTATGACTGTCCAGATAACGTGGAGAGTGAGACATTGCGTAAATCGTTGTCATAGTCTAATATTACATATTTACATAATACGCAATTTTCGCAATAAAAAGAAATTGTCATACGCACAAAACAATCGGAGACACGATTTAGATCAAAACTTTTTGAAGATGACTTCGAATATGGATGTATGTTTCAAAACTTCTTAATCAGTTGTATAGAATGAATACAAAGTGCCGAAAGGAAAGTTAGCTTGATGCCTTCTAAAATGTCTTTGATATAAAAGAAAACGCGAAAAAATAAAATTTTTTCTGCGTGATAACCGACAAGGTAAAATGAATTCGTAGTAGAGACTTCTCTGTGAGCAATTCATATAAGAATTCGAAAAACATGCCCCTGAAAATAAGATCTCACCGGAAAACACAAAACTCTGTGGAACTCACCAATCTGATTCGTGAAATCACAAACGAAATATGTAATATTATATATGTATGTGAAGAGCTGATACTGCGAAACAATTTAGTTTGACTAATGATAGCGGAAAATATTTTCCTTCGGAACAATGTGTTGTTCCGTCTTTTATTCCTAGATATGACTTATGAAGGAGAAAGAGAAATGCACGTATATGCATGAAATCATGCGTATTATTCACTGAACTGTTAAGTACAATTATGATTCATCAATCGGAAAATTTTATTAATGGCGAAAACATCGGAACTAGTAAGTGTACACATAATTTTTTTCCGTCTTTTCAGTTCAAACAGAATGTGTACAGGTTGAAAGGTAAGAAGCGTGTTTATGTCTTGAGTGTTTTGGAGAATGGATGTCTACATCATTTGAAATGATAAATACATTGAAATTCTTGATTGATATTGAACTATCAATGAATAAAACAAAAGTTATATAAGATTTCGTTAAATCATTTTATTTTCATAAGATGACAAAGTAAGAGTCAAATTAGGGATGCACCACAATTCTAGAATTGATTTAGTTTAGAAATGTCCATAGATATTTTGTATTCTTTTATGTACAGAATTTATCAAAATTATAAACCTCTCTGTGATTCGCAAAAATTGAATCTATTTTCAAAATAGATCTCATTCTTAAAATCATGTGATTATTAAATACGTGAATCTGTACGACACATATATAATATAACTTTATTTTTGAATAAAGATATAAAAACATTAACCAACAATAAATTCTCCATTATTTTCGACAACTTTAGCCCATTTAGTTGGGAATATTTCAATTTGATGTTTGTAATTCGAACAAAGGAGTGAGACCGTCTTGTACCTCGTAAAAGTCTTCACAGTGTTCGTTTCTTATATGGTAACGAAGGCATCGGAATAAAGGATCATATTCATCTTAAAAAAACATGTAAACATTCATACGCAATAAAGTCACAGAAACCTTCGAAAAATCAATTCATCGAGTACTTCTTTCTTAGAGAAAAACCTTTTTTTTCTTTTTATCCAGCATTTTCTTTCTCTCTCACCCTGTTTGTTTTTACAATACACAATGCAAATGTTCCGAGTTGGTCTCTACTTTAAAATAGATTCTGTTTTTTTCTGTCGGGAAAACTTTTCTTCTCGTATAAAAAAAACTAAAATCTTTTTTTCTGAAAAGAACTATTCAACGTTTCATACATTTTTCTTGATTCACACCACATTTTATGAACCAAAATATAAGTGATGTATCTTTAAAATCATTCAAAAATTTCATCTTTTTTCTTTTCATAAAATACAATTACTAATTCTATTCATTCTCTCTAAAACATAAATATAGATTTTAAATAGAATAGTTCTGTTTCTATAGATTCCAATTTCATCTTATTTCCCTACTTAATTGTTCAATATTATAAATCAAAATAAACATGAATTTTGGAAAGATTATTTTTGCATTTTTCATGTTAAATTTGATTTTCTGCGTCAGTTTCTCTGATGCTGGTCTCCTTGGAGCAGCAATTGCGCTATGCGGTGGTTATGGTGCTTGTCAAACAGCTTGTAATACAATGTGGGTAGCATGTTATGCTGCTGCTGGTCTTGTAGCTGGAGCTGCAACTGGTGGTCAGTAAAAGAATTTTAATATTACAACGCCATTTTATATGTTTTTGACACTCGTTTTAGGTGCAACAATTTCCGCGGCGGCACTTGCATGTAATGCATTACAAGGAACTTGTATGGCCTCATGTGCTGTATCGTTTTTAGCCGCCTAAAAAAATTCCGATAGAAATCCGAACATTGAAAAATACAATTTAATTGCACTTGGCTATATTATCCTCCCTGACAACACTTTATATTCCTATCATGTCATTCAGTAGTTTCTTTTTATTCGACCGATAATTCTAATTTAATTAGTTTTCATCTATTAAGATAAACACACAGCGTTTTGTGATTTTTTAGTGCAGAATGATTCTTGGATTTGATTTGTGTTTTGATACGATCAGTGAATTTATTTGAGTGGAAGCAGCATCGTCATAATAAATCGAATGTCAGTATACTACTGCTTTTTTTTCTCATTTTTAACCTTTTACAATACGCACATTTATTGAAAATACTGGTCAATGCAGACTGCTTCTTCTTTGTTTGCAATACTCTCATCGAAAACGTGTAAATACTTAAGAAATCTTTCTTCAGTGATGAATTGAATGTATTATATACCGATATGTCGAAGTCCAATCTTTCTCATTAAGAAAAGAAAGATTCAAAGTGATACGATGAATAAAATTATTCATAATACAATACTCGAGATATTCAAGGTGAAAAGTCGTATAAGTAATTTTACTATTTAATTATATTATTATCATAATATCAACATTGATGACGAGAAAAGATGAAGAGGTGACAAAGTTTAGATTACCTGTTTGTTTGTCTCTTTTACCTTGCAATATACGTTTATCTCTACATTTTAAATATTCAAATTTTAACGAAAACAAGAAAAGAATATGTCAAATATGAATTCAATGTTGGTAACTTCAGAACATCTAAAACAATTCGATGAACATGGGTAGAGATATTCATTTTTATATCACAAAGTGAACTAAATAGTTTTCTCTTTTTCAGTTATTTTATTCTTCCATCGATTATTTCACAAGAACATCTTCACATGATGAATGAAATTATTCAACGTGCAATTGCGAAACGTGATGAAGATCTAAAGAATGAAGTTAACAAAGATGGACTCATTCAATGTTCAACAGATGGAAAATATTTCTTCTTCATGCACGAAGATCATGAACCAGAAATGAAGAAAATCATCTTCAGTTCATATATGGAACAAATTACAAAAGGTTTTTCATAAAGAACTATATTTATTAAGAAAATCTTCTGTATATTTGATTGATTTGTAGCGATATTGGGTGAAAAAGTATATTACACTCATTCAGAAATTGTTGTTAAACGTGGAGAAGGAGAAAAAAGAGATTTTGGCGAAAGAACAAAATTTAGTTGGCATCAAGATAGTGGTTATGTTCCTTATAAACATACACCTTATCTAAGTTGTTGGTGTGCATTAACTGAAATGACATCAACGAATGGAACTATTTCTGTTTTACCTGTTGAAAGAAATCCACCCGAAGATAAACATCATCATATTAATTGGTCAGGCAAACCACGACCTTCTGCTCACATTGAATTTCCTTGTTATCAACATCGAAAAGACGAATCAAGTCCGGATCTAATTGGATATTTTGGAACTGATCGAGGTGTCGAAGTGACATGTCCTGCAGGAAGTATTGTGGTTTTTTCTAGTTTAACATTACATTGTTCATCAGCGAATCGTAGTAACGCTCTTCGTTCAGCCTACAACATTCAATACGCACCAGTACCACTAATGAGTGAAGATAATCAATCATTCCGACATAAAGCTGATCCATTTATCGTTCAATCGGAAACTATTGACGAAACCAATCAGTAACATCCGGAGAGAAACACAAACTCTTTGTTGACATACAGTGTCATCTATCAGTTTTTACGAAAAAGATATAAAGTAATACTTTTGTGTGAGACTAAAATACTCATGTCAGCAAATCATCGATATATCAATCCACGTGTATAATCAAAATATAAAAACAAATCGTATTGTGTTCGCGATACCTTAATCATATCGCAAAATATCTTATTAATCTCGAGGGTGTGAGGGGTATGGTGCATGTCGAGGCGAATATACATGTTGATGAGAGTGTTGTACGTGTGGGTGAAACTTGGAAACAGCAGGGTTACTCGGATCGTGTACTGATGGTCAGAACGGTTGGTAAATGCCATGTGAAGCTGTCCTAATCGTTTTCTTCGATCTGCAAAAGTATCGCTTCCCTAGAATATCTCAGGGTATTGCGATGATACCCCAGGGTATTTTCTCGTTATCCCATGAGCACCCTGTGAATTTTCTTCAACAATAATGCTCAACATATCTTCAAGATTTCGGAATCCTTGAAAGCCTGTCAAATCTAACCACTTAATCAACTTCAACGGTTAAATAACACACATTTATTCGCTTTTTTAGCTGAATACCCAAGCATCCTGACTTTCCTCAACAACTGCATTGAGAAACTCCGTCAACATGCACATTCCTTCCGCGCCGCTGAGGTCAATGGATTAATGGGCGCTCACGTGTTCAGCTATGACCTGTCAATTCTTCAACGACTTCGCACAAATATAAGCGACACAGAAAGCCAACTCAATGTAGACGATTCACAAATGTGCAATCTGTAGTGGCTGCTCACAGCAGTAGTAACATCCATGTATGTTTTTTATATCGCTCTCATCAAAGAAGAATAAACAAGAACGAAGCGTACACGAAAACGTATGACATGTTTCCATAAGTCGAGTAGACGCTTAGAAAAAAAGTGATTGTATAATTTAATAAACATCTCGAAAATCATTCAAACAAGCTGAGGAGAAAAGGAGCGAGATATGGTCCGCCTAAAAAACACTTCGAAGCAGAGACGAAGAAGTATAATCAACGTCTTCTTGTCTCGCCTCATCCGGACTGATGTTTCAACGAAATGTTCGATTCTTCTCGTGCACATCATTTGAAATCGAACTAAACTCATATGACATCATCACAACAGACGATCTCATTGAAGCTTTTCTTCAACGCGTTCCTTCTCGGTCATCTATTTGACAATTCAGCTGACAAGTAGTAAATGGATTTGTCGATCACAATCGTATTCACGCGAAAGAGAATGTATAATATGGTTGTCGTTCAATTCTTTCATGTCTCAAATGAAAAGTGGCACATCTTTCTTCTTCGTCCGCCACGATCATAGTTCATCTCGACGCATTGGACAGTCCACGCAACGTCATTAATTCAACTCAATTTCCTTCCGTGCGCACTCGATTGTCAGATGAGCACTTACCGCTTTGAATCTTTGCCACCTGAGATCTGGCTGCATATCTTTGATTATCTTTCATCTTTCGACTTGTTCCACGCTTTTGCTGACATCAACAATGCCCGTGCTCAAGACGTCATGTTCTCTCGACCTTTGGTGCTCAACGCCAGAGCAATGTCATATGCGAAAATGAGACAGATTTTCAGCACACCCCGCTACCTCATCCTTTTACGCATGGTCACTCTTGATAACTCGTCGACTTCTCAGGCATTCTATACTTACTGGACAAGAACGATTTCTCCGATTTACATTACACCGAACATCGAGCGACTGATAATCCACGAAGCAGAATACTATATGTATACTACCATCGATGATCTTCTCAAACCTCTGTCCATTGGCAATAGCTTGCGATGCATCCATCTACTCTTTATATCTTGTGATATGTGTTACATGTCTTTTCTCAAAGAATTGATCCGATCGGCAACGTCGTTTCATACGATGATACTCGAAGTGGAACAAGGTATGCGAGACCACTCATTTTGTTGAGCAACGATGCTCGAGTTGTTCAATCTCCATACGAATTCTCTGCGCTCATTTATTTAGACAGCAACCGGGTGGAAGGGTCAGAATGGTACGACATAAAGAATATTCGTTGGCCACGTACCGTTCGACTAACTATTAGTGTACGGTATCCGTTTGAGATTCTTTTTCTGCTGAAGAAGAAGGCTATGCCTTTGCTCGAATATTTGGATGTGATGATCGAGGAGGAACACACTGACTCTCATCGGTACGGGAGAAAATCACAAGCAGTCCGGTTTTGTGTCAACGACGTTCATAGAATGGTCAATAGTAGTCACCTACGAACTCTCGTCGTGCGCCATTTGGCTCTTGATCAAGTAACCATGCTCCTTCAGCATCTGGATCTGCCCGTGCTCAACAAGCTGACGCTCGTGAACATTTTCGATGACAGTACGTGAGTGAAAGTCGGAGAGAGTTGTGCTCGAAATGCTGCACATTTGTCGTTGAAGTGTTGCAGACTGTGAATATTATCTTTGTTTTTGTAGCGCTAACACATTGTGAAGAATTTCGTCGCGTTTTCAACCGTGATCGTCTTCCGGCGTTGAAAACACTGCACTTCCTTCTTCGCTTTCCTGCTCATCTGCATGATACATTCCAAGCGACGGTCTTGAACACATTTGATGGCTTATGGCCCTTCGGTCAAGTGGCTTTACATCTGGATGAATATCTTGTCATCAGCAGATTCGATAAAGAAGTAACAAAAACAGTGCTTCTCTTCTATACGCTTCCATTAGACACGCTGTTGCGCTATACGCGTACTGTGCACAATCACTCGTTTGTCGAATATTCGACTGGCATAAGACAACGATCTTTGAAATGGAGATGCAATCAAACTGATAGTGCGAGTCAGGTGACAAGCACTCTGAACAAATTGGCTTCCGGACAGATCAGTACACTTCATTTCTCTTTCGACAAAATCAAGGTTGATAGACAGAAGTATATTTGATATCGTTAATGAACTTTTGTTGTTTCAGACGTTATTCACAATGGACAAATTTTGTCCTGAGCAATGCTTTCCTCGTTTACGCTCTGTGATTTTTCATTTCGAACCTGATTTTCGCCACGAATCTGCACGTTTTCATCTGGTGGATCAGATTCTACACAGCTCGCCTCGCCTCGAACATCTCGCTGTAAAGTGGAGTGATTTGCGGTGCTGTTCGCGATCGAACGTCAACGTCAAATATCTGTGTCTCAAACTTTACGAACACTCGAGTGATCCTAATCGGCTCGTCGACATTGGTCTCATTTCTCAACTGTTACCCAATCTCCATTCTCTAGAAACCAGCTACGGGCATTTTGCATTCAATGAGAATCTGATCACATTTATTGTGAGATTGGTCGACACTTTTGATCAGCTGGTCGAGTTGATCATCAACAGCCATGGGATTCGGGTAATTGAATCTGACACTCGATTGATGATGGAACGGGCGATATTCAATACCGGTCACCGACGATTATTGGACTCTCGTGTATGTCAAATTAAATTTCCAAAAAGAGATGAAATAAAGATATGGTTATCGACCTTTCGATAATCAGTGGACGTTGATATGAATAAACAATTGTGAAATTGGGTTGACATGAGTAATGCATTCCACGTCGTTTACCTCCTCAGTATCTCCATTGATAACATTTCCAGATCTTGAGTGCATCTCGATTGAGCTCCGATGTGATTGATCGAGAACGTGTTACCAGAGATGATGACCGACTAAAGTCACACTCTGACAAATCTGATGGAAAAGGAGCTGGTGTTCGAAAGCATTATGTTTATCCTACACCGTTGTATCGATTACTTCCATTCCGGATACGGAGCTGATTCTCGAATATTCAACATTGCGGAATAGGATAACTGCTGATCAAGTTCAGATCGTGGTGTCGAAATGACATGTCCTGCAGGAAGTATTGTGGTTTTTTCTAGTTTAACATTACATTGTTCATCAGCGAATCGTAGTAACGCTCTTCGTTCAGCCTACAACATTCAATACGCACCAGTACCACTAATGAGTGAAGATAATCAATCATTCCGACATAAAGCTGATCCATTTATCGTTCAATCGGAAACTATTGACGAAACCAATCAGTAACATCCGGAGAGAAACACAAACTCTTTGTTGACATACAGTGTCATCTATCAGTTTTTACGAAAAAGATATAAAGTAATACTTTTGTGTGAGACTAAAATACTCATGTCAGCAAATCATCGATATATCAATCCACGTGTATAATCAAAATATAAAAACAAATCGTATTGTGTCCGCGATACCTTAATCATATCGCAAAATATCTTTTTATGATGAGAAGTGGAAAAAAGTTTGTATTCGAAGCGTCTTCGTATTTTAGATAATGTCAATAAATATTAACCTTGATCAAGATTGGTCTGGCTACTGTTCTGTGACTAATTATGGTGATAATATATCGGATGTGTCTGTTCCTATATCAATCGATGACTCAGACTGGCATACAGTACAATTACCACATAACAGTATCGAAAATAAGACTAAAGATTGGTGGTATCGTAGAAAACTTAATTGTACAATATCCAATGATCAATCTGTTTATCTAACATTCAAAAACTCGAAAACTAAAGATTCTGATGAGTTATTTTCACCATCGATCTTTGCTGTGATGTGGCTTGATGATGTACGATTCTTCTCTGGACCAATCACATCATCAAATACGTCAATCGAACTTCCACAGAAATCATTCGATTCAGAACATACGTTGATAATATGTACACGAAATGCATGTCTCGCAGTTCACCTCTGTCTCACAGTCAAGCGTTCGACTGATCGTATCGTTTCTGTCGATAGTATTGATGAATATGTGAATATTGATTTAGATCAAAATGCACAGAATCTCAATCCAAAGTCAATTCCTCTTCTTAATATTCTTATGCTTATTGTTGGTTCGAGAGGAGACGTACAACCGTTTATTGCGTAGGTCTATCAAATGCCCTTTTTTCTTTCTTTTATGAAATTTCTTTAGATATGGTAAAGCTCTTCGTGCTTTTGGACATCGTGTACGATTAGCGACACATGAAATCTTTCGAAGTTTCGTTCGAGAACATGGCCTGGAATTCTATCCAATAGCTGGTAATCCTGCTGAATTGATGTCTTTTATGGTGAAAAATGCTGGCATTGTTCCATCGGTAGACGGGATTATGTCTGGCAATCTGTTCCAAGGACGCCGTATGTGTCACGATGTATTACACTCGACGTGGGCTGCATGTATTAATGATGACGACGAAACTGGAGCGCCTTTTCGTGCTGAAGCCATCATTGCTAATCCGGTTTCATTTGGACATGTTCATTGTGCACAAAAACTGGGAATTCCACTACATATGGCTTTTACAATGCCTTATTCACCAACAACAGCTTTTCCTCATCCATTAGGAAATGTTAACTATGCAAAAGCATCTCGAGAACGATTGAATACGTTTTCTTATCGTTTCGTTGAAACATTGGTGAGTTAATTCATTTTGCATAGTATAAATCCGATTCGAACATTTCCGTTCGATTTGCACTTGCAGTTGTGGCTATGCATCGGTGATCAGATTAATACGTTTCGTCGCGATGTTCTCAAACTTCCATCGTTAGACATTCGTCAAGCAACGTCGATCATGGTCGACGAGAAGGTCCCGTATATCTATTGTTGGTCACCATCTCTGGTTCCAAAACCTCCCGATTGGCCAGAATATGTTAATGTTCCCGGATTCTTCTTCCTTGATCTTGCCTCAGGTTATACAACACCACCCGCTGATCTACTTACTTTTCTTGGTCTCACTTCTCATTCTGATTCTCCTACAACACAAACATCACCACCGATATTTATCGGTTTTGGTTCAATTATTGGTCATGACTCACAGCGCCTTCTTAATGTTATACTCAAGGCATTGATATTGACCGGATATCGAGCAATACTTGCTGACTTTGATATCGATCAAGACCAATTACCGGCGACTATTTTCAAAATCAATGATGTTCCACACGATTGGCTCTTTCAATACGGTAAGTATACTTTTAGTATTACGATTATTTGAAAAGACTTGTATTTGTTGTAGTATCAGCTGTATGTCATCATGGTGGAGCAGGTACGACAGCGACTGGCCTTCGTGCTGGCAAACCCACTATTGTTATGCCTTTCTTTGGCGATCAATTCTTTTGGGCTAATATTGTACGGAAAAGCGGCGTTGGTCCTCCGCCATTGTCGGGAAAAGATGTAACAGTAGAGGAATTAGTAGAAGCTTTCAAATTCGTTCATCAACCATTGGTACAAGTAGCTGCTCAACGTATCAAAGAAGCTTTGTCACATGAAAATGGATGCGAAGCAGCAGTAGTTGCATTTCATGATTATTTACCATTGTCGCGTATGCGTAGTGATCTCGATTCGACATATGCTGCTTGTTTTCGTTTGGATGAATACAATCTTCAAATATCTCGTCCAGTTGCTCAAGTACTTCTCTCTGCAAGTGTCATAACTGAATCTCAACTTCGCCATTATTCTTCTCGAGATTGGTTCAAATCGAAAAAGAAGAATGATGTACATACGATTGATCTTCCATGGAATTCAAAAGCTAAACTCACTGTCTGTAATGATCGTCCAGCTTCAACCAGTTCGTCAGACAATCAATCCACATGCACAAGTAAAATATCGAACTTCGAAGCAACAAATGTGTCTGGTTTCTCCCCTGAAGTATGCGAACGAATATTAGTTGAATTCAATAAAGTTAAAGAACAATTTTCACAACAAGTCAATGTCACAACATTCAAACATCATCGAAAACATTTCTTAGCACGACAACGAAGTCAATCGTCTGGTCATCTGTGAAATTCTTTTTTTTCATTTATTGAAAGAGATTTAAAAAAAAAGAAAATATTGGACATGAGAAAAACGTTTTTGTCTTTATTCATTTTGAGCAATTGATACTGAAAGATTCATCGTATTCAGAAGAATAAAAGGAAACAATTGTTCAATTTGTATTTGTTTAGGTAAACAAAACGCCCATTGATCTTCAGTCAGATCGTCCAAACGAAATGCTACACGATTATGTTGAGTATCCAATAGAATATCTACATAACGAATTTTATTTAATTTTCTCAGAGAACACGTATAAGGACGTGTATCACCGGATGGATATTGAATCGAACCACTACAAACATCGAAAATCCAACTTCCAGCTGGAGGTTGCGATGCACTCCACTCTTTTGTATCCGGTTCACTGACGACTCCCACAAGAAACGTATCTCTTTCATTGATCGGACCGGAGAAATGAAGTTCGAATCGAACTAATTGATAACGTTTAGTTTTGGGGAAAAAACCTTGATTAGTTGTGACGATCGCTTGTTTGCCCGTCGATGTTTCAATCATTTGCGTAGATTTAGTGATACCAAATGAAAGCGTATGATTAGCGAGATCATGATGTTCATGACGTTTGAAAGTTGGACAACGCATTGTTCGATCATTGTCGGACAAAGCAGCGGGATCCGATGAAGAAACATTACGGAAATGAAAATCTTCTTTAGCAAGAGAAATTAATTTCAACGCGCGATCAAAACGATCGTGTGGACTCAATTGTAATTGCTCGATTTGTTCAGTTTGATCATTTATGATACTTTCAAGTCGAGTCACATCATCCAACTCAACTGTTTCCAATTCGAGTTTCATCGGAAATTCACGTGATGTTTGTCCGAAAACGATAATCAATGTTACATTAAAGATCAGTTTATTTTGTTCGTCGACGAGTTGAAGACTTGCCGTTTTCGTTTTGCCTTCATTGTCGATTAAGTCTTGAAGAAGATCAAAGAGTTGTTCACATTTATCACAAATACCTTGTGTGATATTGCTCACCGCATCTTGATCGATTTCAGTTCGATAAACTTGTTTGGTTCGGTGATGTTGAGCACCGAGAACCAATTTCGACTGGACCAGACGAACATTGAATCGATAGGATGAAAATAAACATTCCTCAGGTTGTTTCTCTTCTTCTTCAACAGACATGACTTATGTGTTCGGTTCTGATCGAGAAAAATAACATTCGTTATTATTTATACATGAGTTTGAGCACAAAATTGAAAGTATTCTTCTCACAACTGTCGCATTTGAATGTAGATTGAAGTTGATTGATAAGAGACACACGAAAATGGTAATGACGTTGTTCAGTGGAGAAAATTGGGCAACGAAACTTTTCCTCTCGTTTCATAGTTATACCAATTTTCTAATGTTTTGTGAGAAATTTTCCAATTCGTTGCACATCACGCATGAAAATATTCTATACAACACGTGCGTTTCTAAAAGAAAAACTATTGTCATATATGTATTACCGTACGTATGTTTTTCTGTTACAGAATACAAAAAAGTAGAATATATAGAAGACGAATGTTAATTGAAATGTTCTTTAGTACACATATGCGCATATTTGGTCACTTGATCATAATAATTGTCTCTGACTTTAGCTGGACCATTGAGTAGTATGGCATAGTTTTTCATAAATCGTTCACGATCGTTTTCGTTGACAATTGCGAAGACCTTGTTGACGTCCAATGCAGATTGGAGAAGATTCTGAGCAAGAAAACGACTTTGAAAATCTTCCATTTGACGTCCCGCTTGTTCTGGTTGTAAGAGAAGTTTAGCGATTGTTTCATTGAGTAATTTCATACTTTTTATCATAAAATTCTTTACTTGAACTGAATCACCATTGTTCATGCAAGTACTAATCGCTGCTGAAAGTGTCAACATAGTTTGCCTCTCGTTACCTATCGTTGCACGTTGATCATCATCATTATTCCTGATGTCTGATGAGGAATGATTTGTATCAGTACGGAAGAAAGAACGTGATATAAAAATACCAATGTTGTATGCAAGAAAAGAAAATAAAATCAAAGTAATTAAACGAACACGAGGCATTGATAAATTTGATAAATGATAGGATTCACATAGATATTCATATACCTCACGTAGGAAGGCTCTGTTTATCATCACTACAACAGAAATGTGCTTATTCATCCATATCGTTTGAAAAGGAAAACTATCCGTCGCAATGCATATCACCTTTTACTAGTCGAAGTAGTATGAAGTCAAATTGATTATTAAATTCAAAAACAATATACGCATGGCACACGGTAACTCTTTGAGAAATTTTTACTACGTAGGTTTTATGGTTATTAGACGAAAAAAGGGTCGATCGTCCTCTTATATTATTGCACATATTAAAAACGAATATATATATATATATGATTCTTTCGTTTTCAAGCACATGTTGTACGTTTTTTTTTTCTATCATGGACCAAAAAGGCGCAGAAATTGAATAAAGTAGTGTTTAACACAAATTTTCTTTGAGATTGCATGAATAAATCCATGACTCGATTGTAGTTCGGACTGTTATTTACAAGAAAACGAACGATATTCAAAAGGGGAAAGCAAAGTTCTGTATTCCATGTGTTTCTCCGTAGTTCTTTGCGCCTTCTACCACATATGTTGGCATATATTAACAATATACTGTCTCCAATAGTCATTCAGCAAATAATGCGTTGTTTAGATCATCGGACGTGTAGATAATGGAATCTTTTAGAAGAAAAACAATAATAAAATTGCTTTTCACTCTCAGATGTTTTCTTATTCTGGCATTCTCAAGTGTAGTTCTAATTTATAGTCATTTCTCTATTGATATTCATACTTTATGTGCATTGACGAAATCTGAAGAAGCTCGGCAACAAATGAGATATATCTTTGATTTATTTAAATGGCAAGAAATTATGCAAGAAGAACACAAATTATCCAAGAGAAATGAATCGATATGGTGTGATTTCCCAGACAACTTACAATTCCTTAGTAGAACTATTTGTCAATTATATGCTATTGATGATTATACTCGTTTGTCATGTCATTTGGTATATTCAATAGGTGCAACATTCGAAAATATTAAATGTCGTAATCCACATGGGCAAACTCAATCTTATTATGAATGTAAACGTGGTTTTTCATATGATTTATTCACTAAAAATTTCTCACGGTATTCGTATCCATCGCTTATCGCTGATTCCTTTTCACCATTTCGAGATAATGTTTATGTTAATTTATTACACAATTACTATCGAAGTTGCTCGAGTATTTGGGGTTTTTTTCTTCAAATATGAATCTATTATTTATTATCCTTGAGTTGGCGATCAAAACAAATTGAAATTATTTGATATAACGTATGGATATGATCGATCGATTCAGGATTTTATTGCACCTTCTCATCTATTTCTTTATATTAACCAACTGGAGTTTACATCGAAACGATCAACAGTAAAAGAAGTAATGAACAGTAAAAAAAACCAATTTATTCAAGTTCAACATCGGATATTTATTGATCGAATCTTTCAAAGATATGTTCAAATCAGGAAGATCAACCGATATCGATTTCTAAATAAAAGACCAACGATCGTATTTTCTAGAGGTAAATTAGGAATGTTAGACATTGTTTTAATGACTAGAGTATAACAATCATAAATGAGCTCTTCATATACTTCTTCAATTCTTCATCTCTTTGTTTCGAAATACTCACGAAAATCAGAAAACTATTATCATGAATTTGACGGGAAAAGTGTTGTTTTTGTCATCAATTTATATAAAAGAGTTGAAAGAGAAACCATCTTATGCCAACTACTATGCGTTTTTATCTTGTTTCTATTGAAAGTAATCCAAATTCTATTTTAAAAAACGATATTTGACGATTTTCAGAAATTTTTTATTGACAATGAAACAAATAATTCGTCATATATCAAAGCACCAGGTCTCTGGATAAACAGCAACTGTATAGCAAAGTCAGGACGTATACACCATACATAAATAAATTCATGAAATACATCGCTGTTGATAATTACGGCACTTGCGGAAAAAATATTCGTCAATTACCAGAACATATTGTCAAAATTCAAGGTTTTTCCAATCGAGATCTGAAAAATATCACCACTTATGAGTGGGAAGCAGGAAAATTAGCTTTATCAAAAGAATATCTATTTACTATATCCATTGAGGACAGTTTAACTTTTGATTACATATCGGAGAAACTATGGCAACCATTGATGATCGGAAGTGTACCTATTTATCTTGGAGATCCAAATGTTTATGATTGATTACCATGTCGAACGAATTGCATTATTGGTTTACGACAATTTAAATCACCAGAAGATGCGGCAACATTTATCAAAAATGTTGCAAAGAATAAAACTTTATATGAAAGTTATCATCAACGGAGAAGAGAACCTGTAGCAGAGAAATTTCATAATATAATTGATTATAATTCACAAATAAGTAATTCTAATTTGGAATGCGTTCTTTGTGAAATGTCACATAGTGTTGGACAAGGTGAAGATCGAGAAGAAATTAAAAAAGATTTGAACAATAGAGTTGGTCGATTTAAGAACTTTGACAGATGAAACAATCTTGAATGAGAATATCATATTCTTTAGATCTACATCATCATCGTCAAGATTGAATTGTCTTCAATCTGATGCACTATGGACATTACACTGAGCTACTAAGGGTGAATTTTCGGAAAATAAGAAATTCTTGGAGAACGCTACTTTATATATTTGTTAACTTTAGTATTGCTTTGATTGTCCGTCCATGTGTAGTATGAAAATTATGATATAGGTTTTGATTTCGTTATATAAATTATATATATCATTATTATTTTCTCACTTCATTCGTGTCCATTGATTCATTACCTGAACTTCGAGAAAAATGACGAAAGATCGTACGATTATGTCGACCAAACAGAAATCGTGTTAGTCTTGTTTATATTGGATAACGAGTAGTTGAAATCTATTTGTTCTACTTACCTAACTATATCACTGTAATGTTCGTTATGTGTGTATACATTTTGTATTTGTTTACTCTGTCTGGAAGATGAAGGTGACAGCTTGCAAATTCTGATTATTTAGAAGTGTATAGGTGAAAGTTCAACACCAAACGAGAAATTACCGTGAAATACACAACTGATGAAAATATATATTGTACGAAAAATGTATATCACAATGGTAAATTCAGCGCATATTTTCATACAAATGTTTATTGATATTACTGGAATTCTACATAGGAAATATATCCTATGTTGTATTAGGTGAAGTAATCGTTTAGGTTTTGGATGATGTTCACTGAAAGTGAACGCAATCATGACTTCACCAAATCCCATTACAAAAGATGAAGGTTTTCCATTAACTTACATAGAAACAACATATGTAGATAATTAGCAAAGCTGTTTGCTTATATAAAATATTCGGTCAGTGAACTTATGGCATTTTCAATCATATGGAACAAACTGCTAAATATATCTTCAGTATTAATGTTGTCGAATCATTAAACTTTCTTACATATAATTAGTGATGAATTGCACATTCTCGAGATGTTCATACGATATTTAAGAGAAGTAAAAGAAACTTATTACGTATTTTTTTAATTTCATTCGATATACTTCGAATACTACATCCATCTCAAGACTATTTGAAACTCTGCTAGCACTGTTAAAAGATTTTGAAGTATTTAATGAAGCAATCGCACTTACATAAAACAGCAAATTGACTTTTGTGCGAATAATCCTCATAATTTTCTTAATGCATCAACTCATACAAGATGATAATCATACTTTTCTAATTTTCCGATTGAAAAGAAGAAGAACAAATGCTTCTCATCATATTTCTCTTAAAGGCACTCAAGTTATTTTTGTCAAAATAACAAAAGGCAAAATACGCATACTATCTCTCTATATGAATATATGAATCTTGTGACGTTTCTGTATTTACCACAGTTTTCACGTGAGAGAGTTGTTTATATTTTTGCTTAGCTAAAACATATCTTCAAACATCCATATGTCAATTCCTTATATAATCAAATTTTGGCTTTTTCTAATATTTCTGATTCCATCCGTCTTGTGTAGCATATTTAATCTTTATTATTTTCTTTTTCATCGAACATTCCGTCAAAATGTGCACAATCATGTGATCACAGTTCTTCTTTCTTTTGGTCTCGTCTATATGCTCACTGATATGATTTGGTATATTCATTTTTACCAAACCAATTCATCATTAGCTTCAACACCGATGTTCTGTCAAATATGGGCATATGTAGATATAGCTGGATTTGTTTCAATAGTAGATCTAACAGCATGGGCAGCAGTTGAACGTCATATTCTTATTTTTCATCAAAATCTCATCTCAACACAATTAAAACGCTTTGTTTTTCATTATTTACCATTGATTATCTTCAGTATTTATCCATTAATATTCTTTTTCGTTGTCTTTTTCATTTTACCTTGTGATATTTCATTCGATTATACTACAGAAACATGTTCATTCGCTTTTTGTACAGCTACCCATCCAATCTTAAGTATATGGGACAGTTGGGCGAATAATATTGTACCAGTGTTTACTATCGTCATCTTTAGTATTGCTCTGATGGTTCGTGTGTGGTTCAGTAAATATCGAATAGGCCAACGGTTTCAGTGGCGAAATTATCGAAAGATGACATTTCAATTATTGTCAATATCTGTTCTTTACTTTTTCCTTTGTTGGCCATCATCCATTTTATATATGGCTTATACATTCGGTCTGCCAAATGACATAGGTTTCGATTACTTTTTAAACTCGTTTTATTTTACTTATTTCATAATGTTGCTGACTCCTTTTGCATCCATTATTTCATTACCTGAACTTCGAAGAAAACTTCGACATCTCATTCGATTTACTCGACGAGAAAGACATATAATTGTTCCTGCAACAATTGAAATAAACAGAGTAAAAGATCGACAATGTGTTAAAGGAACAGGTACTGTTCAATAATCATTATCGATGGAATAATAAACAATTTAATGTGTGCCCTTCGCATCTCAATATTTTTAGTATACGAAACAAAAAAAAATATTCAGTATATTTGAAAGAGAATGGCATGCGTGAGAGACTGTATTATTATAGTCGTACTATGAGAATAAAATATCAGATTTAGATGTTCGTGATCGGTATTTGTGTAACTTCTGAAAACAATTGCTATTCATCAATATTGAAACGATTTGTTTTTCATTATTTTCGATCGATTATCTCCAGTGTTTATCCACTAATTTGTTACTTTATTGAATTATTCATTTTATCTCGTGCTATTCCATTAGATTATAGCGAAGATCAGTGTAGAATTGCTTTCTGTGTATCTAATGATTCAAAAATAACGATATGGGACAGTTGGGTAAATAATATTCTTAGTGCATTACTTATTGGGCGTGTTTAGTATGTTAAACATCGCATGATTCAACACTTTCAATGGAAAAAAATGATATTTCAATTGTTGTCAATATGCGCACTTTATTTTGTTCTATGTTCGATATTGACAATCTTATACACAGTTTTCGAGTAGTGTGTATTTGTATTACTTTATCATCGTATTTTATCCGTTTGTGTCGATTGTTTCATTGCCTGAACTCCAAGAAAAATTTCGACATCTTATTCGATGGAGGCAGGCTGACGAACAACTAGGCGTTCATTTGAATTCCTTAGAGGAGATGAAATAAGTGCAAATAAACTGATCTTTTATTCTGAGTAGTCTGAAGAGAGCCGATGAATAAATTTTTTAAAACGGTGTTCGTTTTGTTTACGTCTTTGGACAAATGAATTGAAAGTAATCTGACATGAATGAAGCAGCAAATGAAAGAATGAGCACAAAAGTGACTTCAGTTCGAAGCCAATTAGATTGAGATCTAGGTGAGAGCGCTTATCTACTAGTTTTCTGATACTTTCAGAAAAGGGTAAATGAATACAAGGGGTGAGCGCTACTTGTTGAGTACTTGAATACTCGAAGAGATAGTGGAATACTTGAATTCAAGTTTCGAGTTTGACACTATTGAGTTATATGCCAGATTTTCTGTAGTGGATGATTTATTCAATACAGAAAGATGTCTGGACGGAATTATGGCTCAGAAATTGATGGAATTATTTCTCGAATATTCATTGAACAGACCTGAACGCGACCAAGAAAGGAGAAAACGATGATCAATGTGTTTTCGTTGATGATGCAGCAGAAAAGGGCTAAACGGAAGGACCTTTCTATTAGGATTTTAAGTGCAATACAGATGAGACAGGTTGCCCAATACACTTTTGACTGCCCAAGACCGATCGGAAGTAGTGGGGTGACGGATTCGACAATTTCCAACACTCGGATCCGATAGCCCGAAAATCCCGGAACTGACAGGATCTGGCGGGTTGTATAGATTTTCATACCTACGATTTTCATTGACTTTTGTGATATTTTATGTTTGCATATATTCATTTATTGAGATTATTTATATAAAACACAACAAAAAGACTTACAAAAAAGAGAAATAGATGAAAAACAATTTTTACCTAACGATATTTTTCAATAAACAAATTAAAAATATTGCTAATACATAAAAGAATAAAATCTCTAATAAAATACTCGATTCTAAAATGGAAAAACTAAAATAGAATTATTAGTATACAAAGAAAAAGAAGTTCGAATAAACCGTTTTGTTCTAAAATGAGAAAAATTGTTCATGTATAAAAAAACAGAAAGTTGTAAATAAAATATTCGATTCTGAAATAAAAACAATAAACTGAAATTGCTGATAAGCACCATTGTAAACAAATCTAATTCGCGTAAAACGGAAATAAAAATGACTGTATACTATCGAAGGAATGAACATTTTTCATACAGATCGTCATATGACTTGCTGACCATGTAGAAAAATTGTTAATAGATATCGCTCTGAAGCATACAGTTAATCTTTGTAAATAATAGAAATTTACTTCCTGCAAACATACTGATAAATGTCAGTTATTATGAGTCGAATATTGTCTAAAGATCATTAAAAACCTATCATGAGTAAGGATCGACTGAAATATATTACATAGTATTTGATGGTATAAAACCCTAATGGTTCCAACACTTTCCGACAGTTGGATTATGTCGGAAAATATAGGGATCCGACAGCATCCGTTGGATAGTTTTGATCTGGGTGAAATTCAAGGAACTAAATCAGATCACAGATTGTAATCGTATCTGCGTGGTCCGCTTAATTAAAATAAGACTTTCATGTATATAATCTGAACTATGTCTCTAGTGTAATTTCAAGTCTCAAATTCTTTCATCGGTGAAAGGAAATTAAAAAATATCCGGAGACATCTTCTTTTGGGTATTATATCTTTCAAGAAAGAACTGATGAAATAAACCGAAGCAAAGACAAGAATTGTTTTCTGTCCTTTCACTCAGAAAGACTGACATCTTTCTTCTCTGTCAGACAGCACACACATTCTCACTTAAAATACTTATGGAACAGTCTATGTTTCAATCCACAACTCTCCGAAAGACGATCAGTGTATTTCAGTCAAATAGTTGAACACATATTGAATTTTTTCATCCATTTAAATTATTTTCCTTCGATCGTGGTGAATAATCCAACGTTGAACATGGATATCCCTAATATCGTCAAGTTTTGGCTTTTTGTGGTGTTCCTGGTCCCATCCATCTTATGTAGCATCTTTAACCTTTATCATTTTCTCTTCAATCGAACACTTCGTCAATCTCTTCATAATCATGTTGTCACGATTCTTCTTTTCATTGGTCTCATCTATATGCTCACTGCTATTATCTGGTTTACTCATCTTTATCGTACGGGTGTCGCATTAGTACCAACACATATGTTTTGTCTCATATGGACATATTTAGATTTTGTTCTAGCAATAACAATGACACTTCTTACAGCTTGGGCATCAGTTGAACGGCATATTCTCATTTTCCATCAGAATCTCATTTCAACACCAGTCAAACGTTGGATTTTTCATTATCTCCCACTAATTATTTTCACTATTTATCCATTAATTTTCTATTTTATTGCGCTTTTCGTTCTATCATGTGATATTCCATTTGACTATAATGTAGAGCGATGTAGAGCAGCCGATTGTGTAGGGCTGAATGAAAATTTGCGCGCGTGGGATAGTTGGGGAAATAACGTCGTGCCAATTTTTGTAATTGTTATTTTCAGTATTGCTCTGATTGTCCGTGTGTGGTATGGAAAATGTCGAATGGGTCAACGATTTCAATGGAGAAATTATCGAAAGATGACATTTCAATTATTATCAATATCTTCTTTATATATTGTTCTCTCTTTGCCAGCAATGCTAATATATACAATGTGCGCAGTTGGTGTTCCGTGTAATTCAACTGCAATTGATTTTTTTTATAATTATTTGTATATTTATTATTTTATTATTTTTCTCACTCCATTTGTATCAATTGTTTCATTACCTGAACTTCGAGCAAAATTTCAACATCTGATGCGATTTCGTTGGCCACAAGCAAGAGCAGTTTTTCCTACGAGAATAACAACAGTTAATACTCGAGATCTACAAATGGTTAAAATAACAAATACTGTTCAACAAGTACAAAATATTGACACTAACAAATGACTGAAATGAATATAACTAATATTCTCGTCTTTTGTCTCGTACGTCTTTCGTTGTTGTTGCTTTATTTATCCATGAATAAACTTAAATCATAACAGATTGGCATAATTATATTGACGAAGAAAATGTTTGATCTCAATTAGATCTATTGTACGAGAAAGACAAAGATATGTCTTCGAGATAAACTATTATTCATTGAATACCTTTCTTCGTAAACATGTTTTAAATTTTCAGTGTTGTGATTTTCCATTTCCAAGATCATGAAACGTGATTTCACAATTCTGAATCGATTGACGAAATAAATTTCGACGAAATTTCCACGTCATTATTGCTGGTGACGATTACATATGATACGTAATAAGTATAATAGAAAATATGACCATTTCAACGCTTCAATGAATCTTCGTTGTTTGATAAACATATGTTTATAAGCTGTTCTTTTATAGCTCGATAATATTCATTCGATTGCCTTTCTACAATCAATTCGAAATATCTTTGGTTCAAAAATGATCAATCCTTGTTGTCTACCACCACCACCACCACCCATTTGTGTTCCAGTATGCTGTTGTGTTCAACGATTGTGTTGTGATCCTTGTTTGGGAGTACGTTGTATTACTGAATGTCGTGAAATAATGGTTCGAATACAATAATCTCTTAATCTCATATTTTATTATTTTAATCTCGATTCTGAAATTTTCAATAAACACGATTGTTTTATATAAAAGAAAAAAAAGCTTTGTTTATTAATTTGTGAAAGAACACAGCGGTAAATCTTCGCCTCTGTTCCATTGTCCATAAACATCCAATTTTCCTTGTATTTGGATTGTCTTTCTAATCAGACCATTTCGATAATCATCTCCATTCAAATGTAGAACTTCATCTCCATTTTGAATTCGAATGTTTTTCGCATTTGGTACAATCATTTGCAATTGAATTTCTTCATCTACTTTCAATGTTCGTCGAAGTGGTTCAATTAAAACACATTCATAATCTTTAAACGCCGGATGAACTTTTGGAAATGTGACACACGGCGGAATATTCAAATCCGATATTTGTACACATAAAGCCGCTCGGTATTCGGTTTCATGCGCTGTTTTAGCATAAATGATCACTTCACATGGTCCATCACGACTTGGTGGTGAAACAAAACAATCAATAACATTTTCTACGTGAGGATCTCGTTGACATAAAGTGTGCATCTCTTTCGGATATTCGTTTCCATCGATGTACAAACGAGCGAAAGCCTGAGCGTATTCTCCTGAGACGATGGAGAATTTGAATGGACGAGGAGTTCGTATCATTCCGGAAGAATTACTCGTGGAAAAATGTTCTTTTAATATTTGTCTCATTGTCTGTTCGAAAAATTCAGTTGAAGAAGAATCTTGTTGATGAATTATCAATTCTTTTAGAGTCTCCGTTTGTTGTTCAAATAAAACATCCAATGAAGTTTGTTCATGTTGTTTATTTGAACTGGAAATTTCTTTCATTGTATTCAAAAGATCTTTTTGTAATTGTTTGATTTCGTCGATGGTTGTTGAATATGTTCGTTGTTGTTTCATAATTAAATCAGTTAAATGTTGTTTCTGATCGTTAAAAAGACGTTTTAATGAATCATCATCATTGTCAGTCGTTGAATGGCTTCGTACAACATCAATAAGTGTCGCTTGGATTTCTTTTAACGATGTTCGATCAATAGTTGTTGTCGTTCGTTGACTTTCGTACTGTTTGACAATAGTTTGTTCGATCTGTTGTTGAATATTTTCGTTAAGATCTGTGTAAAATCGTTCGAGTGATTGAAATTGTTCTTGTTGAGATTTGAATGATTGTGTTAAAGTTTTCTTGAGAAGTTCAATTGAAGAATTGAGATTGTTGACATGTCTTTCGAAAGTACTTTCTAAAATACTTCTTTGTTTTTCAATTGAACGAATCAATTCTTCTTTATCATTCTTCACAATTGTCTTCACATTATTCACAACTTCAGAGTCTTTCTCAAATGATTTGATTAATGTTGTTCGTTCCGAATGGAAATCTTCACGAAATGACGCTATTAATTGTTCACGTTCTTTTTTCATTAAGTCAACCATATATTGTTTGATCTCTGTCAGATTATTATTATTAATTGCCGTTGGTGTTGTAGTTGCTGTTGTTGGTTTTGAGGGTGGAACATTTGCAGGTGAAGAACGAACTTTCTTCTCAGTTTTCTGATAATCATGACACCAATGTGAATTAATTGGTGGAAGTGATAATCTTGCTGATTGAGATCGATCACAAGAACAATTGAATATGTAATAATTGTTTCCATATGTTGGTCGATCTTTACGTAAACCCAACACGTGATAAGTTGCTGAATCGATTTTAAATGAATGTGTTATATCGAAATAACCTGTTTCCATCACGAGAGACAAATGAAAAAATGAAGTGGGATTTCGTGTAGCATAAAATGTCGAAAATAATTTTCTTTTTCGTCCTTGAATAACAAAAAGAAAAAGGAATTTATTCGTCGAGTGTTGTTATGTTTTCATGAGAAAAACAAAATTTTTCTTGCCGACATTGTGTTTTCGAAAACTGAAATCGATTGTTGCTGCTTTACCTCATCAGAGCAACAATTTCTTCTCTTCATACAGAAGAAATCGTATGAAACTTGTGTTCATCGGTTTTCCTTTTTTCATGAGCTCATCTTAAAAAGTAAAATCAATGACATCTATTCTGAGAAAATGATGAAGTCTCTTTAAATTGGCGCATCATTCACAACCAATTGCAGATATTTTTGCAAAACATTATTCGTTCTTAACAAAAACCATTGAACAAGTCATCTGTTCTGTCTAGATGAAATAAATATCGATATGTGGGTTTTTTACCTTTCTGTTCTGTATCTACATGTCAAAAGGGTTTCTACCACTATGATATTCTTATCCAGCGCGGATTTTACCTTATGAAACGATTAGGAAGAGGGAAAAAGCAAAATGAATGAATATAAAGTCTTTGGCAGTCATAGAACGAGGCAACAATGTCAAAAATCAATTCTCTACACGAATCTTGTAAACGCAACGATATCGATCAAGTCAGACAATTGTTACCTCAACTGGATAAAGATGAAATTAATGTACGAAGTGATGATTGCAATCGAACAGCGTTACATATCGCTGCATTTCATGGGCATGGAGAGATCGTCAAACTCCTTCTAACACACGAAGATATTGATTGTAATATTCCAAATCAATGGGGTTTATTGGCGAAAGATGAAGCACCGGAGAATATTAAATATTTATTTGTTGAACAACTCAACATAGATGAGGAATCTTTCGAATGGTTTGATACATATAAATATGCTTATCGAATTGCTTATGAATGTCAAAATCATCTTAAACAATGGTTGACAAAAGTATCATTTCAAAAATTAATCAAAGAAATTCATCAATACATTGAAAAGATGGATTTCGATCAAAATGAGAAAGATTTAATTCAAAATTATGTCCAACAAGCAATGGAGACAAACGATCCAATTCCGTTAGTTCGTGCATATACAGAAAAAACACCTTTCGTTACAAAATTAAACGAAGATTTAGCGAAAGAAGGTTCCGATTTTCGTTTTCAATCCGCTTTAGCTGGATTGAATACAAATTTGTGTGATAATGAAGCACAAAAAGGTTTTGGTGGATATATTTACACGTCAATTTTAGCTTTTCATACAAAACTGCAGTCCTACCGTCGGTTTACTGGTTTAACTTATCGAGGTGTCAATATGACAAAAGCTGATCTCGATCAATATCAAAAGAACAGATCAATGCTTGTTCGAACGTTTTTATCTTCTTCAACTGAACGACTTGTTGCAGAAAACTTTCTCACGTCGACTTCAAAGGGAAAATACCCGGTGATTTGCACCTATAATATTCGAAATGCAAATACAGCCATTGATGTACAGACGATATCCAGATATCCAAATGAGAAGGAGATTCTCATTCCACCTTTTTCAGTTTTTACGATTGTTGATATCAAATTGAATTTGGATGGTGTCAGTTTTATTGAACTTGAGGAATTTAATTCATCAGTTTAGTTAAAATAGAAGCTTTTCCAAAGAATAATGCACGGGAATTTCTCGGATAGTTGTGTTTATTTCATGAATTTGAGTTGCTGACAAGTTATTGTCAAGTATAAAAATAATGTTAAAAGAGTAAAAAACAGTGTCACTCTAACGGAAAATCTGTAAGTTTGAATTTTGTTCAATACTTTTAAACAAATTAACGAAAAAAAGTGAAGAGAATGTATGTTCAATATCTTTATTGAATCAAGAATGATCACAACACAACGAGAGAGAGAAAACAAGAACAAGTGACGAAAACACGAAGAGAAAGAGTGTCCATCCGACGGCAGAGAACAACAATCTATATATACATACGTAATAGTCGCCAGTACATCGAATCACGTGTACAGACAGAAACAGAAAGACAAAAGAAAGAGAGAGGAAAACAGTCATCAACACAAGTTAAGGTGTGATTATGTCATTAAATTGCTCAATATCTTCTAAAATAAATTCGAGTTCTGTATTTTCCACAATTCTTTCGATATCATTGACATGTGATTGAACACTTTGAACTTGTGACATCATTTGAATAACAGCCAAAAGAGATTGAATCAAATTCGTAAATCTTTGAACAGCTTCGCAATGACCATATCTATACAAAAGATATTTCCATGTGACATCTGCATATTGATTTTGAATTTTAAAAATGACATTTGTGTTCATTTGATCCGAGGATAGCGCTGTTGGTGAAAATATACAAGTCGTTCTAGTGAAAAGTAACAACAAACATGCTATTTTATTGAGCACAATGTCATGATCGATAAATTTGATTGAATTTAATGTGAGATAAAGACTATGTTCTCCATAGATTCGAAAAAGTGCTTTCAAGAAAGATCGACAAATGTTCAATTGAAATTGATACATTGAAAATACTCCACCGTAACAAGCAATTGAATCTGCACCTGTACGAAGCAAAACTAAACGATCATTGTATGCTAAATGCCGAAGATCACCGTTTGAACGAAGACATAATTCCGTTGTTTCGTAAAGTAACATAAAGAATTGTTTAATCAATGTTTCATTTGCTGGTTGCATTAATTGTAAACTTTCATCGTCTTTATATAAACTTTCACAGACAGGAAGAACCTTTCGTTCATCATAACTATGTACCAAATTGGAAAGAAGAGTCCATTCATCATTATTCAATCTTGACGTATCCGCTCGTAGAATATTCAATGTTGGTAACTACAAAAGCAAAGAATGAAAGTGATTGAAGTTCTGTAAAAATATTTCTTCGACGGAGTGTAGATGAGAATGAAGGTTTCAGATTCGTTATTCTCATCCTCGCTCTTTCAAAAGATTCTACCATTTGTGGTTCGTATGATTTGACCAAAGAAGTAACTTGTACTGATTTTTTGGTTCTCGTTTTGGTAGAAGAAGGATTACGAAACAAGTTCATGTCCATTCCACATTGAAAACATTTCGCTAATCGACATGCAGCACAAATATGACGATTGGTGATATTGATCTTACATTGATTATTACGGTAACATTGGATTTTTTTCTAAGAAAATCGATTTATCTGGTGAATAGAAGAAAATGTTTCATTCAAACCTCAGCATTCCGTCGGAAAAACATTTTACATGATGGACATGAAAGAACACCGAAATAAATGCCACGAGCAGGTTCATCACAAATTGCGCATTTCAACGGAATCTGTTTTGTATTTGATAGTGACGACTCACTGGATTGGTCTAACATCGTTCTTGTTTTTCGTCTAAAATAATCGATATTAATTCAAGTAGATTTTGAAAATATCATACAAAATGTCAACAAATTAAAACATCTTTTAATTTCTTATTAGTTGAAGTTGTTTGTAGTACAACGTTGCTGTCACAAACACTTACGTATATTTATCAGGAAAAAAGAAAGTTACTTTATCGTTTCTCTATAATAACTGAATATATCATTCGACTTTCCAGTAGATGTCGTTCTTCACCGGCTTAAAGTGTTTGATACTCAATTAACAACTAATTGTTTTAAAAGTGGAAAAGTTTATCTTTTCGGGTTAATAAACTTTGCTCGAAGAAACTATGCATTCTTATTTATTTAAAATTCAATAAATTGGTAAGTACATAGCGTAACATGGCACTTTATCATAACCTCCACCAGAGCAGAATGGAATTAAGAGTATTTCTTCTGAGTCTTCGACGCGAGTTATGGTTAAAAGTTGTCTTTTGTTAAAGTTCGTACTGTTGAAAATAAGTTGTGTTGGTGTCCATCGAAAACAATGAGTACATACGAGGGCTTCCCAATAGATAACAACAGTATCATTGCTTTGGGTTGCATGTGGAGGAGCAGGAAGCCAAACTTCTACTTTAGCAGTCTTGTTTAATTTTAACTTAATATGATCAGGATTATAAGATATTCCAAGATCGCCATCTCGACATATATCAGACCAATTTTTTGGAATTGACTTGAAATACGCGTCACTTGGCCTTTCTATTGAATAAATTGTGTAGTTCTGAACTCGTCGAATAGTTTCTGAATCAACTTGAACAACTTCAGAATATCGAATGGGTATATTTGTATTTTTACGAAAGTAAATGTCTTGACATCGATAAACTTCTCCAGTATCGACTCGACACGTTTCATTTGAATACCAATAATCTTCATTTGTCGATGCGTTCGTCGAATAAATCATTCGATAGTTAAAATTCAAATAATTTGTAATTCGATATGAACTATCATTTCCCCAATGGGATGGAAACAAACCAAACGCATTAGAACTGTATTCCCAATACGTTAAATAAGAACATTGAGTATTTCCCTTGTGTTTATTTAGAATTAATTGAACATAATGCTTCGCTTGTGCTGAGCCTGACTTGGCGTACGGGATGTGTTGCATTACGTAAGCAATATCAGTATCATCGGAACTTACGTTCAGTTTTAAATACGCACGCTGATTAATTCCATCAATGGCGATGATTGTTTGGTTATTATCAGGAGAGAAAATCACTTGTTTGGGAAAATATGGTTGAACTGAATTGACGAATTGTTGAGCGAATATGAAGATCAAGAAACATACAAATATTTTCATCTCTTTAGTAGAAAGAAAAACGATCTGCAAGTGAAACTGATGTTTCTGCGTAAAGAAAAGAAAAAGATGAGTTATGATGACAAGGTGAAGACTTTATCTTTCAGTAGAATGTGAAAATGTTGATATTATTTTAGCATGTGATACTTTATTTTGTAAATAGATTCACTAAAAAATCTACAGACAAACACATCGTCATTAAGTATAAATGGACTATTAAGTTGATTGATAACACACATGATGTCTACCGACAGTTGTTGGGATTGATTTGCGCATTGTAAAATTCGAACGATCAGCGAGGGTTTCATTTGCTCGTTTTCTGTGACAATCGACTGATCATCTCGTTGATCAGTTCTACTTTGACTATTTTCATCGGTTTGAATTACTTTCAACGTGGGTGTTTTCCAATCGTTTGCAGTTGAAATCAGCCAACATTCATCACTCATCATCGACGATTGTCTTGGAAGATTCGATTCAGTATTTTTGCTTGTCAACAGGCGTGTGTCATACCTTGTCCGAATTGAGGATTGAATGTGCACATCGAATCGCCTATTAGAATAAATTTTCGTAAGAATCACTCGGTGGATATTCGGAATTAACGCAATGAATTCTTATCTGTTGATTTGATTTCACGTATTGATGTTATGTAACATTCTACGTTTCTTTGAGGTATATCAACAGTCGAGCATATCACTGGTTTCGAATCTAACCAAGAATTTCTTCAGTCGACATTTGACACCGTGGACAAGATTCGATGATTGATCGACAATTAATTGTGTTAGTCTTGTATTGGTTTTCCATTCAATCTGATTCGGAAATTGTGAACAGAATTCTCTTCTTAAAACAGTTTCGAACGTAAAACGATCAAGACCCAACCAAGAAATGTCTTCGGGTCAGTTTTGATTTAATAAAACTCCATTAATAATGGAAAGTCTCGCTTCGTTTTTTAACGATAATAAGTGCGAACGTTATATTCATCTTGAGGGTGTATTCTGAGACCTGCGTATTTTTCTCTCAACGATAAGTAGAAACGAAAATAAACCAAACAGTACATCTGTAGATATAAAAAAAGCAGATTAATTCAGGATAAGAATCCACAAGATTGCTTTTCGTTATTATCTCTTTAGAAAAATATGTCAAATAGAAAATCAAAAAAATTGCCAGTAAAATCATTTGGACTAGAGGAAACAACATCTGATTAGAACTTTGCAGTTTTAGTCACATGTATCACAAAGATTGATTTCGACATAATTCGCGTAAATCATGTGTTGGAAGAAGATGATTGTTGTTTTTTCTTCCTTTCGTCTCTCTCTCTCCTACCAAAACTATCTCTGAATTGATCGCACATACTACAACAAGAAAAAGGTGCGGACAGTATGAGATACAGCCATTGTGCCTGTCGTCGAATTATCCACAGTCTTCGTTTTGCATCGATATCATTGCGTTCGTAGTCATCGTCCTGTTTTGTTAGTCACATACAGGAATGGAGAAAATTCCAAACGAGGAGTAACTGTCACTTAGTAGAGTATTTTATATTTTAGATCATCATTCATTTTGTAATTTGACGTTTGATCGAACTAGATGCAGGTCTTCTGTTTTCGCTCGGTTTCAGTTTGAGTCAAAGAAATTTGAAATGTCGCGACAAATGATTCAGAATCTACTGATTTATGACTTCTCAATCATTCTTTTACCATGATCCCAACCCGCCTTCTCGACAATCGGGCATGATGTTCGCTGTAGATGTAAATAAATTACTTTCATTCTTCACAAGAACTAAAACCACAATGAGAAATTCAACTTTAATTGTTGAATATTTCAGCTTGTCTTCGTTCATGTTAATTCAGCTATGGACCCAATTAATTTTATGTTAAAAAAAAGCAGCTCATTACAAAGACAACTTTAACTTTTATTATGCGAATTCCTTTATTTTCTTTATCCGCGCCTCTATCGATGTCATTTACTTGATGATAAAAACTAAGTTACTGAATAGCAACAACTTTGAACCGTCGAATAATCCGTATTCTAATAAAGTGAACAAGTTCTGGCATTGCGAATATACAAATAAACGTTTGCAATGGACATACGAAATAAACCAAACATTGAATACTATTCATTCCCGGATTGTTATCGAACAGATCTGGCATTATAAACGTGTTCATCATTGATAGAACCGTCGTCGGACCCCAACCACATATATAAAGCATCGAAAGGCCAAGTAGTTGAAAAAATAGCTTTTTTTGCTTTTTCCACTTGCTGAAATGACGTCGTTGACGAACTCTTTGTCTTGAACAAACAATTCGACATATCAATACAATATTTGACAAAACAATAATGAATATTGGTATTATACAATTTATTACCCAATCGAGATTAAATATAAGAATTATGCGACCGTAACAAGGAGCGGCACATGTTGTTTCTTCTTCTGGGAAAACAGTTTCACATGGATAGAAATAGACCAATGCAATGTAACATAAAGGTGGATATGTTATGCAAAAGATTAACGGGAAAAAATGAACGAACCATCGTGTACGTTTTATACGAAACCAATGTGAATTGAAGATGAGAAAATGTCTTTGAATGCTCGCGGTAGCTGTGAGAAATAAACTCATCGCTGAAATCGTATAATCAACCCAAAACCACCAGAGACAAAACGATGGCGTACGAAAATAATCATAACCAAGACGATAAGTACTGATGGTAAATGGCAAATCTAACGTAACATAGAAGAAAGAGACGAGAATTAGGAGAAAAATCACATGATGATGAAGAGACTTGACGATTGTTAATTGCCAATGACAACAAATATAAATCATGATTAAAAGTGTACAACATATTGATGGAATTTCCACAATTAACAACGAAATAAAAGTGATAAAATATACCGTTGATATACCGGTTGAATTTGATACACTATCGTTTTCCATTCGGGCAGAAGTAGATTCTCAAAGAAGATTTTTCTAAATAAATTGTATACGTTGGATGTATATAATTCTCTAAATTTCGGTACTCGTGAGGATGGGTGAGCAAACATAATTCATGCAAGTGAAGTACTGCCAGTACTGCGATACATTCTATTAGCTTGAAAAAGTTCTTTTTTTGTATGAAGCTGATCTTTGTATCATTAAAAAGGCTGTTTTAACTAATGTCTGGTTGAGCATTATCAATGTGTTGTTGCATCGTGACTTCACTCCTATAGCTACTTTTTTATCATTAGACATGTTCACAGACGAAGTTAGTATAGCGGAAATCGTTAAATCTGTCATTATTAATAGAATACGCACTTTCGTTTTAAAAAGATTCTTTTTATGACAGATACTTTTCAAAATTGACTTTTCACGCTATCAAGCGAATCAGGCATTAATTATGACTTTCCCCTCGATCAATTCATCAGTAAAACTCGTGATGCTTTTAGATTTTTCTTGTATCAGCGAATAGTGGTAAATATGCACGATAAACTTTGATTTCTTCTTTCTTATCATGTCTAGCGTTCCACCGTTGACTTTCAAATGTAAGAACATCTTTAAATATACTTCTGCGATGGAAAACTGTCAGATTTATAAACCTGAAAAGTCAGCATAAGTAATCTTTTCGAAAGGATAATCGTCCTCTAGTCAGCTTAATTATCTTCCTATAACAAACAAAAGTGTCCTTATATCTTGCCGAGAAAGACTTCGAATATTAGTTTTTGAAAATTTTCATATCTCAAGTACTCAACGTTGACATCACTCCAATGTCACTCGTATCTCTCGGTGAACAAATTACCATTTACGGTGGTTGTATTCTAATTGTATTTGGAGTTCTTGGTGAAATATTCAATGTTATCGTTCTTCTTAGTTTGAAAACATTTCGACAATGTCCATCAGGATTCTATTTAACATTGATGTCCTTCGTCAATATTGGCCAATTATTATTCGGATTGCTATCACGTGTTATTATTTTTGGTTTTGAAGTTGATTGGAATGCGACATCAATAGTGTTTTGTAAATTTCGATTAGCTTTTTTTCTTTTATGTGCATTGGTATCCTATACTTGTTTATGTTTGGCAATCATCGATCAATATTTGGCAACGTCAACTCGACCACATTGGCAACAATGGTGTAACAACAAAATAGCTTATCGCTTAGTTTTACTATTTACATTCATTTGGATAGGACATCTTATTCCATATCCAATTATGTTACAACATGTCATCTCATCTACAACAAATAAAGTGACTTGTACTTCAACAAATCCAAGTATGGTCATCTATCGAAGTTATTATATTGGTCTTTTTCTGACAGGTTATTTACCTGATATAATTACATTGGTATTTGGTATTCTAGCTTATCGTAATATTCGACAGATTGGATATCGAACAATTCCTCTTGTTCGTCGAGAATTGGATAAACAGTTGACAGTGATGGTTTTTGCTCAAGTTATCATTAATTTTCTAACAAATGTTCCATTTTCTACTCTATTTGCGATTACCTTTGTAACAGCCAACTGGAAAGATACATTCGCTTTGACTGTCATACAATTTACTTACAATGTTTCAATTATTATATTCTATACATATTTTTCAGTAAGGACAAAGATTTGTCTTTGATTTTTAATTGATTTTGTTTTAGAGTTCATTTTATATTTATATGTGCGTATCTGAACGATTTCGTCGACAATTTATTCATGTTATCTATCAAATATATTCTCAAAGATGGCGACAAAAACTTAAACCAAATAATCAAATTGCTCCGTATTGAAACCGTTCAAATATTTTATTTTCATTTTTTTCCTATACTCGATAAAATAACCTTTTCTGACGACCAATAGAGTGATAGTTCTATCTTCACTTCCTTTTCTATCTATTCACTATTGACGAATCTTTGTTGTTGAACATTTCTTTCGATTCAATATATTTTTAAATCAAATATTACACATCCTATTGGCAGATTTCTTCTTATACATCTCACGACACGACATTCTTTTGATTCCATCATTCAGTGACTCTGACGAGTGTAAGAAAATCTTGGTAGCAGACAGTCGTATTTAATTTTAAGAGTAATGATGATGAGTAACTGAAAAGGTTAACAGATCCATCAAGTCTGAGAGTATTCAAAGGAACATTCTGTTGAAACGTCATTCATTGCGCACGTATTGATTAACAAACAAAAAAAGGATACAGTTGAGTCAGACTGATCACGTAGAGAGAATTGAGTATAATTTAACATCACGTTCTCTAATGATTGATGAAGCGTTCAAATCATCTTTATCTTTGTTTATTCTTCGATCATTCATATATAAAGTCTTTGAAAGAACCAATCTACACAAACTATTGACATGCGATCCGAACAAGGAGGTGAAGCGGTAACTGTAATGTGTGGTATTCCCATTACTGATAACAAAATTCTATCGGTACCGATTGATCGATCTGAAATCAAACAAACTCGATGTATTCTTTTGACAATTATTTCTATTAGTTTCGTGAGTATTAGAATAACTTTAAATAGTTCATGGTAGCATCCTAAATCATACAGGGTCTGGCCATAATTCATACAATTTATTCTTTCGCATGGTTCGCTTGTGACAACAGTCCAAAACAAAGTCAACAAGACGAATCATTACTCATATCTCTTCTTTCGCTTCTATTTTTTGGCTTTGGACTTTATGTAACTCATAACTATTGCCGATTAGGTTTATATATGGTATGTAAAAATCTTTATTTTGAACAGTTCAGTGTTTTTCTTTAATATTTAGTTCGCATGGTCAGGAATTGCTGTACTTATCGGTAGTGGAGTATGCATCTTACATCTTATTGTTGGTATCATGACATTAGTTCCTGTGTATCATGCTACTAACAACAAAGATTTTGTTATCAATACATTGATGCTTCTTTTGATGATCGCTGTTCTTCATTTGTCTGCTTTTGTTGTGACAGTAAGTATGCTCAATGTATTTGCCTTACTCGTTTTGAATGTACTTTGATGTTTTTTTGTAGCTCATCGTTATAAAACTTGCTTTTAAACTGGCAAAACTGATCGATGCCAATGAAAATTTGATAATTGATTTATTCAAAGTTTAATACGTAGGCTTTGAAAACTATTCATGCAACCTAGATTGTTTCCTTTTTCTGCTTGATATAGTTGTCATCTCGTTTAGAAATTTGAAATAAATTTCTTATAGCTAAGTTGTTACGCATTTATCAGTGTCAGCTCAATCTTGCACGACCATTGTTTACTTGTAAATTCGAGCTCGCCTGACCGTGAGAGAGTTTTTGAATGATTTCATATAGATATCCGATGGTATGACAAAGATCACGAAGATGAGTATGGATGGCGTAAATGAAAAGAAATATGAAATGAGATATAACCAGAGATTTGTCGACGTTCTGATACATCCAGGTAATGATGAAATGATCACGCGGGGCATCGATAAGATTAACAATAGGATAGGACTAATGATTAGTTGTTTATGTTCACTGAATTGACGACGAACGTGTTCTTTATAAGTTTGATTCGTTTGTATTACTGATCGTTGTCGAGCAGATCCGATAATAATATACAAAGCGGAAAATAGATTAGCAACAAATGGAATTAGCAGATGAAAATATAAAACGATTATATTATAAGTTTGCACAGATGAAGGATATCGAATAACACACCAAACATGTCGATTGGTTACACTTGTGTATATCGTGTCGATGGACGTTTTGTTCTTTTCTGATTTGAATACGTCTTTTGTGATACTTTCAGTATTATTCAAATAGACTCGATCAGTTTCAGTCTCATATTTGGACATTTCTCGATGTAAAGGTTCGTGAAGAAGACTTGCCATGATGCATAATGGTAAAATAAAAATTATCCGCTGAGCGAAACGTTTGCTCTTATTTTTATTAAACTGAGCGCCTTTGAGAACTTGTACTGCTCGTTCAATTGCAACAGAAGCATTTAACCAACTATCACAATACAGTAAAAGTTTCAAAACCGGTTCGATTATGATACAACCGACATGAAGAATAGCGAAACTTGTCGATGTGTTGATTTGAATGAAAACAGCGAACCAAAAATTGATTAAGAACATACAAATGGTCAACAGAGAGGTAAGTGATGATACATAAAGGTACAACCCACATCCAACTTGTTGTGTATCTTTATTTTTAAATGTTAAATATGAAAAAAGACTATTGATAATTCCTCCAATAAACATCATTACAGTCAAAGCCGAACTTATTTGAATTGAAGGCGATTGATTTGCTAATGCAATTTTTGGTTGGATTTCTCCACGTAAAATGTCATCAAGTGGCAAACCAATTGTTGTCGAATAAAAGTGACAACGGTCTCCGACTGAGCAACTTCGATATTTTGAATCTAAAACGATTTTTTTATCAAAAGATGAACTTTTGATAGATTACTTACGAAAATAGTTGATAGTAGCATTGGATTCACCAGATATAAAGACGGAAAAGTTTCCCGTTGTATTCGGATAGTATGTGGTGACAACTAAAATGTATTTTGTGTTTTTTTCAAGATCAATAAAAAATTTCAGTTGATGTTGATTACATTTGCCACTATGTTGAGTTAATGAATTACCAAATGGTTGTAAAGGATCAAAAATATCTTTGTAAATATAACCGTATGTGTCTATCTCACTTTTACTCCAAATAACATACAATCCGTTTTTCATCACATTGATTTCTAATGTTTCATAATAATAATTTGGTTTCTTATAATCACGACAATATTTTGGACTATTTACAGTCAATTCGGATGAATAGATCGATCGAATATTGACTGAAGTAGCTATTTAAAAACACAATGAATTTCAAGATACTTTCTCAAATTTACGATTCTTACAAATCAAATAAGAAAATGTACTTACTGAGACGTTTGATCGTATCATTTTCTAATTTTGACACATGAAGTGTAATCTCGCCAATTCTCATTTGATCAAACGTTGTGATAACCAATATGTATAGGGTATCATCATAAAGAGGAATTTCAAATCTGAATTGGTCATTCAATCCTCCATCATCATTTTTGACAAGAAGATTTTCAGTTGGATTGAGTGGATCAAAAACATTCTCATAAATGTAGCCGTATGTATCGATTGAAGCCTCACTCCATATCGTATAATAACGATTTTCTGATACTTTGATTTCATATGATTCGAAATAATAACTTTCTTTATTACAATCTTGAGAATATATTTGACTATCTTTCGATAATTTGATTAACTCTGTCCATCGAATAACTGATGACATATCTGTAACAATAAGAATTTGTTTGTCATAATTCACAGAAAGAAATCCTATTTGACGTCAAACTCACCACAAGAATTGGGCGAATATTGAAATTTTCGAATTCGATGATTTCCTGAATCCATCACAAACATATTTCCATCACTATCGAAAGCAAGAGTAGATGGAAATAAGAATTGAGTAGATTTGATACTGATTCCATCACATCCGAGAACACAACGCATATGACTTATTCCCGATCTCAAAACGCGATGATTTTTCGAATCAACAACAAATAAAAATCCTTGAGCATCCAATGTTATTCCCGTTGGACATGAGAGTGAATATTGAAATCGTGCTGGTAATGCACGTCCTACTTCTGTGGTACCACCTACCACGTTTGGTCGAAATTTTTGAATTCGATCATTTCCACAATCAGTGACGTATAAATTCGATGATGAGTCAATAAAAATTCCATAAGGATTATCCAGTTCTGTAGATGAAGATCCTTTAACGCCCGTTCCGGCCGCACTCGTCCATGTCATGATACGCTCGTGCAAGCGTTTTTTAATAATTTGGTGATGGTTAGACATCGAACAATATAAATAGTCGTTCAAATCAATAAATAAACTGGTACAAGATGAAAAGACACTCATCGCATCAATAAAAACTTTCTTATTCAAAATCCAAGCTTTCACTGCGCTTCGCGCTCCATTATCGATATAAATATCTCCATTCAATGCGACAAATAGAGAAGATGAGTTGAAGAAACCGGTAAAAATAGTCTTTGTTGGTTCGATATTGCCTTGATGCCAAACTAAAATTTTCATTGTCTCTCGGTTAATTGAGTAGATCAAATTTTTTTTGTCTATAAAAAGGGCTGATGGTTTCGAACCAAGTGTGAATTGATCTGCAACAGTCATTCCATTTTGACTCCAAACTGACTTTGAACAGAATTTGGGCTGATTGAATGCAAAGCCTATTCATCAATACACACATATATCACGGCATATAGCAGTAGGAAAAGTGGATCGAAGATCCAAACTTTTATCTGTATTTCGAGAAGATGAGGTTTCAAGATGNGGTGTAGAGGTTAATAAACGATCAACTGAATGAAATTGATTAAGATTTGAGTGAAGAATTAAATTTTGTATTGAAGATGAAATGTTATTGATGATAAAATCGATTGAAGAAAGTTTTTCTAATTTGAAATGAGTAAGTTGACATTGACGCCAAATGATATGAAAATAACTCGAACGAAAGTTACAATCGATGATTTCGAGATGTTTCAGATCAGGAAGAAATTTCAATTGTCGTAAAAGATCGTTCATTATGTTTATCGATCGAATGTGAATCAAAGAAAGTCGTTTTAATCGATGAAAATCCGAAATTTTCAAATTATAAGAAAGAAACGAAGTTAATTGATAAGGCGTTTCATCATCATCTGATAAATACAACGAAATGACTCGATCAGTCATCTCTGGTAAATATTTGCGACAAATTTCATCGAAATTCTGTTTTGTTATCGAACGCAAATCGATATGATGTGATCGATAATGTTTGAATAGAAGATTATTGAATCGAATGTTCAATCCAGAAAATGAACGAAATAATTCAATAATGTTGAAATAATCGAATAAATCCAATAATAATTCATTTGCTAATGATTCCAAATTCATTGTAAAATCAAACACGTATTATGAAAAGAAATGAAAAACAAAATATTTTCCTTCGTTTTCGTTGATGCGTCACAACGAATACGAACTTCCCTTCGGCGCGTCTATGTCTGTCCTTCTATCACAGTCAGGTTTCGACATCTATCGAAACGTTCTATATGAATTTTTTGTCACATTTGTGTTCTCTTATCAAAATCTCCTTATCATTTGTAAATAACCTGAGATATTTTAACACAGATTTACGAAAAAGATGGGTTGGGTAGTACTGTTTACAATATTTGTTTTGATTTTAACACAAATATTCGCTGTGCCATTGAAATCATCGAATAACTGTGGTTATGATGTAAGAAAATTCAATATTCATATTGAATATAGTTTTGATGAGTCATATTTTAGTCGTGTAACTTAGGTCAACCTGGCAAATTGAATGTTCATATTGTTGCTCATACACATGATGATGTTGGTTGGTTAAAAACAGTCGATCAATATTATTACGGATGTAAAAATCGACAATAATATTTATTTATTTACTGACAAATTTGTTTTTCAGCTCGGAGAGAGATTTCGTCAAAAGCTGTTCAATATATTCTTGATTCAGTTATTGAAGCATTGGTCGACAATCCCGATCGTCGATATATTTATGTTGAAATGGCCTTTTTTTTGGCGATGGTGGACTGAACAATCAGAAAAAGTGCGAAATATTGTCAAACAACTTGTTAACGAAAGTTCGTAAACACAAATTATTTATTTTTGGAATAAATTCATTCGATACTGTGAAAAGGTCGTTTGGAATTCATTTCTGGTGGTTGGTGTATGAATGATGAAGCAACAACACATTATAATTCAATTATTGATCAACATAGTTTAGGTGCAGAATTTTTACAAGAGACTTTTGGCGAATGTGCGAGACCAAAAATTGCGTGGCAGATCGATCCATTCGGACATTCTAGAGAAGTTGGCTCCCTCTTTGCACAGGTGATTTTCAGTTTTAGAGAGTTTTTCTAGGAAAAGAATGTTCGTTTAGATGGGTTTCGATGGAATGTTTCTCGGACGTGCTGATTATCAAGATCAAATACATCGAGGATTTGAAAAGAAGTTAGAAATGATTTGGAAAGCAAGTGCCAATCTAGGTTTGTCTCTTTTGTAATTATCAACAATGAATTAATGATAATTTTACATAGATCGTCAAAGTTGGCTGTTTGCGGGTATTCTTCCATATGGTTATGGATCACCATTTACATTTTGTTACGATTCTCAATGTTCTGATCCACCGATAATGGTTTGTTGGATTATCGTTTCATGAGAATTCAGCTTAATGAATTTAATCGTTTCAGGATGATAAAAATTTAAAGGATTACAATGTACCAGGACGAGTTTTAGCATTCATTGCCGAAGCTTATGCTCTAGTTGGTTACTGAAAAAATCTTCTCTCCAAACTTCGTTTTTTTCTTCATTCTAGTCGAAAATCTATGCGACGAATCATTTGATAATGACCATGGGCGGTGATTTTCAAGATAAAAATGCTCATGAGAAATTCAAAAACTTAGATAAATTGATTCATTACGTTAATCTTGAACAAAACAATGGCAGTGACATCAATGTGTTCTATTCCACACCGTCATGTTATTTATATGCGTTGAATAAAGCAGGAAAAACTTGGACAACGAAACGTGATGATTTCTTTCCCTATGCGATGGTTCCCGCGTCATATTGGACTGGTTATTATACATCAAGACCTGCTTTGAAGTTTTATGAACGTTATGCGAATAATATTCTTCAAGTAACTCGTCAACTGAATGGATTTGCACAGACAAATTCACGTGAAACTATCTTTGTTTTGAGTAAGATGAATGAAAAGTGATTTTGTCGAATTTATTCATTGAGAAGAATAGGTGAAGCATTGGGATTGGCTCAACATCATGATGCAGTTAGTGGAACGGAAAAACAACATGTCGCCAATGACTATGCTCAACGATTAGCAGATGGAATCGATCGTGTTATGGTACATTTAGCAAAGTTTCAACAATTTATTTGAGATAAATTTTATTTAGAATGTGATTAACAATGCTTATGAAAGATTATTACCGAAAAACAATCGAACAGCGTCAACATCTCAGCAGTTTCTTTGTTCATATTTGAATATAAGTGCATGTCTTCCGATTGAAGGACAAGATCATGTATGTACAAAGAGTAAAACTTTTGAAATAATCTAAATTATGTTTGTACAGTTCACATTGACTTTGTGGAATCCAACAATTCATCCGATCATTGTTTATCCTCGTGTACCTGTAACTCGGCAATATTCGATTCGCGATCCACGAGGAAATCTTGTTGTTGCTGAAGTAAAACAGTGACGATCACACATTGAAAAGTCGATTTCATTTTTGTCTGATAGTATTTTCGAATTCCAGAAACGATTCAAAATCTTCCTGGTCGAATGAGTTCTGCACAAAATCAATATTTATTTCAAGTGTCACTGCCAGCACTTGGTTTCAATACGTATTATTTTGAAGCTAAAACACAGAATACAAAGAATGACGAGAGAATGGAACATGAAAAAGTAAAAACAACTGTGAACGAAGCATGTGTCTTACAAAACGAAGTAAAATCGAACTTTTTAATTCCAATTCCAATACATCACTTGGTTGTTTCAGCATTTACGTGTGGAATTCAATAGTTTGGGCGAATTGAAGGAAATCACCAATTTAGATAAGAATTTAGTTGTTGCGTTCAGTGAACAAGGTTTCTATTGGTATGCAAGTGAGTTCTCTTATAAGAAATGATTCGTTATCTCACGAGATATCTGTCAGGTTACACAGGAAATAAAACAGCTCCAGTAATACCCTCTTCGGGTGCCTATATCTTTCATCCATTGTTACCAGAACCCGCACCTGTGAGTCTTATCCGAAGAATGTAAGTCATCGGATTGAAATGAATGAATATTTTAATTGCAAAATGTTCATAGAAATTGTACGAAGGCAAGTACAGTTCAAAAAGCATCGATCATTTTCAACGATTGGATCAGTGAAGAATTCAATCTTTATAATGGTTCATCATCACTTGAAGTTGAATGGATTGTTGGACCAATACCAATTGATGATAATATTGGAAAAGAAATCATTGTTCGTTACAATACAAATATAAAAAGTACAAAGAAATATTATACCGATGCAAATGGACGAGAAGTTTTGGAACGTATTCGTGATTATCGACCAACATGGCATCATATTGTTGACGAACCGATTAGTAGCAATTATTATCCAATCAATAGTCGAATTTGGATTAAAGATGACGATCGACAATTTACGATTTTGACGGGTAAAATCGAGTTTTTGATTTTTTGAAAAGCGATTTTCTGTTTAATTATTTTTCTTAGATCGATCGGAAGGCGGTGGAAGCATGTGGGATGGTTCAGTTGAAATTATGATTCATCGTCGAATACTGCAGGATGATTCCATGGGAGTTGGTGAAGCTCTAAATGAAACTGCATACGGCAAAGGTCTTGCTATCACGGGAAAACATATTCTCTCTGTTGATCGTCCATCCGATAGTGCTCGATTTCATCGAACTATCGCTCAACAATTCTACATGCGTCCTTTAGCAACCTTTTCTGTGCCAAATACAACAACTTACACAAACTATTCGAATATCTACCGTCAAACTTGGTCAGCTCTCTCTGATTCGATGCCAATGAATGTTCATTTGTTGACATTTGATCAATTAAATCCAAAACAATATCTTGTCCGTGTTGAACATTATTTTGAATTGAATGAAGATGAAATTTATTCGAAAGCAGTGACAATTGATATTCAAACACTATTTCAAAGCATTGGAACGATTAGTGACATGGTTGAGTTGATTTTAACTGCAAATTTACCAGTATCGGATCTACATCGACTCGAATGGATGACCGATGATCAGCAGTCGTCAAAAGTTCATGTTTCACAACAATATTTGTCGAATGTGACAACAATTACACTCAATCCAATGCAAATTCGAACATTTCAAATTACTATCGCTTGAAAATATTGATTATAACAAGAAGACCACTTTTGAAAACGTTGTGTAATGTGCGTTTTTAATCAGAGCGATCAGGTACCATAGAGTAATAAAAAGTGCATTTGAAGAAAAGAACAGATGCGTAATTCTCATTATGGGCCGAATATAGACACCGACAGTTTTCGTCTTTCCCACTATCAAGACTGTGTTTCTATATATACAATTGATCGGATGATAGAAGTAAAAAAAAGATGTCTATGTACTACGTTAGTCTAATCGTTTTTGTGACCGTCACAGTTCTGGGCAAAAGTGTTCATGCTACCGAGAAGATACCGTATACTATCGAACGCATTCCTCCAATTGATGAAAGAAATGACGTGGGCCCAGAGATTTGTCGAGAATGTATCAAGGAATCAGTTAGTGCGATTAATGTTTTACTGAATCTGATACTCGATGAAGGTATTATTGGAAGTTGTGGTGATCTCTGTGGTGCTTTGGCCAATAAAACAAGCTCGAAAGGACTCGGTGATGTTTGCCTAGTCGTATGCAACGTTGTGGGTATTGGTGAATTCATTAGATTGCTTGAACATACCGATCTAGATCCAATTTGGTACTGTCAAATTGCAGATCTATGCCCAAGTAAGTCAAATCGATTTGCTGTACACTGATAATTTGAATTTTCTAGTTAATGATCATGGTGATGCTAAATTTGTCTATTTTCATATGATTCCTTCAACAGGTCGCGTAGGAACAGAATTCATCATTGATTGCTCATTTACATCAAAGAATGGCACAGGGCCAGGTATGCTTAGCATTACTATTGTTACACCTCAAAATCAATCAGCAAGCAATGATTTTCTACTGGATGCTAAGAAACCTGGTATTTACGATCAAAGAATTGCAGTGAAAACTTTCGACAGAGAGTGTAGTTCTCCAACTGGTAAGAGTTCTTTAATATTTTATTTTCTTCGATTTCTGTTTTTTTAAATAGATTCATGCAATGGTTTTCCCACTGGTACTTACAATGTAACAGCGTATCTTTGTGACGGAGAATGTGGCTCACATCATCCTCATTCATCTATCTACGATGTTGGTCACACTTCTTTCGTAGTTACTCCATAGTCTTTTTCATTTTATTAATAAACTATTTGTAACTTTGGGAAAAGCTTTTACAACAACGTCTGTTAAAGCTTCGACACAATATAAAATCGAGTCAGCACCCATTTGAGGTAGTCATGCACCATTCCATCTTATTGTTCAGATCGGTTGAATAAGATCCGGGATAGATAGAACTGATTGTCACATTTTTCGCTGAATATTTTTTATTTCAATCGTGTGCTTCCAAATGAGTGAGAATGGTGACACCTAACTTGATGCGGAATAATAAATTAAGTAAAGACCTTGAAATTCAATCGGGCCAAAATCAACTGTTTTGGAAATTTTTCCTTCTTCGACTACTTGGAGTAAACTAAAAAAACAAACAGACATGCTCACTTACTGTTTTTCGTGCTAACTTACGGTAAAAATAATGTTACTGCTGCTACGTTTGGGTGTAGAAATTTACTTTTTAATTCTCGAAAACAATGCGTTATTGAAGATCGTGCAGCTTCACTACTAACATTAACAATGCGTTCACCACATTTCTTTTCGATTTGTTGCTTTATATGATTGATACTTTCTTTCGATGATGTGTTGACTCGAAGTACTTTCACATTTACAGATGATCGAAGTTGACTAACAACCTCTTCGTCACGCTTTTGTTGATGACTATCAAGCAAAACAAAATCGCCTGAATGATTTGCTGCGAGTTTTTTGCAACTTCGAATCCAATACTTTCGTTAGCTCCACTAACTAAAAACACTCGTTGAGAAACCATTCGTACTTTTCTTTCCACCGAATAATGCGATTAAACGAAAGGGTACACGTACTTACGCGCTTTTATATACAATCGAGAAAAAGGAGGGGAAAGAATAACTGCCGGAACTTTTATCATGAATACTATGTTTCTTTACCACGACACATGCATTTTTTTTTCAAACAAAGCTATTTTACCTACCACTTTAAGTTCGAAACATAAAAACAAAAAGAGATTAGAACAGGTCAATGCATTAATTAGATCAATAGCTTAAAAGGAAGATGCGTATTTTGAGAACGAAGATAAGTGTGGATATTTCGTCGTCTGTGATATACTTCTTAAACCCGAATGACAATGTTGGCAAAACCGCATCAAGGATCAATCGAATTGCTTTGCTTAGAACTATTTATTGTCTAGATTAATACATAAATTATCAATGATGGACCGATAGTTTATAAGACCATAGAAAATCAATCGCGACAATGAAATGTCGCGGTACAAGAAAAAAGCAGAAGTTAAAGGGAAAGACCATGCGATGATTATAAGTGGAAAATAAATGCTAATAAGCAACCGCAACATCTGGAATTGATTTCTGCAATATTATTTTTTTATGAACGGTCAGTCCTACAGTATAACAAGTTGACTAACGGAATTCGATGAACCGATGACGTAAGAAATGCAGAACATGACACCGTCTAACATGTTCTGAAAAAATAGAACTATGACTTATTTGATCAATTTCACCAAGATTCGTGATTCTAATCGAAACGTTGTATTTACCATTGATCGACTCCCCCTCCTGTCTACGGATAAACAATCTAACACAAAGCCATGTAATACAGAAGGATCCAGTCGTTGCCAGCTCTGCGACTTTCACTCGGTGATCAAATCTTCATACAAGCAATATCTGATAAGACATTCAATAAGTTCACAAGAATGGTCATTTGAGGTTGTATATACTCCAAGCATACTATCGGTATTGTTTTCGTAACAAAATCATTTTACTGAAATGAGATAGGTTCTCAAAACAGAATCATCCGCCCATTTATAAATACTTTAGAAGATGAACCATATTATAATAATGGGACCCATTCAAATTATACCAGTCCTCACTATTCATTGTAAAGATATATTTAACCCTTTTACATGGCCATACTTGCTCAAATTTTAGTGATGAGCTTGTGCGCTCTACCCCGTAGCAGACATACCTCTAATAAAATTATCATTTCTGTGATGGAATCCAGTGGATTTTTCTTCAAAAGATATAGTACGGTGTTTATCTGTTGTCCTATTATCTCATGAGTGAAACATTTCGTAAATTCTTGTCTTTCCCTTTATCTGTTCGTTTTTGTCATTTTTGTATTCTCTCAGTAAATTGTATGAATGGTTAGGTTATTAAAATGTGAAAGAAAAAATCTAGTTGAATTATGTTTTTTTTTCCCTTTTCTGAAAGAAAGGGTTATACAGCGGTTAAATATTGGGCTCAAAATGCTTAAAGTTTGTCTGTCATTCTGTCTGTCCAAGCCAATCAGATTGCAGCATTCAATAACTCATAGAAAACTTGATGTTGGTCATACGGAAATGATCGACCTTATGTAATCGGGGTCGAGGACCACGAATCCGTGATTAGTTTTTCGAAAAAACTTTTCGTTTCGTTTTTTTACAGCAAAGGACCACTTTTTTTGCAAAAAAAAAAATTTTTTTTTATAAGGGTTGACCGAAGGGTAATCGAGGTCAAAGAACTCCAATATGACGTTAGTTTCTTCTTAATCACGAATCTTCGGCTTGTTTCTCTGTTTTTCCAGAACACATATTTTTCTGCATCTTCCTAAAATCTTTTGTAGAAGGTAGTGGTCTGAGTGCTACCGCTGGATGTGGCATGGACCAAGAGAATAGTTTATGAGTTTACATAAAGGGATTTAATACACCATGATTTACATCATGATATTTCTAATTCAGGAAAACAGAAAAAGTTATATGAGGTTAATATCATTTTTGCGTTGTAGGCTGCGATAGGCCATGTCTTTTAATAGGAATTGATTGGAAATAGGTCGCAAAGTGATATGCTCGTCAGCGCAAGTCGATCTTATTAACTACAGAGACATGGACTATACAAATCATATTCTGAACATATGTAGCAATATGAACGCTGTTCGTTTCGCACGAAATCATGAAATAAGAGTTTATATGTATTTTCTTTGAGTAGTGAAATGAACGGAAGGTCATCACTTTCAAAGCGACAACTAAATGAAGCGCAGTTATTCAGTTTGAAAGTTAATGAAAGGTTAAAGGCATAACAGAGGTAGCATCGCAACGGCTATCTGTGAGTGACCGACCAAAGGGAAGTCGACGAACGACTAGATCGGTGTGAAGCTAGCACCATCGAGCTAGCACCATCAAACTAAGGATTTTCTGAAAACGAATTCCGGTCAATAAAACCGAGTTTATTCGATACAGAATTTAATTCTGAGTCCAATGGTGACATTTTTATTCACCGGAAAACGTTCCGAGAAAAATTTTCTTTGATCTTTCTTTATCCTCGATACATGTATATGCATCATTTTTCGGCCGTCGGCACGCAATATCTCTGTCCAGAACGAATTCCGGTTCATGGAAAAGAGTCTATTCGACGCAGAATTTGATTCTGCATCGACTAGTGCCACTTTTATTCACCGGAAAACGTTCGGTATAGAGCTTACCTTGATTCTTATTTTTTCGCATATATATATACAATTTTTTTTTTTTAATTCGAAAAACTTTTTTCCGAACGTTTTCCGGTGAATAAAAGTGGCACTAGTCGATGCAGAATCAAATTCTGCGTCGAATAGACTCTTTTCCATGAACCGGAATTCGTTCTGGACAGAGATATTGCGTGCCGACGGCCGAAAAATGATGCATATACATGTATCGAGGATAAAGAAAGATCAAAGAAAATTTTTCTCGGAACGTTTTCCGGTGAATAAAAATGTCACCATTGGACTCAGAATTAAATTCTGCATCGAATAAACTCGGTTTTATTGACCGGAATTCGTTTTCAGAAAATCCTTAGTTTGATGGTGCTAGCTCGATGGTGCTAGCTTCACACCGATAACGACTAGGGGTTTGTTTTAAAAATTACTTCAGAGATGAAATTTATAAGAGTCTCAAGTAATGTAAATGATTTTTGAACGAATATAATTTATGTCTTTTCGAGCTTCGTCAATATGCCCTGCAGATTATCAACTCTTTAAATTGAAGAGAACAAAAGAATATGTTCTGTAGATCGCACAGTTATGTTGAATTTTGATAACTTCGGTTGCAGGCCGACTCAGAACGAACGACTAGGCGTTCAAATTTGAGATCAATCTTAAAGTGTACACTTAAATAACATTATCAGGGTTCAAAGGTTTTTGAGAATGATTTGGTGAACGTATTTCGTCAATGAAAATATTCGACAAGGTATCATTTTGTTGAAAGCAGAGAAAAGAGTCTATTTTTTACTAAAAGAGACAGGCTGATGTGTAAAATTGTCAAGTGGTCCAATATATATCGTCCGTCTGGGAGCGATTTAGTAAAGCATCTATGAAAATTTCCATGCGAGTAATGGGAAAATAGAAAAACAGATGACAAATGTCAATGGTTGGCCGTGAGCGCTCTATCAGAGGGAGCCCGATGAATGACTAGCCAATGAGCGATGAGTTTTTTCGTGAACACAATCAGTGCTCGAGAATTACTCACTGATAAATGGCTAATTGGTTCGGTTCCTGAAAAAGAACAACCCCTGTCTTTTATTCACTCTAGTGTGTGACATAGTGACAGGATACAGTTGAGGACTAGTAGCAATCGCAGTGCCTTATTTGTCTTTCAAAGTAGCTGAATGTGCTGAGTAATAGTATAATTCTTTCAGAAAAGGGTCAGCGAATCCAAAGGATGAGCGTTACTTGTTCATTATGAGGGGTTGACACCAACCTAGTAAATTTATCTTATTCTGTTTGTTGACGTCAAAGTGGATCTATAGTTTATACGCAACTATATAATTATAACAAGGACTAGGGTGTGGGTATGAGGGTGAGGGGTATAATCGACCGGATCTCGCAATCGCAAACTTCGATACTAACAGTCTCAGTATTCTAATTAATATATGTTCTTAATATAGTATGTTTTCATGTTCTTTTCTTAAAAATTTTCAAACCCTTTGTTTAACTGTTTTTTGCTGTTGTCAAATCAAAGCGAGCACTACGGCTAACAGGCTACTTTTCTTACAAAAAAATAGCGCACAACGATGTGTATCAGTACCATTGAGTTGTGACGACACAAGATTTTTATTATGAAACATTTCATGATACTCTCATCCTATTTTTATTATATTGAAATACGTTTGCAGATCAAAATATTAATTAATAGCTTAAACGAATATTCTCACGGTGCTATTAAAATAATTGTGCGGTCTATTGTATATATCTAGTTATCATTTAACAAACTAGTGGCAGAGATTTTAAATTATTCAACTATAGATCATATAATTTATTGACACGTAAAAATTTTGTAAGTCCTAGTCGCTCAAATATTCGAACAAAAAAGGATGACATAGAATTAATGTTCGATATTGAAGTTATCTCTTCGATGATAGACATTTTCTTGTATGAACGTATAGAAAATCTATACCATTGAAAAGAAATATTCCAAATTATGACATTATACATTTACAATAGGAAAATCTTTGAAAAGTATGAAAGTCATTTTCTTCTTATGTATTTCGAAAAAAAATTCATGCTATTAACGATAGGTTTAGTTCTCATTTCAGCAACTAAGTATACAATTTTACTAAGATATAGCTCGAATTGGAGTCATATGCTGAATATTCGTATAAGTGGTGTATTATATCACCGGTAAAATACTTTTTTGTATATGATCTGGCGAAATACCAAGTTTGTCTCTCAGCAATTGGCATTCGTGTTCGACGACTTAATTCTGCACAACAAAATGTGGTTTCCACAGCATTGATTTCTTCAAATTTGAGAAGTTGATTGTATACGGTAATA